TTGTATATAATAAATAACCCCTTGATTGGACTTTCTCTATAAATATTTTATTATTATTATACTACTACTACTACATTTACAAAAAATACCTGATAACATTTTTATAAAAAAAAATTGACAGGCATAGAAAAAAAAAATAGTATTATAATATAATATACCTAATTTATTGTCTTATTTATATTATAATATTTTAAATTTATCCTTCTTTGATAAAGGGGAAAATGATATACAATTTATTATAAATATTAAATACCTATATTATCTATCTATTCTATAGTATATATATACAAATACAATATATTTAAAAAATAATTTTTCTAATTATAATATTTACTAATTCTATTAACAATTTTTTTAAACCTTAAATCCTTATTAGTTAGTTGTTACATTACAACATATAAATTCTACTAATATTACCTTTTGATTTTGATAAAAAAAAATTTAATATTTTAAAGTTCAGAATATATTTAAAAATTTATAATTCGACATTAAATTGGATGAATATTTTCATAGGATCTTGTGTACCCATTTTATTATCTAACCGATTAAATATTCTAAAAAAAAAAACAATCATTCGTTAACAAAAGAACGATAAGTAAAAATAATAATTTGAATTTTCATGTTTTATAAATATATAATTATTTTTAATAAAGTTTATTTTATGTTCATTATATACATAATTAGAAAGAATTACAATTTATTTACATAATGATTTGCGGATCTGGGTCTCACTACGATCCACTATTAGCATGCTTAAAAAATTATATTTGCACCAGTGACTTTAAAAAATCTTCAATTGGCATGTGTTTAACCTGATTCTGCCTACCTATTGTTTAAATTCTCCCCTCTGGTTAAAAGTCATTTGATTGGTGGTTTGGTTCTTTTTTATAATAAATATAGAATATTATGAAATAAAAAGATAATTTTTAATAAATATAAGCCGGTTTTGTTGATTTTGAGGGTAATAATTTAAAACCCGCCCACCCATTATTTTAAAAATATTTTTAACCCGCCCGCTCACCTATGCGCCCGTTACAGACTTCTAAGAAACGTATACAGGATTTCATTTTGGGATCCTTCCAATGATATCTGCATTAAAAATTCATCTTTTTGTCTAACCGTAGACAAAAATAAAACTTTGTTAAATAAATTCAATGCCATTTATTATTGGATTTAAATAAGGTTAGCTTCCAATTATCTAATTAGTATTGTACAATAAAATCAATCAAAATACACTATTTAACCTTTGGTTGAGGATAGTACAAAGGGAGTTGTTTAAATGAATGAGTGGATGAAAGTTCTAATATAAACATACTATTCAGAAGAAATGATATACCAATGTTTTACCTATGGGTGACAATGAGCTAAGGGTCATGTTTCATTTATGAGCGAATTCATAAAAATGAATGAGAAAGAATTTTGTAATCAAACTGAAAATCGCAACATTCTTTTTTTCAACATTAGCATTTTTTACTTCGGAATCAGTATCATTAAAAAATGGGTCCCTTAAATACACTGCAAATTTGAGCAAGACAACCTTAGTTATATTTTATTTTTAAAAAGATAAATAAATGTTATAATAAAAACCCAAATTTAATACTTTATAAACTCTGTGATTTGAGCCAAAAATACAATGAGATTAGAAAATTTCATATAATTATCGATAAGACTTTACTAAATCTCAGAAAATACAAAATTTATTAAGTATGGCACAATGTCAGGTTGTATAATAGGCTCAAAACAAGTTTTATATTACATTTAATCTTAGTGAATGTAATATTTCTGAATATAGGACAAAAATATCCAAGACGGACCAATATCCCGAAAGATATTATACCGGACAAAAAAAATCATTTATTTCTAAAGTAAATTAACCCTTCCCGAAAATAAATCTTTTTAAAGCATTTTAAATATATTGTTAAAATTGGTGTATTTCTGTCCGGTGCTTTATTGCCCTCTGTCTTTATGTTTGAGATATTTTTTTTCTGATTTTTTTTTAATACTTACTAAATCACATATTGTACCTATTGCCACAAGAGCGTGCCATAAAATAAAAGTTTCTTTTGAATATATTATCATATATTTGTTAAATATTTAACACAATTCAAACACCTGCCATAATCATTCAAGTGCTCTTAATTGTTAGTTAGCATAAATGTTAAATTTTAAATATTATTTTATATTATAAAAGTGTTAATTTAAAAACCGAAAAAAAGGTAACATATTTTAAAAAAAAACTTAACATATTTGTAAAAATATCTTAGAATTCAAAAATTATTTACACTGTTAGAACGCAGAGCACCTGCAATTATATTTGATAAAATATTTTAAATTAATTAAGATGTTGGTGTCAAGGAATTATATATTTGTTGTATTACCCAGTTAGTATTATTTATAATTAATATATTACACCGAAAATAATAGACACGTACTATCAGTTAACATAAATTAATTAAATTCAAAAACTAATTAAAATTTTTTAACTGAACTTTCACTAGCAAAATATAATTAACAATTTTGTGAATAAGATTTAGGCCAGTAATCCATATCAATTCAATTTTTTCGATTAGTGACCTATTTCTAGGTTTACCCGAGTTGGCCAGTTATATCTCTTAACCACTTTTTCTATCAGCCTGAGCATAAGCTGTTAGTGATAACCATTATGTTCATGTCATCCTCTTCCCCCTTCTACCGTCCCAAAACTTCTGTTTCAAAGTGGCTAGCAAGTGATAACATAATTTCCTGTGGTCTGAAACAGATAGGGATAAATTTTTTCAACAGATTGTAAATGGAATCTTTTCTTTAGTCTACACCTTTTATGAAGAACATATTAAGAAAAAATATCCTAATTATAGCTAGATTAGCGCATGTTAACTCAGAGCTACCATTAAACTATATAACATTAAAATATTTAAAAGGATAAAAAAAACATATTTTTTAGCCATGCTAGAAATTTTAAAAAATATTAACAATTTTTCAAAGTTGTTTAATAATTTACTATAGATTTTTTATCAATAAAGTTTTTATTTTTTGAGAAATTTTAATAACTGTTAGCTCGATATCTTTAAAAAATGAATAGTTTAAACATCTCAACCAAATATTTAATATATATCAATTTAATTTTTTTTAAATATACCCGTGTCGAGTCTAAAGATAATTTTTTTTTAAATACCTGGGCCGGTCTTAATTTTTTTTTAAAATACCCTAAACAAATTTTTAAAGATATCCGGGCAGGGCGGTATATTTTAAAACCGAATATTTTAAATCGCCATTAGCTATAAAAATTAAAAAAAATATTATAATATATTTTTAAAAAATCAGGACCGGGCGGTGTAAATGGTCAGGTCTCTGAAATATATAAACGGAATTAAGCGGTCGCTTCCGATATATGATACCCCATAGCATAGAACTACTTAATTAGCTTCAGAAAAAACTCTGACCTTGCGGTATTTAAACCTAGAACGATTAGGGATACAAGCGCTCACCATCTAGGCCACCGACGCCACACCAAAACTTTTATATATATTAGGATAAAGTTATGACGTTTTATAATATTTTAATAAACCAGATTTAAAAAATCAATAACCGTCAACGCTATACATCATTACCCGAAAAAAATGTATTAATATCATCAAGATACAACTTTTATTAATCGTATGGAGACCTATAAAATTATTTTTTTCCGCCCGAGTTCACACAAATACAAAAAATTTAAATTAAGGCGTGGCCTGCAGGGGTCCGAAATTCTTAAAAAGCTTATAGGGAAGAAATCTCAAAAAAATATTCATTTTACTATATTTTAGTGTTACACATTAAATTTAAATATTCAGCAATAACTTTGTTAATTTAATGGTGTTTTTTATTCTATCATTATATATGATATGAAAATGAATAGTTATAAATATTACTTTCTAAAAAAAATTTTCATATTTTTTTAAATTCATTTAATAATTGTGGTAAACAATGATGCACAAAGGAAGGACCAGGAGAAAATATAACATTAAATTTTTCGGTTCACTGGCCGGATCTACTCTACTAGGTACTCTACACATACAGAAATACATACGAGAAAATTTTGAATAAGTCGATACCCCTGAAAAACTTCCGACATGTAAATATACTACATGGCTTACAAATTAATTTTTTTTTTAGCTAAATTATCTATAAATACTATTTAATTCATCCATTTTATCATATAATTCTACGTTTTTGTTCCTTACTAATGGGGGAGGGGAGAATTAATTATAATACTTTTCCCATTGTCACTTATTGTTAATATTCTATATTTTATTAATTTATCGTAAAATTTTATATATTTTTTTAAAAATTAAACCAATTGCATAACTAAACAAGGACGGATATCATTTCAGCATTATAATATGACTAAGTAATATAATATGACTAAACTTTTATAAAATTTCTGGTCACTCCTAGTCTACATTGTCTTCATTTTAAATTTGGTAAAAATTAACTAGTAACAATATTTAAAAACCTATAATAAGGAATATATTATTTATATTCGAATATTATAAGTGAGACATTTTTTCGAATTACTATATATATAGCACAAATTATTATTTAGTCATTTTAATTGGCATATTTTTCTATAATTTGAAATGGATTTAAAAAAATTGCAATCCTATAATAATGTAATTTGTCTCAATTTTAATTCTTTCGGGATTTATAATTAAATTTTTTCAAAGATTACATGACTAATTTATATACACTAGGAGAATCATTATCCCTTTATGCAACCCAACTAGCGAAATAAAATCAAAGATATTTGTAAAACATTTGTCATAAAAACAGATAATTTATATTTAAAAAATTCTTCCTTAAAATGAGTATTATATAAACGACAAAATAGTGAATCTGTGAAATTTTATCATTACTTGAGATATAAAAGATATATATATTCAATCTTATTGTTTAAACTTATTTTTTCTAAAAAAAATTACAATTTTAATTTGTTATATTGAAATTTATTATTTTATATAAAGTGTGGGATTTAAGGCCAACTCAATTAGAGTCACCTGATTGCGTTGGGAGATGAATTTTATCAGTATTTATCTACACTGTTTTTTATATCCTTGGATCACGATGTTGTGCATGTATATAATAGTTTGCGAACCATTTCCCATGACTAAAAGACCGACAAACGATTCAAAATTATTACTTATCAAAAAGATTAAAGTGAGGAAACAAATTATGTCTGGAGAAGACGATACACCTCATAGTTGGAATTCTATGCCAAATTTAGTAAAAGAGAGTTCGGTAGGAGATAACAATCTTAAGCCATCAATTAAAAATAATTTATATATTGACCCCTCAAATAAGACCGCCACCATCAAGCATTCATCTCATCATACTTTGATAGGACTTGGATTTAGAGACCTATCTGTTAAAACAGCTTATAACGTAATGTTAGTCACCGAAGGTTCGATTAACAATAATTCCTTCGTGCTAAATCAAATCGATAAACCATCTCCTACACGCTTATTCAATTTCAAACAAATACCACTGAATAAGTCCGCTTCCAGGCCTAATTTATTCGATCGTTTACAATACGACTTCAATACATCTAAATACAAACCTCACATATCCAATATTATCCCCGACGCCTCGACAAACGAAACAAGCGTACATCAAATGCTTAACAATGTAATATATAGGGGGGCCAATTCTAGCCCCCAAATCAATAGAAGTAGTCTATACAATTCCCAATTACCTCAATTCGCAACCCATAAAAGCAATGATAATACTGATATCTCACATCTATCTAAGAAATTTCAAATACAATACAACACCGATTCGATAAATAATACCAATATCGTCGCTTTAAAAAATGCTGATAAACATTCAAATCGAAACAAAAAACGCGTTAATCCATTAAGTCCCCTACTCCCATCTCTCATCTCCGACACGCCCTTGTCCCCATTTTTCGCCAATATTATGAACAATGTTATGCATCGTATATCCAAGCGTTCAGTCAGAAGTCACTATTACACTAACAACGTTTCTTCTAACAATTCGCCTCGTTCTCCATACCATGACCATTTAACGATTCATAAAATCGAAAGTAATATAGTAAACATATTATTTGATAAAATTTAGTTTTTATAAGTAAGTTGGGTATAATAAGAAATTTACAAATCCGAGATTGGTATCTATGAAAAAAAGTATCTATTTACTGGTTAAATTAATTCACTTAATATTCAATGTAAAGTGTAAATAAACACATTTTTGGCTATTAACCATGTTGCTTAGGTTCTGCTATTTATGAAGAATCTAATTATTACATCAATAAAATCGCATATACTATGTTTTTTCTTTAAAATTTGTAATAAGAATGCCGCTCAAATGAAGGCGAATATTCGTGCCCTAGTTTAACTAGCGACCGTCGAATTGTTTGCGTTGAAGAAAAGAGCATTTGCGATGGCAAATACGATTGTCCATTAGGTGAAGACGAGGATGGCATTGCTTGCTTATTTAGAAAAACGGTAAAAAAGATTGATATTTTATATATTAGAGCAATGCATGTAAAGTGGGCCTTCATAAGTTTCCGCAAATATTAAGTTTTTAAAATTTCTATCTCGGTGAATTTAGAAATTTTAAACAAATATTGGGCTGGTCTTGGCAAAATAAATCTAGATTTTACCAGTCCAGAATGGCTCTATTTTACATTACCGCATATAGTTTCATGCTTTTATCGATCTGTTATTTTATTTATTGAATGTAAAAGATTAATTTATTTAAAAAATATACAATCTTACAGCTTAAGTATTAGTATCTTCGTCTTGATTATCATAAGATTCTTTTGATCAATTTTAAAGATTAATTATTTATTTTTTTAAAAAACACCCCACCACTCTTTTATACTTTACAGTATAACTATATTTTAGTACATAAAAACATTATTTAAAAGTAATTTACGAAGGTTTATTTTCGAAATTAAAACCTAACTATAATAAACACCATGGACATAAAAATATATAATTATTCAAATATCTGCTTCAAAAATTTGTTATAAAAGAATCATTATTATATCTTTTGTCTGGACGGACAAATAATTTCAATAGATATTGGTATTTACATACTATTAAGTTTGAAAAATTTTGAACACTTTTCTTTTACTAAAGTCATCAATTAACGATGACCATTTATAAAAAAAATATGAATTATTTATAAATATTGCAAATATTTTTTTAAAAAGCACAATTTGACTTTTATTGAGTCTTAATATAATAAATATCGATTAAAAATTGAATTGAAATCGTTAAAAAATATATATATGTATAAAAGCCAATAACTTGCCTGGGTATAATAATAACTTCTTTATAGTTAATTTTAACAATAAAATAAAGATGAAAGTCCGATTTCAAAATAATCAAAAAATAGTTTGTTATGATTTAGTGTCTGAACTGGATTGATGAATGGACCAACCTTATTGGTCTTAGACCAAACCAGAGTGGACCGATTAAAGCACAGGACTTTTTCTTGAAGACTTTTTTGAATTTAGGTCTATGACAGTCCAAAATAAATATATATATAACTTTGTTTTAATGATTTTATCGCCACCCAGACCAGGATTTTCAAGAACAGCGTTTCAAACCAGTTCTTTTTTAATCTAATCTGAACAATGACCTTCAATGCTAATTAATTAATTCATGTAAAATGGCAATTTCGTCTAGTTTTCATTTATTGAAACTTTAATATGTAAAGTTAAATTCACAAACTTGCTTCAAATCAATAAAGTCTAGATCTAAAAAAAAACATCCACCCACTATATCTTTACAAAAATAATACATTAATAAACAAATTTAAATGATTGATTTTATCGCTGATACAATTTTCATGTGGATAACCTAATTTGCTATATTTGTGTTATAATATTTTTGAAAAATGTCTTAATTTGGGGCTTAGGCGAAAAGAACAGGGGGTCCGTCAGAACACTTTATTTTAAAAATATTAACGATTGGTCTTAGACTAAACCAGAGTGGACCGATTAAAGCACAGGCCTTTTTCTTGAAGACTTTTTGAATTTAGGTCAATGACAGTCCAAAATAAATATATATAACTTTGTTTTAATGATTTTATCGCCACCCAGACCAGGATTTTCAAGAACAGCGTTTCAAACCAGTTCTTTTTTAATCTAATCTGAACAATGACCTTCAATGCTAATTAATTAATTCATGTAAAATGGCAATTTCGTCTAGTTTTCATTTCTTGAAACTTTAATATGTAAAGTCAAAATCACAAACTTGCTTCAAATCAATAGTCCAGATCTAAAAAAAACATCCACCCACTATATCTTTACAAAAATAATACATTAATAAACAAACTTAAATGATTGATTTTATCGCTGATACAATTTTCAAGTGGATAACCTAATTTGCTATATTTGTGTTATAATATTTTTGAAAAATGTCTTAATTTGGGGCTTAGGCGAAAAGAACAGGGGGTCCGTCAGAACACTTTATTTTAAAAATATTAACGTTTAGAAAATAAAATTCAGTCACAATATAGATAATTTATTATACGAATGCGTGAGAAAAATATTTTATATCTATTATATCCAATGCTTATGATTTTAATTAATAAATGTTTTTTGCCCTAAATTGTAGAAGATTCTTTTAACATATTTTTGATTTAGCATTCTCAAAATCACTAGGATATAAAATTTTTAAATCACATGAACGCTTAGACCCTCCTCTATAGATGACATATATGTATCATATTAGCACATTAATATTTTTAATATTAACATCTGTCAAAATTAAAGATTGGGTATACGTTAGATCAGGGCATATGGGAACATTTAAATGTCAATCATTGATATTTTCTGCCATATTTTAAATTTTATATTCAAAGTTTATACCCATGATATTATAGAGAAGAACCCAACCATATAGGTGATGAAAATATATTTTAAAAAAAATAAAATGTAATTATTAGTAAAATTCTATTTGTATCTGACTTTTTAGATGAACATTGGATACAATCAAATTTATGTAGTTACATTATACCTTACATAGAAAATATAGCAAAATAATCTTTTAATTCAATTATGAAATAATAAAATAACTGATACAGTCGAATTTGTGTAATGTAGTGAGTAGTGAAACAATGATTGCCTTAATAATTAGTTTAATTTACATATCTACTGCATATTATTATTAATAAAGATTTCATGAAATATTCCTAATAGTTGTATTTTATTTATATACATACAAAAATATAATCAAATACTAATGCAATCTTTACTTTTATAGTTTATAGAAAACATAAGATTTATATAATATACATTAAAAAGCATCAAGGCATTTTCTAATAAGATATATTCCCTATCGGAAATTGTACTCCATTGATATTTATTATTGTCATAAAATTTGTGTGAAGTTATTTTGTTTATTAATAAATTATATTTGTACTGTAAAATTATCATTTATGTGTTTTAAATTCAAAATATCTGTTATTAGATCAAAAATTTATGTAAAAAATTTTGGCCTTACAATGTGCCTTGGTCTGTGTCCCAACCTACCCTGACTTGTTCCAATGACTCTACATTTTTGACAATATCAAAATTCAGACATTAAAAAAACGAAAAATATTGAAATTTTTCATAATTTGTATTGCATAGATGAGATCATAAATTTAATTTTGGTTGCTTCTAATTCTATGAACCTTTCCCAAAATCCATTCCATTTGACCCCAGTCTCCCCTATAATATCCCAGGGCCTTACATATATATTTTTGCTAAAAATAAGTGTTCTATTAGGCTGTCACGTTGTAAAATCTTTAAAAATGTACCATCAGTCCAAATCTCGTAACTTTTGGTGTCATGAAATTTGAACTTATTACGATATTTCCAAATGAGGGGTGTTAGATTTTAACTTGGACATATCGAAAAAAGAAACAAAATTTAGCCTAGAATTAATACATTTATACTTTATCATACATCTCTTTTTAATATTATCACTGTATTACTTAATTTTCAATTCCATCTAAATTAACTATTTTATTCGGTTATAGTGTAGGTCAACGGCATTCCTATATGCCTTAGATTGGACCAATCTTTTTTGGGGATTTTTTACGATCTAGGCAGATTAATAGTTAAATTTGTTATTATTCAATTAATATAAATTTCTTACCTATTTTTTTTGTATATTTTATTTTGTCATTTTTCTAGAGGTTATTTTAGCTTTTGTGAATTTTTAATTCATTTTTATTTTACCATATCAAAACCATAGTTTTTCAAAGAAGCATTTTACTTTCCCAATAAACAAAAATTAAATTAGGTAAAAGCAAAAATATTTTTAAAATATCAAAAAAAAAAGATCGGTCCTGAACCGGTCTTTTTATCAGGACTACGGGTTAGATCGATCTTAAAGACAGTGTCCTCGTGACCATTACTAATGTGTTATATAAACTAAATATTTTAAGAATTTGTTGAGAAGTAAAATAAAAGGTTAAAATGTGGTACATATTTTTTAAGCCCATTTAAAAAGTATGGTAGCAAATATATTTTAGGGACGACACTGTCATTGTTTTTCCATCCTATATTTGGGTGAAGATTTATATTTGTTTAAATACATAAATTTTATATCAAACGAAAATTTAAACCATCCTGTATTTGCATATAAATTGTATAATGATGGAACATGATATGATAACATTATAAATATATTAGATTTTTTATCAGAAAAAGTACTTGAGTCTGTTTATGTCATCGATATATCCCTATTACCTTTTTTTTAACAATTTTCTGTTTAAATTCAAAATAATGGGGATATCATATCATAGTTGAAACATCGTGATACAGTATCGATGATACAATATTCGTTATGTCTTTTTGCATCAAACGGTATTGGCGATACTTTTTAAATTTCAATATATCATAGATACATGTTATATGTGTGTTTTAAATAATAGTCTAACTTATTCTCACTAAGAAAAATTACAAATTTACACACGAGACAGTCATAAAATTATATGATGTGATTATTAATTTTAATTAACTATATATTATTTTTTATTTTTAACAGTTATTTCAAATTTTATGCTTCAATTTAATTTTTTATATGTAAAGATTTATATCAATATATGTTGATGAACCTCACATTTATTTCAAGTATACCAAAAACAATTCGTTATGATTAGTATTATACAAATACGAGAAACTTATTTGATTCAAAAATTTGAATCCAACACAACTAAGCAAAATATATCATCTGTCGAATAATTTATTTTTAAATAGAATTATTTGTAATTTCAAATATCCTCATTATCAGAAATAATTTGTTAATATTCGAAATTATTTGTAAATATTTTAAATTATTCATAAAATATTCTAAATTATTCATAAATATTTGAAACTATTCTTAAGTATTTAACATACTCCTCGCGGAACTTTTTATTTTTATACCTTTTTCTCATGTCTATAAATTACTTTTAAAATTTTAATAATCCATTTTTGCAAATATTTTGAAATTAATGATTAACATCAATGACATTTTTTAAAGCATTTCTGCCCTCGTTATTAAAGATGGTGAGTCATAATTTATACTATACTAAGGTGAATGTCTGTAGTACAGAATACAGCCCAAATTCTAAGCGTTGTGTTCTTAAAAATATATAAGTGAGTCAAAATATACACATAGGCAACTTATCCTTGCACGCTAATAAATAATATTACATATTAACTAGTTTGTTTACCATGAGTAATAAACTTTCGTGATGTTTGAATGAAATGTGCGGATGTTTTATGATTTGCATCTTTTTAAAAAAAGTCTTAGCTTGCACTCTAGTAATATTATCCTACTTAATATCTAGTTTTTTATCCTGTGGATTCAGTGATATATTTATCTTCCTTGGGCTAATTCTAATAAATATAATATTTTACTCCACTATGAGTTTAATAATATTAATATTATATATACTTGCTTTAGTGAATTACTAAATTTTATTTCACTGGCTGTACATTTCTAATATTCCATTTGCCATAAAACACTAATTTTGGGTGCATTAAGAACGTGCCTTTAAAAATATTTGTAAAACTTTTTCCTTTTTACCTTTATTTTGTTAAATTATAGGACAATTAATCGTAACCCCCATACTTTTTGGGCTCCGAGGTTTTGGTGTTAAGCCTATGGCTACATTTCTTTTATATTTATATATTGGGGTCTAGTAAACTAACCGAACACACATCTTTATTAACTGCAAGGAGTTGCTAATAAGATATGATTTAAATTGTAAAAATAGATATGTACTTTAATAAATTTATTGATTTATTCAACAATCTAACTTTAAACTTTTTTTAGTTGATAAAATACCAATTTTTATAATATTAGCCACTGTCGTCTGAGAAATGTATAAAGAGATTTCTTGCATCATAAGTTCAACTTACAAATGTAAAAAAATAGTGTTTTTACATTTTGTGTCCCCATGATCGATGGAAGGTTAACTATAAAATGAATAGGTTTTACTAATTCATTTACCACAAAAATGAGACTTGATTTTTTTTCATATATTATTTGATCAGAGTATATTTCCATTTTTCTAAAATCAAAAAATTTCAGACTTTATTCCATCTGAAGCAACTAATCGATGTCTTCGCGGAAATGAATGAAGGAAAATAAATTTTACCTTGTGGCAATTTTAGTTAACCACTAATCTTTACAAAATTCAATTATATAAGTGCCAAGAAAAAAAGTGATTATAGTCAAAGACATACATATATTATCCCTTAACGTATTAATTAAACTTTCATGGATCGTGGCTTAAGTTGGTTTTTTAAAAATCCGCGACGCATGATTAGACAAACCAGTCTGTATTTAATTTAAAAACATTCCCAATGAACCTAATAATTTCGATCGACAATATTCACATTCAACACAAAACGTTTTTATCAACATAATTTTGCAGTCCGTTCTCAAGGAAAAAAATAAAAGTATCCTTAGTGAATTAGTTGTTATCATCGCGTGTAAGTCGTTATCCAAGCAGATCCCGAAGTTCCCTTAAATTTGTGATTATATTAGTTCTATAACCTGAAAAATATTTCGAATAAAAACGAGCATTTATACGTTAGCTTATATGCAAATCATAAAAATAAATAGTGAAATGTATATGGTCATAAAAAAATGTTACAATTATAAAGAATTTTAATTTATCGCCTTACTAAATATTACGAGGGAAAAAATTATTTGTTATATGTAATTTCGAACAATATTACACGTAAAAAACATAAAATGTGTCCTCATTTTTCGTGAATCATTTTAATTTTATTTACTAATATATTTATAAATATACCTATGCTTTTATATTTGTGTGTGTTGTAAAATCTTTAAAAAATTTATATTGTGTATATAATAATAAAAAAATATATATAGAAGTTAAAAATTGTTTTATAAAGTATTTCAAATCTAACTGATGGCTAACGTAATTTTGTCACTAGACTGATGAGAACTTGAATCATCGATTAAAATAAGAACAAGTGGGAAATTTCCTCACAATGCCTAGTAAAAGTGTTTTTAAGACCATAAAAAGTAGGCCAGCCAGAAATAAGGTAAACATAACTAACTTATCGATAAATAATCTTATATAAAATCCAAAATGTAAATTCTTTCAATTATTAACTATGAGGTCGTTAGTTTGAATTATCCTTAATCCTGTTCACATATTATTTTATATTGATAATCAAATGTTAAACTTCTTTATTTATAATCACCATTAGACAATTTATGAAAAAGTGAAAAGGTTAAACACAAAATTCATTTTCTAAAAGTTATATTGTTTTAATAGAAGCTAAATTTAATAATGCACATTAATTTTTATTAATTTATTCAACATATAATTGTCACTGTAATTTTTTTGTTAAAAATTTTACCTAATTTTTTACGCCCGAATGAATCAAAAAATTTTATTAACCTTAATTATTCACAATTTGTGAAAATTTTAAGAGATTTAAAATATTTTGATAAAGTTAAAAGTCAAGGTCTTATAACCAAAATCCAAATTAAAATTTTAGCTGTTTGATTTAGACGCATTTTTTAATAAAACCAAATAAGCGTGGTGTTTATTATAATCAGTCTACCTTATTCATTTTATTAAGTTTTATAAAGTAGCGCGCTACCGCTATCGCTATTTGTCAAAAAAAGTAGCTCGCTATTAGCTAATATTTTTTAAAAGTAGCTTTAGCTACTTTTTATAAAAAAAATTTACAAACAAATTTTTTATTTTTTGCTTATAATGTTATTGTATAGTAAATATATAAAAATCAAAATTATAAATATTAAAATATAGTTAGTTTTGATTATAAAAAATTTATGTAATAAAAATAAGTATTTATGGTAATTTGTTGCATTTTAATAATAAAATCATTTTAATATTATCATCCCCAAGTCTAGAGCGACGATCAGAAAGTATAAGTTTTGCCTTAATAATCTCTAGACACTAGCACTTGAGGGTAAGGGCGTATTTAATCTTATATACATATTTTTAATATAAGATAGATTATCAATAATTTTATTTGCAAGTGCATCTTATGTCTGGCATCCCATTATCATTTTGAGTGCTAATGCCACAGATCTTCTTTTTAAAGTTCTAGGGTCTAGCCAATGGCCTGTGATTCCCAAATTAGCTCAAAAATATTTAATCAGATCAATTTATAAATATAAATAAGTTTTTACCTTCTGTTATGTGTTCAACTTTCTCCCGTGGTACATATATATGATATCTCTGATAACTCTACTATCAGAGCATCTTTCATCATTTTAAAGTTATCTGATATTTTATTCATTAGTGTCTGGCGGCATAAAATGTTGTACCAGGGAATAGTTTTAATTATCATGGTAAATGATGGATTATCAGCTAAGGACATCGGCTGAACTGTATAAATTTTAAAATCAACAATAACTTTATCAGCCAATTTCTGAGAAATATTGTCATTTGCATTATTAATTAATTTGGTTTGAATTGAATTAGTTTTTTTGGATGAGTCGCCTATACCAAAATTATTTAGATGTTTCTCGATTTTCTTAAAACTCATGAACAGTCTTATAAAATAAATATTATTAGAATGTATAAAATTTTCAAATCTAGGGAATGGGAAATTTGTATTATAGCTATTAAGAACATTTTCTTCCCTGGTATCTTCCATTTCATTAATATCATTGTCTAAATCATTTCAACGATTTGGATATCCATAGGCGATGACATTTTAAATTATTAACACGTGATTTAGGTTTATAATACAAATGAAAATATAAATTACAAATTGAAATTATATTTTCATTTCAAAATTAAATAATAAATCATAAAAATTATAATTAATTATGATATTATATTTAAATATTCATGTTTACACTTACCTTCATTATATTTTTTAAAAGCTACTTTCAAAAAGTAAAGCGCTAAATAATTAAATAATTATAAAAAAGTAGCCGCTATTAGCTATAGCTACCAAAAAAGTTAGCGCGCTACTTTAACAACTCTGTTATTAACTTACCAAATTTTGAAAAAATTAAAATGTAATTTCTAATTAACTTAAATAATATAACTACTGTTTGTACAAGAGCTAATCATTTCAGATATCAACATTATGAAGATATTTGATGAAATAAATAAATAAACAATTTATAGCATATAAATCATATTTATAAATTTGATAAAATGTTTATATTATATAAACATTTACATATTATATATTATATTTATTGATATATTAATATAAAAATTCTCAGCATAATAATTATTTTTTGATTATATGATAAATAGATAAAAAGATTCTCATATGTGAATCATATAAATATAATATCGCAATTTTCAATGAATATATTAATTGATCCAATAAGGACAACATCAAAAATTGTATCAATATTTTATAAATAAACACTAATTTTTTTTAATATTTGCATTTTTTATTATAGAAGGGTTACCAAAGTTTTTAAAAAATTGATTCTAGAGATCTATAAGGGGTATGATGCAGCGAGTAATTAGTAAAAAAAGGACTTAAATGCTGATGATTAAACTTAATAAGCCCATTCCCGTTAAAATTTCCGGTGTTACCATTCATACTGTTATTATTATTATTACAATGCATGGAATGGTAATATGATAGATTTTGGGTTTTCATGCCAGTAGTATTATTATGATTAACGTTAGAAGTTACATTACCAAGGATAGGAGTTTGAGAGTGGGGATCCGCTTGTTTAGAACCTTCGAGAATTTTGCTAATTTGACCAAATGAAAGTCTTAACTGAGGTTGAAACGACCAGCAATGATTGTAAGTTAATGCTCGGACGGGTTTAAGCTGATTAGATGAGTAAGATGTAGTCGCAATGAAAGGCGCAAGTAAACCTGTGCCAAGTTGCCATATAAGGCTTTCGGAGGTTTGATCCGAAAAAGGCCAATTACCGGTCACTAGCTCGTATAAGATTGTGCTTTTATCAATAATATTATAATATTTAAAAAATTAAATTTAAATTTTAAATAGGCTTATTGCCCATTGAAAGTAACAATAAAAATGGTTTGGTGTAAAAATTAGGGTCCATTGATCTATTGGCTGATACTGATCTGATATTTGTCGATGAAGACTAAAACCATTAGGATTCAAATTTTTAACTAATTTGTATCCTTATTAAACATTGTATTAAACAATCATCATTTTATTTTATAGGGTGAAATATTTATTTATATTCTACTGTCCAACATTTTGGATTTCCCTTTACAAGTACACTTAGCATAATAATAATTGGGTAATTTAAATCTGTCTTGACATTAAAATAATAATTGTGTAATTTTAACCTGTTAATTGTATTTGTTTAAAAATAGTTTTTAATACTGGTCTCTTTTATTTTATATATATATAAATATCTTATAGTCGTCGAAATATCATGTGTTCGTGTGTTTTAAATCTTAAGGTAAATTTCTAAACAAATCAATATATTATTTATGTATTTCTGTTGATTGGTTTATATCTCTCTCCATTTTCACTCCTATTGTTGGTCATACACTATTTATTTATAGCTGGTGGGAGGAAAGATATATTTTTTTGTGAACCACGGATTATTTTCATCTCGTCATCCATTTTAATATATAAATAATGAAGCTTCACTATTACCTTCTCCAATAATATAAAATGATCTGATTTTATTTATTATCTTATGGTCTATCAGTTTGTTTTACCTATTATAATTTATTCATTTGTTTACATAACATCGACCACTCAATACATTTATAAATTAAAATTAATCCAAACTACTCCTTAAAATTTTATAAGTACTGTCTCTTTTATCTGACTTTATAATCCAGTACATGTTTAAATAATTGTGCAATGGTAACCACACTTTTCCCCAAAACCATGATGGTTTTCTTCATAGTGTTCCCCTGTAATTTTTTCTCCCGATATGATGGGAGTGAAGAAAAACAAAGGGTAGCTTTGATTAATAAATCAATTAAAACTAGAAAACCTGGAACCCTCGAAACAGGAACAAATCAAAGTACCGGAACCAATGGAAGCTTTTTTTAAATTTATAGGACAGAATTGGTTCCATCAAAGTGCAAGTATTATATATGTTAGCGGCAATGTGTTATTTTATTCAACTTTAACTCATTTTTAGAACGCGATTTTTTAAATTAAAAAATCTGATTTTGCCGGAGATGTATTTCAGAAGGTTTAGAATACCATCTTATGAATTATATAAAATTTTGACATGTCATTTATATATTTTATATAAAAAATCTATGGAAAAAGTAATATAAAATAATTTATATTAAGTTCAAAATTTCATAGCAAAATTGTCTGAAATTCATAGGGTAGGTATTCCAAACATGATGGAATACATTTCCGATACAATCAGATTTTTTAATTTAAAAAAACGGGCTCAAAAAATAATTTAAGTTAGAAAAATGATAGCCGGAAAAAACACATCACCGCTAACATATACACTGTTTAAAATTTTATGTGATTTATTTCCAGGGTCAATTTTTTGAATTTTTTTTTGATCGCGTTAACAGTTTGAATCAGACTTCGAAACCGCTTCAAATTTACACAACTGACCGCATCCTGCTATTCAAAATTTTAGAACCCATTTTTAAAAAAATATCCTGAACCAGACCCACTTTTCATCCAGGTTCCAAACTCTGGTTATAATTTAAAACTCATTAGGCAACGCTTTAAAATCTTGAATATTGTTATTTATCATATTTTCCATCATTAAAATGTTAGTATAATATTGTTGCCGATTCGATACCGATATTAATATCAGTACTGTGGTAAACTCCCCTGCGTCTTGAGAATGATTCACCTGAAGTGTGATTGAACTTTCCTCAGAATAGACTAGACTATAATGTTTCCCTTAAAGATAAAAAAAATCAGCAGACTTGAATTGGGTCAGACCTGCAAAAATAGTTGCTCAATATATTCATTTTTGTATCCTTCAATTATATTATTATATCAATAGTTATGAATTATATTATAAAAGATACCCATAGGAAAAAACATCGGACGCAAATGTGAATGGTAAATGAATGTCATCGTCATGTAGCGAAGTGGCAACTCTCAAGCTTCTTATCAACTCGGGGGCTAAGTAGTAAAGCCATCCGTGAGGAATTGAAAGATAATTTGACCGCCTTCAGTTTAAAAAAAATAAGGAAAGAGGAATAAAAAAAACAAAAGAGTAAATTAGAGCCTAAGCCTTTTATATTTAAGTTAATCCATTTGAAATTTACAAATATGAATAAAGATAATTCAAGTAATAATAAAAAATATTGACAAATAATTGATGAAGCTATAAAATATAATTAAATGTTTAATTGATCTTCTTTCTTTATATGACAAATAAAAAACCAAAGATGAGAGATAAATTCCCTTAAAAAAATTTTCACAATTTTAAAAGGATGGGGGAATTTAAATTAACTTTTTGCCGGTATCACATAGTTTTGCAACGCAAAATATACCAAAATCTGATATAACGACTCTACCACTTTCCAGGAAAACGTTTTTACTTCTGAGGTCCTTATGAATAATTCCTTTAGCATGGAGGTAACCCATACCCTATAAAATAATAATAATAATACAGGTATTGATTATATAGATGTTTCAATTTGGTTAATGCTAAACCAAGGTGTAAAAAGAGCCATATTGAAGAAATACAACATTAAAAGCAAAGGTCATAATTTAAAAATTTAAAATATACAAATAGTCAATGCTTCCAAATCATGATGAATTGATTCCGTGTGAACTAGTGTTTCGAACACCAATTTTTGCTCAAAATTAATAAAACAAATTCCTGTAGGGACCAGGCTTAACTCACAAGGCTCTATACCTAAGTGATATGATTTCGATAACTGGTCAGGAAATTTTTTTGCTGAAAGAATTAAATTCATTATAACAATTTTCAGGCCAGTTTATAACTATTACATTTTTAAAAAATTCTATTAATCAAGATTGAATTAAAAATAAACGATAAAGAAAGTGAACAGGTTAGTTTGAACACAAATACAAAATTGGAATTTACCTGAGAAATTTGTGTGGCTATATAAATAATTTTTTCCAACGTAAATTTGTTGCCATAAGCGTGAATGTGCTTATAAAGAGATATTCCTTTACATAAGCTTTTTTTTAATGTAGAAAATAATATTTTAAAAAAAATAATCAAGAAAAATAGGTGTTTCACTCTAAAAAAAATATAGTAAAAATTTGTCGAAATTTTAAGAGCAAACCAAATTTTGTAAGGCGCTTACGTTATAAAATACCCAAATTAGGCAAGTCTTAATAGGTCTAATTAAGAGTTTTAAAAAAGGTAAAGTTAATTAAGAAAATTTAGTTTCAAAAGTTTAAATTTAAACCAATTATTAAATAATTATATAATTCAAATTAGAATTGATATAAAAAAAATTCTACAATCACAAGAGGATAATTAATAAAAACTAAACTTTCTTATATTCTCAAAATCTCTCTTTCTACATGCTCATATATAATTTCTTTTCATGGCTGTGATTATTATTAATTCAAGTCTAGGATTATACCTTGACAACCTTAAAGTAATATGGATTATAGCTTCATAAAAATGAAAATTCTTTTTCTAAACCTAGTGATTATAGCAAATATAGGTGGCTTGATACAAGCCCCCATAAATAACACCAAATTTTGATGTCTAGTCTTTCTCAGAACACTGATCTCGTGTCGGAAGGACTCCAAATACTTGCGATACATTAGCATTTTTTCGAGATCTACGACCGGTTTATTGTCGAATTTAATTCCATTTTCTTTTAGATGATCTGACAGTTTCTGGTGAAATATGTTTTTATGGACACGTGAATTTTCGGAATTTTTATAATCATACTCCGGATTTCTGGGTATATGGGGGCTGGCACCATTTATGTTATCTCCAAACTTATAAGATAAATTTTCTAAAGTATTTTCGTCTTTATTATTAGTATTCTTCGTAGCATTTGATAGGTTAGTATCTTTTTTAAAGTCTGAGACGTCATTAGATTCTTCTTCGGATTTATTTATGATCGATTTTTTAGAGGGGGAAAGGTCGAGATACGATTCGTCGACGTTGAGTATTTTGATCGCGACTTTTCCGTGCCAATATCCTCTGATAAATTTAATAAAAAAATTAATGGGATATAATTTAGTACATTCTTTCTTTCCTTTTTAAATTTAAGTAAATATACCTATATACTTTGGCCTGCCAACCAGTTCCTATTGGTTCGCCTATTTCGATCTGATCAAAAGGGATGTTCCACTCTTTCAATGAACTTGGAAACTATAGAATTAAATACCAAAAAAAATATTTAATGACCGTGTTTTTGTAAAATGCGACGATCTAAATTAAATCAATCATCATTGTTGAAAGTTGGTCGACATTTATAGTGTTCAATAAAAGGCTCAGGGCCGTGCAAACGGAAATTCGATCATTTTAGGTGCCGCCAAATTTTATAATTTTACTTAATTATTTTTAGCCTCATCAAAAATAAGAATTTTTGAATATGTTAACGTCAATGTGAAAGTGTTATTTTTACAACTTTAAATCATTTTTTGAGCGCGTATCTTTAAATTTAATGGGATTTTACCAGAAATATATTCTATCATGTTTGGAATTTCTATCTTATGAATTGTAGATAATTTTGCTGTTAACCTATGAGTCATTTATAATTTATATAAAAGAAAATATGAAGAATCTAATATAAATTATAGTAAGCTTAAAAGTCCAAGGAAAGATTGTGTGAAATTCATAGGGTAGGTATTCCAAACACGATTTGGTAAAATCAAATTTTTAAAAACCCGCTCAAAAAATGTTTTAAAGTTGAAAAAATAACACATTGAGGCTAACATAATACTTTTTTTGTAAAAAATCAAAGTACGATCTTCAAAAAATGGTTTGGCATGTGTAGCCATATGTATTATAACAAATTCTTTTTTATTTTATTTTAGTTAAGAAATTTGATTTTTTTTATTTTAATAATCTTTAAAAACAATTTAATTAAATTTTCTATTGGCAAAGAAATAAGATAATCACTAAGTAAAAGAGATAATAAATTTAAAAAATGATTTCTATTAATGGATTATTTTGATAAATATTTGGTCTATTTTCACATAAATGTCCTGTTTGAGTTGTAATAGCTATGAGGCATTTTGATTAGTCTATTATAAAATAAAAAAAGTTTGCACTATAGTTTTCGTTTAATACATATATCTTTCAGGTGGGCATTAAAATATTTTAATCTTGATTAAGTTATTATTCTATTTAGATTTAGATTCAACTATTAAATGTACTGAATTAGAAAGAGCCATTACACATGAAAAATTATGCAAGATTTTTTAGATCCTTTAAGGAAAACAACTTTCAGAATTCTCTTGACTCAGTGAAAGATGCGAAGGAATTGGAAATGAGTTTAGAAGACAGTCCTTTTTTCAATAAAATTAATTCGTAGATGGAATGTAAAAAAACAATTTTTTATGAAGAAGACATGCCTATATTTGATCTTCAAAAAAATATGATTTTTCGATATATTACTAGATCAAGCATTAAATTTGTTGGAGGAACGTTTCCAGCAGTAAGGCTGTGTCTTAGGTCGGCTTAATACATGATAGCTGGCTATCTATCTATATTTTAAGTATCGGCTAAATAATCAAAAAAGCAAAATAAAATTTTTTTAAAAATAAATGAAAAAAACAAAAAAAAAAGAAAGAAAAGAAATGGAAAAAAAAACGACCAAAAAACGAAAATAAAATACGAAAAATAAGGATATCCTTGATCAAATACTCTTTAGACTATACAAAAAAGGAAAGTATCCAAATTAAGCCGACCTAGAACATAGCCTTAAAACTTTTTATAGATCATTTTGAATCGATACACATATAACAGAATTGATAAATACGCCTGGAAGAGAGCTAAAAGAATGTTGTCAATTAAATATTTACAGATCAGGATACGTTAGAATACGATATAAATCCGCAAAATCTAGCAATTGAATTAAAAACTCCATTTGAAATTCTGCGGTATATTAACACTAGGTTAAATGAAATTTTACCAAATATATCCAATGTATTAATGAGTATTCCAATCATTCCAATTACAGTGGCATTCTCAGAAAGCAGCTTCTCATAGCTCAAATTAATTAAAACTTATCTACGATCCTGCATGGCACAAGACCGACTTGTTGACCTCTCATTAATTTCAATTGGAAATTATATTGCATCATTTTTAGATTATACTAACATAAACTCTTTTGCAAACAAAAAATTGAGGAGGATAAATAAAATCGCAATATTTTAGTCTATCATTATAATCATTTTACAATGTGCGTCATTCATTTATGATTAAAATTTAATAAAGTATTTTTAGTTCTCAATGAGAAAAGTTAATAAATAAGCTTAGAAATATAATGTTTCTTAAGGGGCCGCCAAAAGTTTAGGCATGGCGGTGAATAGGTTTACTTTGAATATTTATTACAGTTCGGATTTTAATTTTAAAAAACTATGGAAAATTTCCCTCAATAATGTAACTACAAAAGAAAGGGGGGGGGGAGGGGGTAGAGGAAGATTATGCCCCTTTGTTAGAAATATCAGCAGCCCGATTTAAACAATTAAAAATTATTTTAGATAAAAAAGATGGAACCCTTTGGTACAACCTCTCCCCTCTCCTTAATTTGGGTCTAATTACCTATAATTATGTAATTTTATCTAAATTCCCATTGAATATTGTTTATCTTATCGTCAACATCATATTAGTTAATTCAAATATTTTTAGTCCAATAAAAATCTCCTAGTTATGAACATTCCTGGATTAAGGCATTGTCAGATATTTATCATATCTAATAAAATAAAATATGGTGATCAAAAAAATTTACAGATTTCGTCCAATGATGTTTGAGATTTTTAATTTTTCTATCTTTATCTTTAATGTAACCGTTTTCTCCGCTAGTATTTCCGCTTTGAGGAGAAAGGAGCCGTTCTTCTAAGGAAGATTCTTGGCTAATCACGCTTGTGTTTAGAAGATCAAACTATAAATGTATTGTAAAATACGAGATAAATGTTGCTTTAGGTTTACACATTATGATCAAAATTTTCTTTCGTTCTTATAATTATTTATATCCATCTATCTGATCTGGCCAGATAATATTTTAATGAATGTTTAGAAAATCTAGGATAAGCCATCTTTCAATTTACAATTATGAGAAGAACTGACTTTTGAAATTAAAACTAAAAAACATCCCACCAAATCTTAACTCTTTATTAAAAAAATCAGGCAATGATGCTGGACACATGAATATCAAGAAAAATAATTTTGGGCGGTTGTGACTCAAAGCATAGTATTAAAAAATTTTTTTATTTTAACTTGATCTTTGAAAGCTTTGGTTGAAGTGGTCTTGAGTGCTAAGGAAGTAGGCGAGAAATTGTAATAATCGCTAGGTGTTTCCGGATAGTTGACTGAAGTCTGATTACAATTATCGCTAGAAGTGTAGTAATTAAATATGGAAACAGATGGCGGAGCTTTGTTTTTATCTTTTTGTAATGATTTATATGGGGATACAAAAGTTTAAAAATAAATCCGCTCATTTTGAAAGGTTTTATTAGCCCTTTTTTTAATTTAACTGTGATAAAGTCAAATCTTAGGTGTTCAAATTAAGAGTGAAAAAAAAGTATTCATTTGTATATTTGCTTGGTCAATAATATTTAAATCTCACGAACATTGAATATCAACTAATTATTTTTTAAGCCAAAATTATTCGTCGAAGGCGTACCCTTGAATTGTGATTGAGAGTACAGGGAATAAACGGCCGCCGATGACGGAAAAGTTGAAGATGGCGGAGGAGAAGAGGAAATTTGAGAGGAAGTCGTTGAAAGCGAAGAAGATATTTCGGGACAAATCACTGCGTAATGAACATTATAAAAAATTGTAGTTATTAAAGTGTGAGTGACATTTTATGAATATTAAATGGAAGTGAATGGTTTGATTTAAGCCAGTTATAATCGACATTGAATAATACTATATAGACAAATTCTTCTAGTGGTCAAATAGCAAAATATATATTTTTATTAAACTTATAAATGAGGAATAAACAATTTTTTTATTTTTTTAATATTTCAACGGAGATTGTGTCAAATATAAGAGTTATTACTTGTAGAACATCTGAATTACTATAAATTATCACCAAATCTTTTTATAAAATTCAAGAATTTTCCTTGTAGTTTCTTATGCCAATTATCTTTTCAAATTTAAAGTAATCATTATTTTTAGTAAATTTGGAATGTCGTTTTTATATCAAGCAATTTCAGGTGATTCTTGAACTCAAAAGTCAAAATAATATACTTCAATCAAATGAAAAAAAAAATAGGATCATGCTGGTGGCATAATGCGCGAACCGTTCAAATTATTCTTATAATGCTATATGGCTATTTGATAAATTTTTTAGCAACAAAGTAACATTCAAGTGGTTCCATTATAATTTGGGCAAAAAATTCAAATATTTTTTTTTGAAAGGCTCAGATATATATTCGCAATATAATAATTTTCCCAGAATGCTCCGAATCCCCTATTAAATCGAAATGGAATATTTTTTATTGAAATACAAATCCCATTTTTGTTGCAAGTAAAAAAAACAGGTCAAAACCTTTTTTATATAGTGAAAAGTAGGGATGTACCGATATTTTTATCGGATCGGATCGGGCCAATATTTTACCCATTTTAAAATATCGGTCATCGACCAATATTATAAAATTTCCCGATCCGATCCGATGTAAAATGGCGTCTTTAACAAAAATAAAATGTTATAAAATTTTTAAAAAAAGTTTTATCTAAAATCATACGAAATCCATTTTTATGTTTATTTTTTTAATAATAATAATTAATTACTAAACATTCTGCCATATTGTTAGTTTTTTGAACATTCTATTTATAAAAGTGAGAGATAATCTCTTCAGAATCTATTTTTAGTGAAGCTGGTGATATTGAAAGTTGCCATCGTTGCAGGCTGATCTCTGATAAATCTAAAAAGAAATCTTCGATATATTAATGTTAAATATTATTTTAAATATTTATTTCAAATTTCATAATATATTTGTTTATTACTTATTATGTATATAGATTAATGTTATTACTTATTATATAAAAGTAATTTAACAATAATAATATTTTATATACTTTTAGAATTGCAATTGAATTACATATAAACTATAACTGATCACTGGTATTAGATCATAGAAGTTATACTGTTATACTAATAAAAAGTATATTATAAATCAAACCCATTGGTATCTTTACAGAATACAAAATTAGATATGATAACGGATCGGTAATAGGGCGATATCAATTTAATATCGGATCGGATCGGCCTCCAAAAAGTGGTATCGGTACACCCCTAGTGAAAAGTTTTATTTTTCTTTTTATCCTTATAAATAAAATATACTTTAAATTTTTAAAAAAAATAAGTGGTGTCACATGGGCCACCTTTCCCAGCTATATCAGGAGTCATATAAATTTTTAAATAAGATTAGATGAAGGAGAACATTGCATTGTACCATCATCTTATTAAATCTGTTTTAATTAATATTAATAAAATTGTACCTTTTTGAGTTTTAATAATTTTATAAAAATTTGAGTACGAAATTATTTATTACAACTCACTCAATTAAGGATATAAATAGGCTTTATTTAAAAATATCTTTCATAAAATTTTACTACAAATTCGTAATCATTCATAACAGAGCAGAGACCTGCAGAGGTCAAAATTTCTAGCCATCTCGGATTCGGAATTTTTTTTTATTTTGAAGTCCCAATAAATTTTTTGGGCTGGCACGGATTATTTTTAATCATTTTTCAACTCAGCCCGGAATTTTAAATAACTTAAGCTGTATTTTCAAATTGTTTCAGTTGGTTCACTCATAATTTTAATTTTCAACCCCCGGAATAGCCTGAATTGTAATTTTTAAAAAAATTTCCAGATTCTTTAAAATGGTACCAATTTTCAGTCATAGGCCTTGTCGGATTCTAGGTGTGCATGTCTCTAATTTATATTGACTTGTTGTAGAAAGGATATTTTGATGTGGTTTTAGAGTTTAAAAAAAAAGAATCGAGTAGTGTGCAAAATCATAAATTAATCTACATGAGATCTGCAAGATCTAGCCAGAAAAAATATCATAACAGGCCGAGCAAGTCGTACATAAAAAATCTAAGGCAGAGCAGGGCTTGACAATTTCTATAAAAAAATCAGGAAGATTATCGCAAATCTCTAATTTTTCATAAAATTTTAATACAGCCCATGACATTAAAATTTTGATATATTTTTCTGAATTTCAAGCTAATATTTCGATTTACTATTTAAAAATAAATTATAATATGTTAATTATTTTGTATAAACAAATATCAGACATAATTATTTATAAAACAGTTGTAGAAATAGATAGCCAGAGGAGAGATATAAGAGCCTTAAATAACATTGGGAAAAAATTAGATATACATATAAAATTTGGTGGCGCGAAAATTCGTACAAAAAAATTTGGCTCTTGGTAGACTTTTATCAAAATTTTAACGAGTCCAGCCTAATTTTTCGTAAATTTAGGCTGAGCCGGACAAAAAATTCAATGGGTCTGGCAACTTGTGCAAAATTATTAACAGGTAGGACCTTGCAGACCTCTAATTTACATCTCAAGATCAGAGTTAGACTGATGGCGATGATATTCAAATAATAAGTGAAGACCTAATTCTAATTTAGGTTTGAGTTATAGGTGTAAATAAATCTTTAAGATTCCTAAAATTTAATAAAAGTTAAAAAAATATTGTTTTAGAGGTTACGGATCTGCTAAAATTATTAGTTCTGCTCCCAAGGTAAACTATCATTGATGAAATTTATGAAATTTTAAAATTAAATAAATATCAAAACTAGACAATAATATTTTTTTAAAAAAACGATGCCAATCATGAAATAGATATCAAGTAGTAAATAAATAACAATTTTCTTTTAATACACTATGCTAAAATAAACAGAAAAAAATATATAATATAGTATAGCAGTTGGTTATATAATATGTTATTATTATAGTTGGGTAATGGCTAAATATCGGTTACTTAAGATGAAATTTCAGGTGCCTGTTGGAGAAAGTCCCGTTAACGTTTTAATTTATATTAGTTTCTTTCAAATTTAAGCTGCTATCTGAAAAACAGCTTGGCCAAAGTGATAGTTTTTGGCTAAAAACTTGGTTTAGCCTATTTTTTAGCCAGCTAAAAATTGGTTTAAATGGCTAAAAATATAGTAATTACCCATCTATAGTTATTATTAATGAAATATCGATTTTCAGTTACATTTTGTTTAATCATTATATTTAATTGAACCTTAAAAAATGTGATTTAAATCAAAGATTCTTATTTTTATAAATCGCTTGATTTAAATTGTTTAAAAATCGTGATTTCTTTCAACTCCTAGTTTCACTTTATAACATAAAAACGAATAAAAAAAGAATAATTAATCATTACCACGATTAATATCCAGTGGTGTGGGACTCTTTATGGGAATATCATTGTAGCTGACCTCGATATCGTCCTTAGATCGCCTACGCTCCCTCTTGGAGAATGAAGACTGGTTGTGATGCTGCCCAAGCAAAAATGGTAGAATGCACGATGAGGAAGCCGATTTTCTTAAATCACACTGAGTGAGCTCTTTCATAAACACGTAGGATGAATTTTTCGGGATACTATTATTTGTATTGGAATGGGGTAAGATACTGTTGTTATTTATAAAAGAGAATAGCGACCAGTTCCGTGTGGGGTCCGTATTGTTGAGCATGATAGATTCTATAGAGCAAAACTTAGTCAGATTTTCGGCGCATTTTGAGTGACATTTTATTCTATAAATAAGATCATGGAAAATTTTTAAAAATCTTGTTTTTTCTTTTTGGCTAAAAATCTAAAACTAAACTGAACTGATCAGGTGAAAAGGGCACTAATTAAAATTAAATCAATCAAGATTATGATAATTTCATATGCAATACAAACGATACCTAATTACTTATAATACATCTATTTTATATTATTACTATAGTTAACTTTAAAATGTTCCACTCTCTCTTCTTTTCTTCAAAATACTATAGAGTAGGGAAAAAAATAAAATTTTAATACTTGCAAATCTTACACTTTAGCCCTATCCACATAGGTTTTTGGCAATGACAACAAAAATTGGTAACTTTAACTGTTGGAACATATCTGAGTATATAAATAGATAATATAAAAAAATAAAAGAAAAGAAAATAAAAGAAAAGAAAAGAAAGAAAAGAAAAGAAAAGAAAAGAAAAGAAAAGAAAAGAAAAGAAAAGAAAAGAAAAGAAAAGAAAAGAAAAGAAAAGAAAAGAAAAGAAAAGAAAAGAAAAGAAAAGAAAAGAAAAGAAAAGAAAAGAAAAGAAAAGAAAAGAAAAGAAAAGAAAAGAAAAGAAAAGAAAAGAAAAGAAAAGAAAAGAAAAGAAAAGAAAAGAAAAGAAAAGAAAAGAAAAGAAAAGAAAAGAAAAGAAAAGAAAAGAAAAGAAAAGAAAAGAAAAGAAAAGAAAAGAAAAGAAAAGAAAAGAAAAGAAAAGAAAAGAAAAGAAAAGAAAAGAAAAGAAAAGAAAAGAAAAGAAAAGAAAAGAAAAGAAAAGAAAAGAAAAGAAAAGAAAAAGAAAAGAAAAGAAAAGAAAAGAAAAGAAAAGAAAAGAAAAGAAAAGAAAAGAAAAGAAAAGAAAAGAAAAGAAAAGAAAAGAAAAGAAAAGAAAAGAAAAGAAAAGAAAAGAAAAGAAAAGAAAAGAAAAGAAAAGAAAAGAAAAGAAAAGAAAAGAAAAGAAAAGAAAAGAAAAGAAAAGAAAAGAAAAGAAAAGAAAAGAAAAGAAAAGAAAAGAAAAAGAAAAGAAAAGAAAAGAAAAGAAAAGAAAGAGGTAGATTAATAAGGAACATAATATAGAACAATATATGTTAATAAATATAGCATATTTCATAGAAATATATTATATATAAAATATAAGTGAATAAAAAAATATTTATAATAAAATATTTTTAAAAAAAAGAAGTTAAATTATCATTCATGACAATTTTATAAGTATGAATCAAAAACAAAAGGGAACATAAATAATAATTTCCAACACTCTTTTCTGAGTATATTAAGTCCCATAGGGGATGGAGAGATTTATTAATTTAATATTCATCAACTATTATTAACTGAATAAAAAAAATCTTCACCAGGGTCAAAGCATTCGTCCCCATTTACTACATCAGGCGAAACAGTCCTTACACCATTTATAAACTTCCCAAGGGTAGATATTAAATATATAAATGGTTAAGAAATACCTTTTATAAATCCTGTCACATAATTCCAGAACAATTATGATCAAAAACAAACAATAGAATTTATTTAGCATTATATTTATAAGTAGCCCAAACTGAAACTATTTAATGATTCGTGACATGAGAAAAATTAAAAATTGTATTCGAATATGGAGATAGGTCTATCATTTAAAAATTACTTATTTATTGAAGAGAGAACTGCTCCAATATCTTTTTGTTAAAGGCAAACAACAATAAATAAAATGATCAAAAATCAAAATTAAATATTTAGAGCCGAAGTTATGCCTTTACATTCGCCACCCCCCCCCCCCCCGAAACACATATAATTCGCGACCTTTGAAAATACTCTAATTCCCTGGGATATATGCAAACACATGTACTAAGATTATACACGCATCAGTATCTTGTCATCTCCTATAATAATAATAATGATCATTTAGGAACAGATATAAAAAATCCCAATATATTTACACTTAGCTAAAAACAGAATATTCACACTCAAATAAATGTATGTATTGCCGAAAGATAATTTTTCCAGATAGTATATTTACCGCACTGGTTGTCTGTAGTATGATGGTCATTGCTGTTAAATCGACCAAAATAGCGAGATTAAAATGAATGAAACTTGGCATGATAGTTATCTATGCTGTATATTTTAGTAAAATCAAAATCTTATTTTTTAAGAAAATACTTAACATAGAAATACTCATTATAGCCCTTAAAATTTTACATTGGAAAATATAAAAAAAAATTAAAAAATTCCAAGTGTCTGCATATTTCCGCTAAATATAAAAATATAACATTATTAAGAGGGGTTTTTGGGTGTTGATATTCTTTTTATATTAAACTGTTTAATCAAAAATCTCGAGGGCCATTTTTGTTTTTTGAATTTTTATAAAAAAATATATAATATAGATGACGTTATATTTAAATTATTATATAATAATATGTTCAACAAAAATATGTATTGTATTGGTATTAAAATAAAAACTCCATTGAGTGTAATGAGGCGATGTTTAAGCAGGCAGCCCATATAGATATGATCATTAAACATAAAAATTTTATAAAAATATCTCTCATCTTTATTGTATTCCATTTCAAGCTTATAAATAGAATTTAAGCGACCTTATTTATAGGTCGATGTTGTGGAATATACTATCGTTATTATTTGATGTCACCTCTGGGGTAAGAGAAAGATAAGATTATCCACGGGGATGCAAAAAAGAAATATATATCCCTCAGTAATTTCATTCCTTTTTTAGTACTATGGCTAACCACCAAACTTGTCATGAAATGTTTAAAAAAAAGACTAGTCCAGGCCGTGGTCCTAAATAAAAAGAGCGATCACATGTATTTATGACGATTTTTGTGGTTAGCCACAGAAAAAAAGAATAAAATTACTGAGTGATATATTTCTTTTCATATCCCCACGGACCATCATATCCTTCTTTTACCCCACAAATGACATCAAATAAAACGATAGTTGATCCACAACAGCAACAGGATATACCTACAAATTATAGCCTCAGGAAATTCTATTAATTAACGCAAAATGGAATACGATAAAGGTAAGAGATTTTTTTATAATAGTTTGTATATAAAATTTTAAAATATGTTTATTTTACAATATAGCGTCTTAATAATAATATCTGTATGAGCTGCCTGCTTTCATATGCTCTCAGGACATCATATTGGTTACACTCAATGGATGTTTCTATTTTCATATCAATATAATTTTTTGTTTAATATATATTAAACGCCATCTATATTATATTGTTATTTATAAAATAATAAAAATTTTAATAAAATTTAAAAAAACAAAAATGGCTAGATATTTGATTAAACAGTTTAATATAAAGGTAATAAAAATTCTTAGAGAATATCAACATCCAAAAAAATCCCTTCTTAATAATCTTAATTTTTTATTTTTACCGAAAATAAGGAAATTTTTTTTTGATATTTTCCAATGTAAAAAGGGCTATATAAAATTTGCAAGTCAATCTTAAGTATTTTTTTAAAAAACAAGATGTAATGAAATGACGCATTGCGCGATTTTCAACTTTGAATGGGTATATCGATGGATCTGGTTAGGCTATTACTCTACAATTTTTATTTTATGAAAATTTACAACCATAAATTACTAACATGTTAAGTTTCAATCATTATTGAGATGGTCATGAGTCACCAACAATTTGATGGCCTTCTCGATCAAACAAATAAATTTTGAAATCATATGCTACAATTATAAATTATTTGGAGACACCTCGCCATCAATTGACAAGGATGACTTTTTTTTCTGCTCTGAAACATTTGTATTTTATTCTTATAATTTTTTTAATTTGAAATTAATAAAAACTTAAAATATTCACCTGTGTCTAGGAGGAATGATACATTTTAATCGAGAATATAATTTTTCGCGATCTAGAAAGCCATTTTTAACGGAATCGTTTGGTACGGGAACTAATTAAAAAAATTAGAAAAGGTTAAATAAATTATACATTCCTTCTTTATTTACACTCGCTAGTTACATAGATGTGATTCATCACTAATAAAAGAATTAAAGCGTGCACCGGTGTTTTTTAGTTATAAATAGATATAGCTCCCCCTGTCCCACTCACCGTTTATTATAAATGAAATAAAAATGAATTTACAAATGTTAAATAAATCCTCATCTATAGTGTGCAGTTTATTGGGAAGTTTACCATAAACTTTGCCGTTTATTTGCATATCATCGATATTGATAGGTTTTGAATTCTGATGATCCGTAAATGCACCTTCATCTTTATCTGGTTCTGGAACAATACCATCGTTCTCAGGCATGCTTTTTTTTAAAAAAACTAAAAATTCTTTTATTTAAAAAAAATTAAATTATCGTTTAATACCTGTGAAAATTGGTATTTGAATTTGAGATATTTATAATAATAATAATTTGACAGATATATAGACCACTTCTTTTCAGATATTTCTATTGGGTAAAGAAGGATTTATCTTAATAAATATTTTTTTACTATAAGTTTAACCTGGCTTATGGCCAGGAAAACAAAAAAAATAAGGGAACAAAGCACTCCCCTCCCCTCTCCAAATTTCTTATCCCATTTGGGGAAATCTGGGTAATCAATCCTATAACTATAAATTATCATTTTTTACACAATATCAAATTTTATATATTTTGGCAAAATATATTTTTAGAATGATATAATTGTAAATAATTTTAGTAATAGATGTGCCGGATACAATTCTTTTATCAAAACTGGTGCCAGACCCGATCCCAATTTTTTGAAATTACACCTACTCATAAGCTTAGAATGCAAATTTAATTCAATTAAAAGTATTAAAATTTATTATCTCTTCAATAGAACTTCTTTATCATGTTGAACCCAAAACTAGTTGGGGCCTTTAAGACAAGTCCTATCCTTCCAGGTGGTTTGATTTTGGGCATGTCTGACAATGTCAATTTCTTATCCTTTGAGAATTCCGACCCACCTCTATTTCTTTGACACTATTTCGAGATCGACCGGTTTATGTTAGAGTCCCTGCACATCTCCATACCATCTCAGTCTGTTCTCCTTTATATTTTCCGAGTAAGAAACTACGCCCATGTTTTTCCTTTACCTATCATTGGTCATACAATCTAGCTTTGTGTAGCCTAGGCTCATTTGATATACAAATTTTGGTTTCCAGCATCTTTTTGAAAGCACGCGCTCATTTGATATTCAAATTTTGGTTTCCAGCATCTTTTTGAAAGCTCGCAGAGATCATTTTTATACTGATACAGCAAGACTGTATAAATATAATATAAGCTTCACCCTTATAAAAGAAAGCATACTGTGATTGTATGGGTCCATGCTAAGGAGAGACATGACTAACTTGGACTTCTAAAATATGAGATGATGATGACCCGTATATTGCCATGACATAAAGCTTTGCTAATGGAAAGATAAGACTTGTCTTAAAGACCCCAATAGTCTTGGGAGTGACATGCTGATAAGGAAAATCAGTTTTATTGATGAAAATATACTACTAAAAATATTAAATACATTTTTATTGAATTTACATTCTTTCTAAGCATATGAACAGCTGAAAATTTTTAAAAAAACATAATTTTTCTAAATCAAGAGATGATTTTTTATATTGTATGTATTTTGTTTATTGAATTTATATTAAATTTTAAATTCCAAAAAATAAATTTATTTATAAATTTTACACTGCCAATCCAAAAATTTTTGGCTGATTCAATTTGATCCAAGATTAGATCTTTAATACCAATTGAACCAATGTCACAAAAATAATCAATATTTTATATGTAAAAAATAACAACTGTAAGTGTCAACTATGGGCAGAACATTAAAGGCTTCTCTATTTCCTTTTCCCATGGCCAAGGCAATATTTGGTGAATAATCACAAATGTGTAAGCATATTTTATTTTTTATTCACCATAATTTAATTATCTCAGTTAAAATGTAGGCAATGTTTATGGCTGATTGTGGCTCATCAAATATTTTTAAATTATTTTCTTGTTGAATTTAGCAATATTTTCTTTCAAAATAATAATATTTTTAAATATGAAATAACTCTTCTAGCTTTAAGTTTTATTAAAATTCCAAATAAATTGAATTTTGGTTCCTTTTCATTTATTATTAGGAAATTATGTGTAAATTAAATAATAACAATGATAATATTGGATCAGATGCGTTTTTAGAAAAAATTTGCATTAAATATCAGCCCTGAGTTAATATTTAATATTGGCACAACTCTATAATTCTTCATTTTTCCAGTAAATAGATTAATATATTTTAAAAAAAAGAACTGATGAATTTGAACTGGTCAGATCCAAATCTGGTCTAGTATCCGATCTTGGATATAGTACATGTCTAGTAAAAAGGTATAGAATATCTAATTGCATCCATCTTGAATTAAACGACATTGCAACGTCAAATTTTATTTTAAACAGAAGAATACTATGGCTTTTTTAGAAATTGAGTCAGATAAAATTATAGAATACTCGGTTTAAGTTATTGCTTTAAGTGTATATTGTTAGTACTGTAACCCTCTTATCTGGCATTTTAAAAAAAATCAATTTTTTTGTAAATGAGTTTATCATAAGTAGTGTTGTTAAACGGCTCAATTTAGCCGATTTTAAATAAGAAAAATTTACAAAACAATATTACACAAACCACAATTTATTAATAGGATGCCCAAACCATTCTGCCATCTATAAGCAAAATCTTAAGGATTGCTTTATAATTTTTGACTAAAATGTTGGGTGAGCCGTATTTAAAAATCGAGACGTTTAAGAACACTAATCATAAGTGTCTCTATAATATATCAAAAATATGTACCATAGACAATAGAAAAATTTATTATTATTATATTAAATTATATAGGGTTTGGAATGCAGTCAAATACTTTATATTCTCTATATATAATCCTCAAAAAACTCCTCTCAAATTTATCCAATAAGTGAGTTAATATAAATGTTATGCTTGCCTCAAAAATGATAAAATCAACATGCTTGGATGTGCCCCGAGGTGTAAATTTTATTTGAGGTAAAAAAAATCAATTCATTATTTTAAGTATTTATGTTTTTTTAATGTGATGCCATTTTTTAACATTATTTCAAGGAAAGTTTGATTCATTATAATATACCTGTTACCCATAGTCTGACATCTTACCAAAAGAAATAAACTACTACAAAATAAAAGTGATATAATGAACATAGCAAGATATTTTGTTCTTCCATTTATCAAATTAGAAAAGTGCACTCATATATTCTGATATATGTGGGGGAGATATTTACCCATGATAATTTGGCATAAATAGAAAAACTGTATGGTATACATATATTTTAGGGATCTTCCAAGAACCTGCTATCAAAAATTAAGTAATACATAAATTCATAAATATAAGAATATGTTTTGCATAGTTTAAATTTAAAAAAAAAAAATTAATGGGCTAGAATGTGACAATTTATATTATATTTAAAATAAAATTTTCTTTCTATTATTATAAACAAATTTCCAAAAAATATTTTTTATGAAAACTAAATTATAAACGTTTATTTATCTCTAATTTCGTTATTTAATTTAGGAAAAATATAAATTAAAAAATGGATTTTATATAAGATTTTTGGCTTAAATTCAAAATTAAAGCAACAAAAAAATTAATTAATTTTTTTTTAAAGCAATCAATAATTAAGAAGGAATGAAGATGATATTAATAGTAAAACTAACAGATAGCCCATCAGGAATGATCAGAAATTTCTCTTTATTTGATGATGGATGAATCAGAAATTAGTTATCTTATGAGTTATGAATCAGAAATTTAGCTTTATTTTGCTGGTTGATTCCAAGTTTTGCAAAACTTATTTTTGATTTAATATTACCACACAAAATCCTCATCAAGAGGGAATAGATTTTTTAAGTTATAAATTACAGATACAAATGAATAAAAATTTAATAGAAAAGATTTTTATTGTGCACATATATTAAAGGTACTAAATGTATGCATTAACATAATTTATAAAAATTGAAAAATATCAAAATAACTCCTCATCAATATAAAAGTAAATTTCTGAATCACACCTCATAAGATAGGAAAAATATAAGAGAAAATTCAGATTCCCTGTCATTCTTGACAAGCTATGAGCTAGTTTATCCATAATTTTTATTAATAAATATAAAATACAATCAATTTAAACAAAAAACATGATTAAGCCCCTAAAAAGAGCAAAAATTAATTTAAAAACTATTTGTATTTTTTTGTTTTAAAATTAAACTAAGGATATTTAAGAAAATTATATTAATACTTTGTGTTTGAAGAAGAAATCTCATTTAATATATCAGTTTGCATAATGTTTTGTTTGGATATATTACTATTTGTTGTACTTTCCTTTGAACTAGATAATGAGACTACTCCATTTAATTTATAAATTTGAGATTCTACATCAAAATCAAGGTTATTGACATTTGAATTTATATTTTCAGGCTTAATGGCAATGTTTTTGATATCAGATTTGGAAAGGTGGGCATCTTTGTTGTGCTTTAAGGCATTTCTAATGGTTTTATACAAAAATTTACGTAATTTTTCCCTAACATAAATCTGACTTTTCTGGAATATTCTATCTTGATCAGAAATAGAGCTTTCGTTAGTATTAATTTGTGCCTTTTTGTAAAATAATTTAGATAATTTATTAGCATCAATATTAAATGATGGAGATGAATATATATTGTTAATTTGTATTTCATTCTGTTTAATTTGGTATATTGACTTGTAATCATTTTTCTTAAAATGCTATATTTTTGAAATTTTATTATTTTAAAAAAAACTTTATTTGTGGTTTCAACAATATTAAATTATGACAGCATAAAAATAATTAAGATTATAATAATCTTAAATTATAATTTTGTATAATTTAAAAGAAATATAAAAAATTATAAGATAATAAAAGATACTTGCCTATGTAAAATTGGTTAATAACAAAGAAAAAGTAATCAAAAAATATTTTATATTATGTTAATATCATTACTTTTTTGAATTGTAAACTAGAAGGTTTATTATCAAATTTAATTTTTGGTCTTTCATTCTGCTTTATAATCAATTTATCATCCATAAAATTGATACTATTGTTAGTATTAGAAATAACTTTCTTATAATTTGATGCAATTAAATTGGATAAAGATGTCTTATTTATAGGTGAAAAATTAATTGGTATTGATTCATAAGATATATTTGTCTCAATCTTATTATTTGCAGATTGTGATGAATGTAAAGAGGTATTTGATAATTTTCTTTTATGTTCAAGATAAATTTTAGTATTTTTGATTAATTTCAATATTTTCATCAAGGATTCTTTTGATAATGGTTTACTATTATTAGCAAACATATATTGCCTTATTTCATTTTCTTCCATAATTAACAAATCTTCAAACGAGTTTATCATTCCACTTTTAAGAATCTTAAATATTTAATTTATACTTAACATTAAGTTTAAAAAAACTTGTTCAGAGTATTCATTAGGTATTTGAGCTACATGGAAAAATTTGATTAAATTAGGAATAAGAGATAATTTTGATTTGATATTTGCATCAATATCTTTTTTTGAACATAGATTTAGAAATTCATTTTTTGTCAAGTATTGTTTTGAAAATAATTTTATTAATTTTTCCTAATTATAATATAAAATAATTCTCAATAAAAATTTCAATACTTCAATCGATTTTATTTCATGTTGGATCAATGAATTTGATTTTAAAGGTAATTTTCTTAAACCATCAAGATGATCCAAGGTTAGATCTATAAAGCTTTCGATGTTGTTACATATTTCTAAAGTATGATCTAGCTCCGAAGTAACATTTTCAGAATTCATTTCAGCACTTATGGGTATCAATCTAGAGCGAATTGATGATATTTATGATATTTGACATTTGATATGACAGATATCTAATAATAAAATGATAGAATTAGAATTGTATTTTATTTTTCCCATTGTAATATTCAAATTTTTAATATAATATATATCTTCAAAATACTTATAAATAAAGTTTTGTTATTCAGAGACATTAGATTTCTTATATAGACAATGTTCTTATGTATATTTGATATATATATGTGATATTGATATAATAGGAGAGGTTTTGTACTTTAACGTAGTGTTGTTAATTTTGTGTAAAACCCAGATCCGGGGTTTGGGTCTAAAAATCGACCAAACCAGCTCTGAGCACGAACCCGGGGTTCAGACCCGGGGTCCAGACCAGTGGTTCAGACCTTCCAGATGAATAATGTTATTCCAAATAGTTCAAAAAATAAAAACATGGCAAAGAGAAAAATTTACTATCGTTGTACGTTGAAATTTTTTAAAAAAATGTGTTTTTTATTTATGGCGTGGCGCCATATTTTTAACGGTCAATAGTGGAAAACGGTAATGGTACAAATCGAGTTTAAAACGGAACAAATCAATTTCGTTTTTAAAATTTGTAGAATGTCATATTTGAATATCGGGGAGCTAACTTCACGCTATAATATAAGGTTCAAAATTTGATTTCCGACATAAATAATGGAGATTAAACTTAATTTAAGGTATCATTAGGAAGAGAAGAAAATTCTCTATCATTGTACGTTAAGAAGATTTTTTTTAAAAATGAGTATTTTTTATTTTTGGCGCCATATTTTTAACGGTGAATAGCTGGAAAACGGTAATGGTACAAATCAAACGGAAAACGATACAATCGGTACAAATCACTTTCTATCGACCTGTACACTTTTTATTAAATTCAAAAGTTGGGGGGCTGTCGTAAAGTTGGCCCCCCATTTTGTTCTTTGAATATCTCAAAAACGGTGATGGTACAAATCGAACTGAAAACGGTATAAATCGGGTACAAATCAGTCCAACTGATAAACTATTAAAAATTCAAAAGTGGGGGGGGGGGCAACTTCACAGATCTCATAAAATCTTCAATTTACACTTTTTATAAAAAAAGAGTATACAAAAATATAAATAAACTTACTTAATTTTAATTTTAAAAATATTATTTTCATAAAAAAAATTATTGAAGTAATTAACTAAAAACAAAATTATATAAAAACATACTTAATTTTAATTTTAAAATTATTATTTTCTTAAAAAAATAATCTAAGTAAATAACTAAAAAAATAATATAATAAACTAAACTTCAAAAATATAAAAACAACTTACTTAATTTTAATTTTAAAATTATTATTTTCTTAAAAAAAATAATAATTAATAAACAACTTCAAAAATATAAAAAAAACTTACTTAATTTTAATTTTAAAATTATTATTTTCTTAAAAAAAATTATCTAAGTAAATAAATAAATAAAAAATTAATTAATAAACAACTTCAAAAATATAAACACACATCATGATGGGACTTTGCCATTTTTCATCACAGATTATAAATTTTAATTTCTTTTTATTATTTAAACTACCATGATGTTTTATCTTTATTTTTTGTTCATATTTAATTACAATATGTAAAAGTAAAATTTTACTTTTTTACCCCTTTTATTGTATATTTAAAAATAATATATTACCAATTATATGTCTGTATATTACACGTTTTACTTTCACCTCAATATGGGGGAGGGAGAAATTAAATTTGTGTATAAAAAATAATATACATAGTTAAAAGAAAGTAAAATAAAAATATATTATTTTTAAATAAATTCTGGCCGTGACGGTAAATTTTTTTAAAAAATAATTAGGGTTCTGGCCATAAAACATTTTAATAAATAGCACCCCAAATTTTAACAATATTTAAATGATAAGAAAATTAGATTAAAAGCTTTATTAATTTAGAATGTATAAGATTTAATTTAAGATTAGAAAACGAGATTTATTTTTTCTTACTTTTCATTTATCCAAGCCCCGGGTGTAATCCATAGGTGGGTCTGAACTCCAGGTCTAAATCACAGGTCTGGATCCTAGGTCTGAACCACGGGTCTTAACACCGGGTCGGCCTGAGCACATAAAAAAGTCCTAAGTTTTACGACCAAACAAATTAACAACATTACTTTAAAGTTTTAATGTTTGTTTAATAATTCCCTTTTTAATTTTAAGAATATATTTAATTTTTTTATATATTATTTTACAATTTTGATTATTTTACTTTAATTGTATTTTGGACCCTTTTGAATAGCTTATTTAACAATAAAGAATCCGTATTATTATTATTTTAGCCCTTTTATATTTAACAGGCGGCATAGTTTTTTAAAATCTTCCAAATTCCGTCAAAATGTAAAATTTTTATGAAAATCATGAATAAATAGGTTTTCTAGGGTGAAACAAGATAGCTTATTTAACTATTTTACATAATTCAACGTAGTTTGATTTTACTTAACCAAATTAATGTGCTATCTCTTTTCTAACTTTTGTAAAATTATTAAAACTAGTAGAAAGTCCTTCAAAAATGACGGGGAATAAGATTTTTATTCATTTTTTTGGTAATGATGCTTACTACCAAGTGAATGTATGGAAATATTCTAAATACCAACCTAACTTGCTAAATACCGACCAAAATTTATTAAAATGTAATAAGATCCTTATTATTTAATATATTAATACTGAATCACGTGGTTGAGTCCAGCTTCCTATATATTATCTCCCCAAGGATGGAACCACCAAGTTAGAATAAGAAAAAAACATGATCATTCCCGGGATTCGAACCCGGGAGCATGGGATAAGTAAACCAAGCTCTTGCTACTAGGCCATAGAGGCTTTCCAAAAATCACGATTTTTCAAATATATATTATAAATATATTTGGTAGTGCCTATCCAAATGAAAAATGAACAAAATTCAAATTTGATAGATGGTACCTTAAAGTACCAAGCATCATTAACCCATTTTTTACGATAGATGTCATGGCAGATTCAAGCTCACAATATTAGGAAGCATCCAAGATCTTATCATTTTAAAAAAGTTTACCAAACCTAGCTCAACCCTTAATAATATGTAAAAGATATTCCCAAATCAGGTGCAAGTTAATATTAATTTTGAAGTTCCAAGCCCAGTCCTACCCATTATAAATTTGAAAATTTTTTCCCACCTCGGAGATAGTTAGATTTTTAATTGATTTATCATCACACACATGAAGGGGAAATATCATTTACCAATTAATCTAATATGCAAAAAAAAACATATGAATTCCGTACTAAAGGAAACTGGGAAAGCCTGGTCAAACCACTTATTAGAGAATCATAACAAATAAAATAAAAATAACCGACTTTTATACTTTTTTGTAATATGATCAATTAAATTTACATCTAAAAAATAAATTGTTGTTTATTATATAGGGTTATTGTTGTTTTTCAGGTAAATTTAATGTATGTCTTGCATTTCCAAAATTATTTATCAAAGAATTTGATAAAGGATATATATATTTTTATATTAAGTAAAAAAAAAATACTATCTATTTAAATTACAAAAATGCCAATAAACACTAATGAAACTTATATGCAAATTATTTATATATTTTTTAAGATATTTTTTATTATTGACATATAAATTTATGATAATTTTTTTTTAAAATAATGAGGATTAATTATTATGTATTTGAAAAAATTAAGAGCAAAACCTTGTTGATATTTTAATTTTTGACGGAAAAAGTAACAAAATAAATATAGGCGGTCGTCTGGAGAGGAAATAAATAATGTATAATTTCATATCATCTAGTGTTGTAGATGAAAGTAATGACGGATTAACAAAGTAGTGTACAAAACACATTACGTACTGATAAAAATGATATGCCTATGTCTTGGGATACTGGTAAGAGAAGAACGCAAAATGATATTTCTGTCAATGTCAGCATTGGTACCCCCCTCTAAAATAGAATCATGAATGACAATGTTAACTCAGCCATAAAACGGTCGTAAGTAATGTTATAAAGGCCATGGCAGAACTACTGCATATTTTTCCATTAATAAAGTTGATGAAATTGGCCGTACTGTACATTCAAGTTTGAACATTCCTCTAAATATTCATGAAAGTTTCTCAGAGAATCGGATAAAGTAATATTTATATTCACTCCTAGTGAAGTGAATGATAGTACGGAATTGAATGCTTGTATTTGTTAAAAAATAGGAAGAGGTGGCATCGGGATTGTGGTAGTGGTAATAGAAATATCATTGGAAGAACTAGGTGAAAATAAAATAAACATAGATATAAAACATAAGAGAAAAAAACAAAATAAACCTCCAGAGGTGTTCATTTCAAGCTTAGTTCTTTATTATTTTGCCTACCAGTAACTCTAGAACAGGTAAGGCGTTTGTTTAATCGTCATTATTTTCTTTGCTTATCTTTAATAATATATTCATTATGTTTTGTAGCAATGTGAGAGATTAAGGTTGGGTTAGCCTAGATAAATAAAGAAATCAGGCAAAAATATAAATAAACTATTGTACAAATTAAACAAACATTAAAATAATGTAAACCAGTAGACGGGTCAATATTAGATGCATATTCCCAGAAGTTGGATGGCTATCATCAAAAAAATGTTTTGGGGGGACTTATCAAGACTTTTATGATATTCTAAAGATTTATTTTGCATTGTTCATTATTAATGGCTGATATATCAATATTTGAACAATTATAAAGAGGAAATAGGATGGGGATAGTTTTCTAAAGTAAAAAAAAATAATTCTCAAGTTAATTTTATAAGGTAGGATTAAAATAAAATACCATTCGGAGAGACCAATTGGCAAACTTTAAAAAAACATAGGATCTTTGTGAATAGGTATAGAATAATTTAAATAATATATACATACCGTAATATGTATTTTTTTTTGGAGCCAATATTAATTTTAAGAAATATTTTTAAGCCCAGTCCAACCTATAATAATTTGAAAAAATTTTACCAAGCCTGGAGATATTAAATTTATAATTAAGCCCAGTGCAACCCTTAATAATTTTGAAAAAATTTTACCAAGTCTGGAGATATTAAATTTATAATTAAGCCCAGTGCAACCCTTAATAATTTTGAAAAAATTTTCCCAAGCCTGGAGATATTAAATTTATAATTAATGAATGGGAAAAGTTAATCTATGAGTTATTACTGATCTGCAGAATATTACAAACCTACATGAAAATATAATATTATAAAAAAAGACTGTTAAAATATAAAATGGGAAATACACAAAGAATCATGACAAAATCAGGTCTGCCCTAATATTATTATAAGAAATAACAAATATTACCTCGTATTATTGGAGATAACTCCAAAAATTAAGTTATGGAGAAAAAATCTCTGATGTACAAGTTAAGTTGAATATCTTTATAAAATATTAATAATTTGTAATATTTTGTAAATAGATATATTTAATGTAATAATTTGACATCCTATGTAAAATTTTGTAATGATAAATTATAAGAATATTTAAGCTTTTAATATGGCATTCTACAGTTGCATAAAAAACTTAAGTTATAAAATCATCTGTTTGTATAGAAAAAAAATAAAAAAAAATAAAATAAATACGTACCGATGACGTGCATAGCAATCACATGACGTCACGATGACGTTAAGAAAATTATAATATAGACAAATTAAATTCTATTTAATTCAATGTCATTGATTTAATTCTATATCTTATCTTATCTAGCACGTTGGTCATAGACCTGCCCAAAATGAGCGACTTATATTTTTATGAAGGCCTACCCTTCATGAATTATGCCGATTTTTTTCTCAAGTATACTAACAAACTTTGTACCCAGTTGTTATTTAACAAAAATGAGTGGAACATACCTTTTCCGATTTGTAATAGTGAGATTTAGTAATGAGTATTATAAAAGAAAATACAAATTTAGTTATCTTATCTATTTTTGAATCCATAGAATAACCATATCAATAATATAGAATGAGTTAAGAATATTTGAATCCATAGAATTACCACATCAATAATATAGAATGAATTAAGAATATATAGCAGTTTCCATTTCATCGTTAATTTTAATTCATTGAGTCTAGAAATAAACAAATAATTAAATAAAATTAAATATTAATTAAAAAACAATATAAAACATTTGTCGAGTCCAAAAATTATTTCACCGGATGAACCGCACCCAAAAAAGACTACTATAGAGCCAGTTGCGATTTAGTACCCATGTTTATTTTTTTAATCACCTATTCATTTTTTTTCGCGATTTTGATTAACGTTTGTTTTTGATGGGATTTTTAAAATCGATTGAAGTTGAAAATTTTAAATCATATAAGGGAAAGAAAAGAATTGGTCCTTTTAAATCATTTAGCGCAATTATTGGGCCCAATGGATCAGGTATATTTATTATTTTGAATATTAATGATAGAAGATTAAGGCAAATCCAATTTAATGGATGCTATTAGTTTTGTGCTTGGAGAGAAAACATCTAACCTAAGAACAAAAAAATTATCAGTAAATTGTAATTATTATTATCTTGTTTAATTTGTTTAGGATCTAATTCATGGAGCACCTGTTGGTATGCCAGCCTCAAATAAAGCATATGTGACATTGGTATATGAGGAGAATGATGGAACTGAAATCCATTTTACACGATCAATTATTAATTCTTCGTCAGAATATAAAATCAATAACGAGGTAATACCTCAATATTTATATCAAATTTTATCTTAAATATTAGATTGTTAAACTTGAAGATTATGCAGAAGTATTTAAAAAACTGGGAATATTGATTAAGGCTAAGAATTTTTTAGTTTTTCAAGGAGCAGTTGAAGCAATTGCTATGAAGAACCCAAAAGAAAGGACAGCACTTTTCGAGAGTATCAGTGGGTATGATATTTCAAAAATAATTATTAACATACTTTTTTTTAAAAATATAATATTTAATAATATAATCATCAAATCTTAAAGTTCAGGAGAATTGCAAGATGAATATGATAAAATGAAAGCAGAGATGATTAAAGCTGAAGAGGATACTCAGTTTTCTTATCACAAAAAGAAAGGTATTGCAGCTGAACGTAAGGAAGCCAAATTAGAGAAAGATGAAGCTGAAAAATATCAACGGCTTAAGGAGCAAATTGTAAGTGGAAATATTATAAATAATATTTTTTATACTGAAAAGTAAAATTTTAACTTTGTTGTAGAATATTTTTGTTAGGACAAATTCTTTAATTTGGTTAAAATTTTTGAATTATTGTCAAAACTATTAATTTCCTTAATTTATATTTTTTAAAAGAATGAAAAACGTTCAGAATACAAACTATTTATGGCTTATCATAATGAACGTGAAATTACAGAGCTATCAGAGATTGAGCTAGTCAAACGGAAACGTGAACTTGAACGTGCTGAAAACAAGCGAGACAAGGTAGAGAATGACCTCAAAGAACGCAAAAAGGACTTTGGAAGGATGACCAGAGAAATTACTAGATTTGATCAACTGGCCAAAGAAGTAGACTGTGAGCTGAATCGCAAGAGACCAGCATTCATAAAGGCAAAAGTCTCTTATTTTTTTATATAAAGAGCTTAAAAATAAAATAAAAATCTGTTGTTTTTGAATTATATAATTTCTACTATGTTCTTGGTTTTGTTAGGTTATTCTTGATAATTTTAAAAACTGCAAATAGGAATCTATTCCAAATGTATTACCAATGCCATACCAGAATTCCTAAATATTTAACCCTTTTTAAAAGGAAATGAGTGCCCACGTTTTAAAAAAGATAGAAGGGGCCAAAAAATCTCTCAAACAAGCAACAAAGGCCCACGAATCTCACCGAGATGATATAGCTCAACTTGAACATGAACTGGAGGAAGTCAACAAAAAGCGAAATGAATATGAAACTCTGGTACAGGAAGAAAGTCAGGAGACTGGCGAAGATTCTAAACTTCTGGCTTCTCAGGTCTGTTTAAACTAAATTTAATTCCATTTAATAGGTAAGGCCACCACCCTTAGTAGCCATATTTTAAGGACTGCGAAATTAAAAAAGATTGTAAATATATTTTAATTTTTTAAATTGTCTTACATTGAAATCATAATTTGTAATATTTATGAAGCCATGGAGAATGTTTCAGAAACAACAAAAGACCTATAGTGTAGCACTGAAGTGATTTCTTTGTACAAAAAGTTTCCCATTTCTGGTATAAAGTTCAGGTGCAGGCAAATCTTATAAGCAAGATGGTATAAAACGATAACAAGTCTACATAATGCAGTGTCAATTTTTAGATTGATTTAAAAATGATATTTTTGGTTCATTATGTTATAAATGAGAAAGAAAATTAATATTTTCGGCCCACCCCTTTCAATTTCAATAAAAATTTATAAGTAATTATATATGTCAAAGATCTGCTGGCCAAACTGTATTTTTATTTTTTAAATATACCTAGGGTGAGCCTAAAAATTTTTTTAAAATATATACCAGGCCGAAAAATTTTTTCAAAAATATCCCGGCTGGTCTAATATTTAAAATTTCTATTATTATCTATAAAAATTAAAATAAATAGAATATATTTAAAAAAAATAAGACCAGGTCTGAAAATATAACCCGGGCTGGGCTAGGAACTTCTGCAGCTCTAAGATATATGTTCTAGTTATAAAACAAAATTTAACATATTAGCAATTATATTGCTTGAAATAATGGATATTAAAGGTAATTGGTTACCCTTTACAAATATTAAATAATTAGTTTATAATTAATAACTAAACATTAATTGAATATTATGAGTAGGGTTATGCTAACTTACATATTTTTTTACCTATTTGATCTTATATTACTAGAAACCAAATCCTTTATTTTTATTTGATTTTTTATTTACCAGCTATCCTTGAAATATTGTAAAAAAATATACACAGAGTTAATCAACTCATTTAAAATATGGGCAATATTTATCGCTAAATTTATTAAAGTTAAATGGCCCGATTTTAAACAAGCTAAGTCAATATTTTGGCCAAAATTTTATTACCTAAACTTAAAAATTTGGCCAATAGATGTCCATACCTTTTAATCATTTGTTTGCAAAATCTTCAAGCTAAGGTAATTTTGGTAAAAATTTTGTATTAGCCTTTTTTAAAGAATGGATAGCTATTTTACAATGCTTGCTGAATATGATTTGTTGGGATATGTTTAAATCATTTTCTATTGCATATAATATACCAAATGATTATATCAAATTTTTAGCTACTTTATCTTTAAAAATAATATAATTAATTATAAAAAACATTACAAATTAATTGAGATTCCTTTTATTAATTTATTATTATTATGAAATTATGTATAAAATTAAAAATATTTTATAATTATATATTAAGATTGGTTTTCTAAGAAAAAATATGGATCATCTTATGGTCAATTAAAAATTTGAATTAATATATTGAAATGAATATGCACTCCAATTTTTTAAATTTATTTACTAGTTTTCTAATAATTTCTTCAATAATTATGCGATTTTAAAAAATATTGCAAATAATTGTTAAAATAACAAAACCCTTTGTTTGACAAAAATTAAGTTTCCAAATTTTTTGTTTTGTTTTAGAATGCAATATATAATATTTATTTATTTTAAATAAAAGGTAAGTGAATATCACAAGTTGAAAGAGGATGCCGTCAAAAAGGCTACCAAATATTTACAAGAACTCGATACCGTTAACAGAGAACAGAAGAATGACCAAGATAAGTTGGATAACGAGACAAGGAAAAAACAAGAATTGTTGGCTATCATAGATCAGAAAAAACATGAGCTTGAGGAAAACAAACGCCGAATTGACAAATTGAACGAATTTATCAAGTTCTTTTCAATTATATATAATGAGGAAAGAAAGAATGATTTTCGATTTCAATAAGTTTTATAGATTTTTTTTCTGCAGAGCCCAAGTCCGTGGGCGGGGCTGGGAAATTTTTTAACCAATTAAAATGGGCCAAGCAATTTACGCATAAAAAATTTTCAGGCAGGGCCAGACAATTTATATATAAAATATCATGCCAGCATGGGCATTAAATTACTATGGGTATGGCCTAGAAAAAATTTAATGGTTTGGGCAACTTGTGCAATAATACTTGTTGGGCTAGATTTTGCAGACTTCTAATTGAGATAACTTTTATGAGAACTTTTTTTTGGTAAATTAATTTGCTATTTTTTTATTAATACTCCAAAAAATATCGAGAGAATTAATTTATTTTAAAAAAAATGAATAAACGTTATAGCTAACTTCATTCACTATATTTGGTCTAGCGATAATGTTTTTATTTTTTAAATTAAGGTCAACTATATTTAAATTTATCTTAAAAAATGTACCTGACTCGATGTTTATTTATAAAAACGCCTCACCCGGATCTTTTTTTTGTTTATAAATATATCATTTCGGGCTTGCTGTATTGTTCTTAAATGGCTCGATTTTGTTGATTTTAAATTAAAATTTTAGGCAAGAAAATTTTAGAGCCTCAAGATTTTGTTAACATGATTTTCAATTTTGAATAAAATATTAGATTAGCCTTTTAACAACACTAGCTTGCAGGTCTGATTTATTTAATTATAATTACCATAATATTATATTTGCTGCAGGGTTGGAAGTCGCTCAATTGTCCAGTCAAGGAGTATTTGACAGTCAAATACTCTATAAAAAAATTTAAAATATATTTGTAAATAGAAATACGATATAATGCATGTGATCACATGCTTCTTATTTATTGGAATCCCAATATCAAGGGAAGCATCTTACTTTTATGTTTTTATAAAATAATATTTATAAGATGAGCCTGTCATTTTATTTATTGTATTTTGTTTGTTTTATTTTTATGGGATAAATATATATTAAAAAATTACATTTTTTAGTGTGTGGAAATCTTATTATATTTCTTGGTTTGAATTTTATTTACTCTTTCTAAGGTGTTGACCTTTTTGATTGTTTTTTTTAAAGTAAATAGTTATTTAAATTTTAAAACAGGAGAAAAATGAGGAATTTTAAAAATCCAATTAGTAATAGTGAAAAATTAATGAGGATAATTTATTTTATGCTTTTTGAGGATGTGTACATTTTACATTGTTATAATATACAAGTATAAATTGTTTTCGGATCATTCCATGTCGGATCAATCACGATTCGGGCGACCCCTTTTAGAGAGGTGAAAAAATCAAAAGGCCGTTTATTTTAGCTCTCTAGTCTATAAAAATCGAGCGCGTTCACCATTCATTGACAAAAATCGAATAGGTTCAACGTTCACCTTCAAAAAAAAAGGAACGCGTTCACTTTCGTTTAAAACTTCGTGAATAATTTTTTTTAAAAATTTATTTTAATATAAAATAAATACCCTATATTTATATATATTAGACATATTTAATAAAATTTGATACATATAAATACAATATAATGTAATATAGTCAACAAAAAAATATTTTATTTTCTAAAAATATTTATTAATTTTTAATATTTAGAAACTTTTATATATCATTTAAAATTTAATTATTTAATACATATTTTAGATAGTTAAAAGATACTGACCTATATTACAAATACATCTTAAATGGATCTAGATAGAGATACAATTTTTATTATACATATATACAAAGTTTTCCTTTGTTTTCGAACATAATAAATAAATTTACTTGCTTAAAATAATTTTGTGCATCATTGATATTATAATAATTAATATTAATGGGCTCATAGACTAAAGCAAGGATTTATATATTCCTTTACGTGAGAAAAATGCCTATCACAATCTCGAATTTGATATTTATAGATTTAAAAGAAAAAAATTAATATTTAATGAATATTTATTTATTTTTTTAAATTTAATTAATCATAATATATGAAATTATATGCTCATATTAAATAAAATGAATTTTACATTCAAATATTTTTATTTTTAATATAATAAAAGCGTTAAATAAAGGAATCTTAAAAAGTTTCTAAGAACAGATTCAAACATTTTTATATCTATATATTTTAACAACTCTGATAAATATATTATATAAAACGTCAAACATTTGAATTTATAAGATACTTTTTTATGGGAGTTATTAAGATTTATTAAGGGAGAGGAGAATTAGTTCAAAAATAAATAATGTGATAAAAATAGTGCTGTAAACATTTCTAAAAAAATCGAACGCGTTCAAGTTCATGTTTATAAAAAAGGGGCCCGTTCACATTCACGAACGCGTTCACGTTCATAAAACCGTTCAAAATTTTATGATAAATTTTTTTAAATTTAATTTAATATAAATAAACTTATATTTTTTAATACAATATATTTTAGCCATGTTAAAAAATAATATAGTTTTATTTTGATAATATAATTATAAATAAAATAAAATATAATATAGCGAATAAAAAGATATTTTTATTTATAAAAAAATTTTCTTATTAAATTTTAATAACAATTGTTTTCAAAATAGTTATCTGATAGACAGGAACACTTGGCAGTTAATACGGCATTAGCTATAATAAAAACGCGCTCTACAGGGGCAGATGAGGGGATTACGGTATGATACTTAATAAACAGCTCTTTTAACGTGGAGAATTAATTAAAAACATATTGTTTTGTTATTTGCAAAAAATTGAGATATTATCCTCATCCAATCCATTCTCTACTCTCGACAACAAAAAAAAGGATATCTCGAAATTAACAGTTCTCTAGGGTTTTCAAAGCATTTTTTTCAATAACGCTATAAGTTTATTTTTAATAGGTTCGTTCTGTGGAAGTTTTATCCATGGCCATTGAAGTTTGATTACTGGATGTATAATTGCAGAAAGAACATATTGATCCTTATATATATGTTCAAATCTTTAAAAAAATAAAATATATGTAATTAATTGAGAGTGATAAGTTTAATACCTTTTATTAATCCCATTTAATACGGCGTCTATCAATGGTTGACCATGTTTGAGGCCACTAATTTTTTTAATATTAAAATAACTATCGTTATTGTTGGGGTCAAATATCCCGAATACATTATTTCTTCAATTCAAAGATTTAACTTAGTTATATCATATAAAATCAAATAATTAATATTAAAATTAAATGTCGTTTTAAATTGGAACCTGAAGATTTTGACAATATAATACTTTTTGGCCACATTTTACACTTGACAAGCATTGGATTAGTTCCTTCAATATAGGATGTTAATGTAAAACATTTTTTATATTTTGCCATAGTAATGATAATTCATCTGATTTTGGATTTTCAGAATCAGATGATGAGGATTAAATAATAATATCCAAGCTTATGCTAATCTATTAGATTAAAATATAAACAATAATATTAAAATTAATAAACTATGTGTTAAAAAAATTGAAATGTGAAAAGGAAATATACAGCATTCGTCATAAAAAAGAACGCGTTCACGTTCAAAGTTCTTCAAAAATAAAAGGAACGCCGTTCATCATTTTTTTCAAAAAACGAACTTCGTTCACGAACGCGTTCGTTTACAACACTAGATAAAATAAAAATATGCATATAATCGGTATCAGTTAAATTTGTAAAAAATATTGACGAATCTGATATTTTTTCATAAAGTCCAATATCGGCGCCGATCAAAGATATTTAATATCGGGGCAGCTTTAATCATAATAATTTAATAAATATATGAGATACAACAATCTAAAATAAATTATAAGTGGGCTTAGTGTCTTTTTAAATTAGAACTCAATAATTTTGAAAGAATAGAATTAGTTCCTTGGATATAGAATGTTATGTAAAATATTTATTATATAGGGCCATGGCAGAATCAGATGATGATGAAATAACAACATCCATGCTTATGCTAATCTATAAAATATAAATAATAAGGACAAGAATAGTGGCTGGTTAAAAATTGAAATGTGATCAAGGAAACAGCTGATTAAAAAAATACTCATTTTTGAATATTAAATTATTCTTTATATTCAAATGAATAAAAATGAGAAGATTTCTAAAATTGAGTAACATAAAAAACGAGCGTTAAAAAAATGAACGCCATTCATCATTTCTTGGTATATTCTTACTTCGAGTTGCATGATCCTTAAGCCTTTCCTGGTTTATAGATTTTGTTAAGTATAATGACACTCACTGATGTCATTATAATGTACTTTTTAATTAGTAGCGTTGCCACCCCCCTCTCTACCTTCCCAATTATAAGGCAGAATGACGAGGAAAGTTTTCTAAATTGCCAAATCATTCCTACACCTTTTTAACTCATTCTGCCTTTATTTATTTTTTTAAATTGAAAAAAAATAAAATTATTTAATAGAACTAGCGTTCAGCAAATAGAGGAACAAAAACGACTGGAAACTCAATTATCTCAAGAAGTGGAGCAAGCTAAGTCCCGACTGATCGAAATAAACACAGAATTAGAAAATATAACCGAAGAACTGGGAGAAGCTAAAATTGACAAACACGAGAATTCTAGGAGTATAAAGAAAGCAGAATTGATGGAAAATCTTAAGAGATTGTTTCCAGGAGTGGTAATTTCTTCCTTTATTAATATAAAAACAAGCTAATATTATCGAAATATTTATTTTGCTATTTATTTATGCCTATATGATTATTCATGCTAAAAAAATATTTTCATAAGATAAACATGCTCATAATAAAAGTTTGACTCGAATAGATAATATTTTGGGTCAGTATACTATTGCATCTCATAGCATCACAACTTAAACATAATGTACACAAAAAAATAACGACGAAATTCATTATTTATTTCTTTACACACAACATTATCGCATTTTATTATCAATAATATTTTCAAACATAACACGTGCACCACCATTTTCCCATTCTAAATCATCTTGTAGTTTAGATCAGACTAATGATTGGCAAGTGACAATTACAATGAATTGGATAGTTTAACTGAAATTATTTAAAACCGATTATGATATTAAAATTACATTTTAAATACAAATTTTTATTTTGGTAAGTATGGTCGACTTGTGGATATGTGTCAACCCAGTCACAAAAAATATCAAGTAGCCGTCACGAAAGTCCTGGGGAAGAATATGGACGCCATTATAACTGACACGGAAAAAACTGCTCGTGAATGCATTAAGTATATGAAAGAACAGCGAGCCGAACCTGAGACATTCCTACCTCTCGATTATATCGAAGTTAGTTCGTTAGACGAAAAATTGAGGTTAATTTCATATTTCATTATTAAAAGCCTGTATTGTTTTAACTCTTATATCTGAGTTCGATTATATCATCATTAGTATGTTGGGTGCCATAATTTTAGTTATCTTTACTTTGTTGTATACGTAATATAATCACATCACTCTTTTAAAACTTATATAGAAATATAAAATATTTTTTTATTTAACATGTTCAATTCGGAACAGAGAAATCAAGGACCCCAAAAATGTGAAACTCATATTTGACGTTATTCAATACGAACCACCCGCTATCAAAAAAGCGTTGCTTTTTGCTTGTGGTAGTGCTTTGGTATGCGAAACTATTGAGGACGCTCGCAAAATCGCCTTCGGAGGTTATCAAAGGCAGAAATCTGTCAGCCTAGATGGAACCTTGTTTCAGAAATCTGGAGTTATATCTGGCGGGGCTAGGTTTTCCAAAAAAAAAGATTATTTTTTATCAGGGTTATGCCAAAATATATATACATAAATGGTCATAGAGTAACTAGATACAGATAAATTTTTTAAGACAACTTTTATTGTAATCTTGTAAAGTGTGTGCAGTGATAAAGTTGGAAATCTTTTGTTAAAGCTTAAATTGAACCACTTCAGTTTGATATCTTATCTATGTATCAAATATAATTAAATGCTCTAGAATGTAGGATAGTGTTAACTTTTATAATAACACCTTAATATTAGGATAATTTTAAAATATAGTAAAATCAATACATTCATAATTAGAATAAAGTGAAGATTTTATTCATGTTAAAATTAATATCCTTATCCATATCGCCTTGGTGTAAAAAATATTAATTTTTGAAGAGCCAAATGTCCTAAAGCATAACACGAATAATAAATTCAAGTTTCTTTATATAGAAATTAAGTCCATAAATATGAAATAAAAAATAGCACAAAGGAATCATTCCGAATATGAAATTACAATAAAATAAATTGTAGTTAAAAAATATATTTTGAATAATTTTTAATAATTTAATTCTAAAAATCATATAATGAACACATTTTATATAATAAAAATGTATATTTAAGTATGATATTTAGAAATATGTGTTTTTATGTAATTTATTCTTCATAAATAATCAAATATCCACAAAATAAAAAAACTAAGATGATCGTGAAAAAAATAAAATTCCCATAAAGAAAATTTATGTAAATTTACGCGGTCAACGAATAGTCTTATGCTTATACTGAAAAATTTAAATTGGTTAAATAAATTAGTAAAATTAAATAATATTCGGCTATTTATAATTTTTAAATCTACTGCACCCTATGATGCGTATGAAGAGAAGGTAGAATATCACGTTTGAATAGTGTTCCTTTTGGTTGGGATTCTGTAAAAACGGGTCTAGAAATCCTTAATTTTTTTCCACATAAATAAACCTTCCTCTTTAAATTTGCATTTTAAATAATGAATAAGCTTAAATCAATATTTTTTTCAAAATAATTTAAAATAATGACCAACAACTTAACACAAATTTTGAATCTAATCTAGCCCTAGCAATATCTTATATTATACAAACCCTAGTCCACCAAAACTTAAATTTATATTTTAGATGGTTAATTCCCACTACTATTTTGAATTGATTAAAAATAAGTTTAGATTATATATTTAAATATACCAGAGGGAAATTGTATTTTAAATAATATCTTTTTTTAACACTATATTATATTATATTATATTAATTATATAAATATAATAATATAATATTGATAAAATTCAGCTATTTTTTTAAACGAGCCTATATGAGATTTTTGTTTGAATAAATATTTATTCCCCAAATGATAGAGATTAATGACCCAACTTATAAAGTTTTTATATTTACATAAATTAAACCAATTTTGTCTCTTTTTTTTATATAAAAAAAACATGGTACATAAAGTGATCTAAAGGCCAAAGCCAAACGCTGGGACGAAAAGCAGGTATCATTTTTGAAGAATAAAAAGGCCAAACTTCACGAAGAAATGAGAGATGCTCTCAGGATAAAGCGTAAGGAATCAGAATTGGGTATCATTCAAAGCCAGATTAGAGGACTCGAAACTAGGCTCAAATATTCTTACTCGGATAGGGATAACACGAATAACAAGAACGTAAAGAATTGCCAAGTTATGCTCGAACAAATGAATCAAAAATTGGTAGAGTTTCAGGTTAAGAAGAGATTAATTGATTATTATTTCATGTCTTTATTTTATAGCAGAATTATATTTTTTTTGTTAAATCTTCTTAAAACCAAAAATAAAAGTAGGCTATTTTTAGGTTTCAAAATAATCTTTCTCATTTGAACCTTTGCATCTAACTTATTTTTTCAGGTCTTATCTAATAGGAGATAAAATTTATTTTCTTTTATTAAAGGTTAGAGTTCCATTCCTCTCAGTTTTTTTTTATTGGGCTACTAAAAAAAATACGATATTTAAATTAAAATATATCAGGAAAATTATAATGCTGGAGGATAATTAACACTTATGTTTTAGTGGTTGGTGTGGCCCAATATAAAATTTATTTTACGGTCCAGGCTGAATCCTTTTAAAAAATCTCCAAATTATAATTATTATTGATAGTAATATTTACAAAATAATTTTAATGGAGTCGGTTTTGTCTTCTATTGGGCATCTTGAGAGACCGTCTGCCACTTTGTTTTCCTTACTCCCCCCCCCCCCCCCTTCTATTTTATTTCGCAATTTGACCCTCCTAACATTATAGACCATTTAAGCAATCGTGGTGACGTTATATTGGCCAAACCTTTGTTGCTAAATATATATATATAAGTTGTTTGTGGTCGGTTCATATTGTTAAAGTTTGTCCTATCTATAAAGTTTTAACCAGGGATCGATTTTTTGTTAATTAAATCTCTATATCAAAAAAATTATTAATTAATATATATAATTAAATGTTAAATTTTAATCAAATATTGGTTTTTACCTTTTTGATAGCTTTAAAAAAATATATTAATTCCTTTTATATTTTTCTTTCACCTTTTAATTGTTAGATTTTCAACAACCCGAAAATTGTACAACAAACTTTCATCTACAAATAATAAATATCTAAAAAAAAATTCGAGGACAAATATAATGATTTTATTTCTTTTTTCCCCCTTTTTATATTCATTATAAAAATAAATATATATTTATTAAATAAATCATTAATCTAAAAATAACAATTTTTATATAAATCACTTTTAAATAATATATTAAAAGAATGATTGCGCAAAAAAAAATCAAAAAAAATATTCATCACAATTAAAAAATGACTCCACACTTTGCATAAAAAACGAATAACACTACTAAATATTCAAAAAATTTCTTTATTCCGTATACAAGAGCTAATTCTTCTTTTTCGATAGTTGAGTAGTCATTTTCTGCCATTGAAGCAAAATCTATGTGATTCTCGGTTTTTTTGGTATGAGTCAATACGGCTCCTACGCCCTTCGTGACACACCCGAAGTGAGTTGGATATACTTACAGATCGAAATGGATGATTACTGGTGATTAGTCAAACATCTCTTTAAGATTTCAACACTTGATCCGCATTCTTCCGTCCATTGGAAATTGTTGCTTTTCTTTTATAAGTCATAAAGGGGTGCCGCGATTGTTGAAATTTTTTTTATTAATCGATGTTAGGTAATCATAAGTCCTAATAGTGACTGCAATTCGTTGACTGACTCATGAATTGGAGCATATTTTTTTGCTCTTTTCGTAATTTGCTTTAAGACCGAACTCAACATTCGTTGGAATACTTCTAGATTTTTTAGATGCTCTTCATCCTAATAATCTGTAATTTTTAGAAAATTAGGTCCATGGTCCTTTGGAATATCACTGACATTGGGTTAATTTCGAATGGCATTTTTGAATTGGAATAGACCTTTGTGGGTGTTAATAGCTAAATACTTCCTCGAGTCAGAATCTATTACTATTTGATGGTATGCATTTGAAAAGTCAATGGTTGAAAACTTTTCCCCTTTTCTTAATTTGTTAAATATTTCCTGTATTCTGGGGATAGGGTATATGTCCGGTGTCATTCGTGGATTTATCGTTATTTTATAGTCTATGCAAAGCCTGATATTCCCATTGGGCTTAATTATTGCTACCAGAGGACTGGCCCATTCCGAAAATTTTATAGGTTCTATTATCTCTTCTTTAATCCATTTTGTTAGTTCCTCATCAACCTTTACTTAAAAGCATATGCAATTTTTTTGGGGTCGCATTGTCTTGTATACTCAAATGGACTTATATGTTGTTCAATTTCCCTAACTTTTTATCGAATATTGTTACGTATAGGTAGACATGTGCGCTGACAGTATTTTCGGCGGCAACGTTTCTTTTTTTAAAAATTTTTCTAACTTAAATTTTTTAAATTAAATTTATAAATTCATTGGAAACACTTTAAAATAAAATTTATACTTTATTATGTTTATAACTATAATTTAATGATTTTATTAAGTTATAATTATCATGAATAAATATTATTTTATTAAGATTTAAAGGACATAATAATGAACTTATAGAGTTCAGAGTGAGCCCAGCTATAGAAAATACACGCTCGCTGGGTGTGCTCGTAGCTGGAACGCACAGGACTTTTCTAGCTAATATTGAAAGTTTAGGAAGATCCAATGCTCTTATTTTCCAAAAATCGAAGACATCTTTTACCTCCAAATTATAAGGCGAAAATAATGAATAACCTCTTTTTCTAAACTAGTTAAATAGTGTTGTTGTTCCAGGTTATTGTTTTGTATAGATGAATGTTTCGTAGCCAATGGATAATCGAGTTTTGTCCGTCGTTTCACATTCGTTTAATTCGTCCGCGTAAGGCCGTAGAGAGGTAGCGTGTTGACATAAAAATTCAACTGGAGTAATATTTTTTCCTTTATATATTCATTTACTATGTTTATTGATTGAAAACGAGGATCCAAAGTAAAAAAAATAAAAGAAAGAGAAATAATATATAAAAGATAATTTATGTATTTTAAAATACTACCTAAAGATCGGTTATTGGAAATCTATGATCATGATCAAATTTAGTAAGCATATTTTGTTTAAGGGATGCTATTGGTGGACTATCATATTCTTTTACAATTAAATGATTTTTAATTTCACTACGAAATAATAAGGCTAAATTTATAGTAACTCCTTTTTGGACAGATAAAAATTCAACAGTTTTTTTGAAGGTTTTAAGAAAATTTAAAAGTTCATGCACCAACAATCGGAGTTAAATAATTTGAGATCCGGTTTCTCCATTCTATTTAATAGAATATTTATAGGATTTTTGTTATTGCCAGTCACACTTTCCAGCATTATTAAATACTATGCCAACCTGTAAGCACATTTAATTTTAAGGTTTTATGTTTTTTCTCATATGATTTTTGATTTTCACTATCATCATTAAACCCCAAACGATCTTCATAAAAAGGAATATTATCACCCAAATCTTAAATATCCGATGTATATGATATCGATTCAAAACATTTTCTATTTTCGATATCGTTTATATTTCAAAATCCGCTGTTTTGAATCTTAAGGCAACTATAACTTCTCTCACTTAATTAATGAGATTTTCTATTTTAATCACTTTTTGTATTCCATCGCCTGTCACTAGATTATGTAATCCATACCCTTAATAAATGATGGTTATATTCTCCTAGACGAACACTTTTCTTTACATTGGGTCCTGCATCTGTAACCATTTGAATTTTCTTCGACCCTAAATCAAATTCATTTTCAACTTTTTCTATCTCGGAAAGAATAGTTTCAGCAGTATGTTTTTGAGTGACATGATGTGTCGCCAATGTATAAAATACAATATTAAAATTATTATCTATTTCGTGAAATGTAAAGGTAATATAATTTAGCCATCTATATTTGTCAGTCCACATATCAAAAGTTATGGCACAAAATATAGGACCTATATTAATTTGTTGGCATAGTATGCTTTCATTGATAAATACACATCATCTAATCCATAGCATAAAAAATTCTAAATGTGGGATTGTTATGTTCTATCCCCCAAGTTTTTCTCCACTTGTTTCTTTTGATTTCCCATCGTCCTTTTTTTTATATTGATATTATACCTTATTTTTATATTGTATTTGAAACTGGTTCTGACCAGTTTCAAGAATGATTGTATCGCGATATTATATAACAACATGTTATTTTTTTTTCTTTGTTTGATAAATTATAAAAGGTTGCAAAAATACCTTTATTGGGGGATTCTTTTTTTAAAATTATTTTACGGAATATTTTTTGTGTTAAATAAAATTCTTAAAGTTTTATTCTTTGGTAAATTGTGATATTTTAACAATAAATTAAATTACTAAAATTACCCGATGATGACTAAGTTAAAACTCAACGTCAACCTACCAGAAAATCCCTGTCCCTCGAATTCTGCCGATCCCTCTCCCTATCCCCCGGTAGACCAGCCCGCAGTCGTGGTCGCGAAATATCAGGGATGTTATAAAATAATTAAATATCTTGACAGTTAAAATAAAAATTAAGATTGCCTATAAAAAATTATAATGATTTTACAAATAACCTTTAGAAAATCTTGCATTCCAGTATTATTTTTAGAAGAGAATGGCATTAAATCCTTGCAACACATGAGAACATAATTCCTTACCAGAATCCTTTTTATATTTTATAGGGTCAGTTTTATCTTTTACAATGGGTTTGAAAAATAACTTTAAATTCTTGATAAATCATGTTTGTCGAGTAAATATTTTATTATGTTTGATATGCTGATATTTTTTGAAAAAGATTTGATTGGATAACTAATTAAAAAATTCACAAATATTTTTAAAATAATGAAAAAATTTACTCTGAAAATGAATAATTATTTTCATCCTCACCATCTTTATCAAGTGCTATTTACAAGCATATATTACAAAAGACTTTATCTATAGCAACACTGGTTCTCTTATTATTTGTGCCAGTTTTTAATATTAAGGATCAATAATGTTTCCATGCAAAAGAAGGCTTTGCTTGCAAAGATATACTATATTTTGTTACGCGTTTGAGATACAATTTTAAAAACTTAGCTTATTTCAATTGACATTTACAGCAGAAATAAATGCAATGCTGCATCCATTATAATTGTTTTTGTCCTACTATTTTTATATAGTTATAATGGCAACAAAATAAAAATCATTAATTAAAATTTCCTATTATGATAAAAAATAAATTTTATATAACGAGTTGTAAATTAGTTGAAGCATCAAAATAAAAGAATAAAATATAGAATTACCTTTTCAAATTTAATGTCCTAATATTTTATCTAGCACGTTGTTCACAGACATGCCCAAAGTGAGCGAATAATCTATGGATTGTTACAAATCAAATTTATAGCAAATAATATTTATTAATTTTAAAAAATAAAATCGCATTTTTTAATAATTCAAAAAACATTTAATATTTTTCTTCTAGGAAAAAGCAAAAGGTATATTTTATTGTCAAGCCAGAAAGGAACGAGATGAAGACAAAATAAAACATAAGGAAATTATCTATATATAAGACAATAAAAAGCATAATAATAATTTAGAGAGTTCAGGAACGCTATAGTGACAATTATCCCCACCAAACAAGATTAGATAACAGATTTACTAGATATAATATTTATGGCAACTCAAATGACATAATAACGTTAACCGCTGTACAAATATTACCGACATAATAATTGGTATGACAACAATAATTATTATCATAAAAACAAGTATCAATATTCTTACGATAAGATAAAGGTAAATTACGACACCAACAATCAATATTGATATGAATGTCGATTGTAGTGAAACATAACAAGCTAATGTTAAGATACGACATTTTGGCAAGTAAAGGGTGCCGTCGGAATTAGAAGTCCGGATGGCTGTAAAGACTTATATATATTTCTTCTTGTTTTTTATTTTTCCCTAAATAAAGGCTAACCACCAATTAGAATCATAAACACACATTATGTATCCTGCTCCCAAGATTATACTTCATATTATATGAAAAATATTCTATAGTGCTTTCTATTGAATTAGAATACATTTTACTTCTAAATTCATGTAGACCTGTCGAAATCACGATGTAAATTTTCTGTGTTCCAGGTATCGATTTAGTTTTTGAAAATTTAATTATGGCCTTTACACATTATATTCTTTATTATTGTACATGCCCCACCACTCTTTTTACAAAGAATTAATTATGACTACACATGTGCGCCGCCGGTCAAATACGCTGCCGCCATTGATTTTTGACCACGCCAATTCCGCCGCCAAAAAGTTTCGGAGCTCAACACGCCGTCGTCGATGTAAAAATTTGGCGGCATGATACATATTTTTTATTAAAAATAATATTTATTTTATATATTATTTATGAATTGTAATTATAAGAAAAATAATATTAATTATTGAAATGCAATTTTATTTTTAAAATTAATAAATATTATTTGCTATAAAAAGTTTGATTTGTAACAATCCATATAATACACGTTCCCTCACTTTAGACAGATCTGTGACCAGCGTGCTAGATAAGATAAGATTAGGCTAGTAATTTACAGAAAAGGTATTGAAATATGATTATATATCTTATTCTTTTATTTTTTTGCTTCAAATATTTTGTATAAAAAACCTTCAATTATTATATAAGGAGTAATACAATATTTTCTTAATGCAATCTACAACTCATCATAATAATTTATTTTTTATCATAAAAGGAAATTTTAATGGTTTTTATTTTATTGCCATTATAACATAAACATAGCAGGACTAAAACAATTATGAATGCAGCATTGCAATACCCTGTAACAAAATACAGTATATCCTTGTAAGCAAAACATTATGGAACATTAATATTAAAAACTGGCACAAATAATAAGAGAACCAGTGTTGCTGCAGATAAAGTCTTTTCTAATAAATGCTTGCAAATAGCACTTGATAAAGATGTGAGGATGAAAATAATTCTTAACTTTCAGAGCAAAATTTTTTGATTATTTTTAAAATATTTGCGAATTTTTTAATTAGTTATCCAATCAAATCTTTTTCAAAAAATATCATCAAATCAAATATAATAAGTCATTTACATGACTTATCATGTAAAGAAGATATATCTAAATAAAATTTAAAATTAACAAAAATCCTATAATATTTTATTAAATAGAATAGAGAAACCGAATTTCAAATTATTTAACTCTGATTGGGGCTTGGTGCATGAACTTTTAAATTTTTTTAAAACTTTCTAAAACCTGTTGAATTTTTATTCATCCAAAAAGGAGTTACTATAAATTTACCCTTATTATTTCGTAGTGAAATTAAAAATCATTTAATTGTAAAAGAATATGATAGTCCTCCATAGCATCTCTAAAACAAAAGATGCTTACTAAATTTGATCATGATTTCTAATAACCGATCTTCAGGTGGTATTTTAAAATGCATAATTATTTTTTATATATTATTTCTCTTTCTTTTATTATTTTACTTAGGTGTTAGGAGCACTTTCGGATCCTCGTTCTCAATCTATAAACATAGTAAATGAATATTTAAAGGAAAATAATATTACTCTGGTGCAATTTTTATGTCAACACGCTACCTCTTTGTTGCCTTACACCGACGAATTAACTGAATGTTAAACAACGGAAGTTGCTTCAGAATTCAATTATCTTCCGCCATTGGCTACGATACATTCTCTATTCATAACAATAATCTGGAATAACACGATTATTTAACTAGTCTAGAAAAAGAGTGTTATTCATTATTTTCGCCTTATAATATAGAGATAAAAGATGACTTAGATTTTTGGAAGATAAGAGCATAGGATCTTCCTAAACTTTCAATATTATCTAGAAAGGTCCTGTGCGTTTCAGCTAAGAGCAAACCCAGCGAGTGTGTATTTTCCATACCTGGGCTCACTCTGAACTCTAATACATCATTATTATGTCCTATAAATCTAAATAGAATAATATTTATACATGATAATTATAACTTAATAAAATCATTAAATTATAGTTATAAACATAAAAATAAATTTTATTTTAAAAGTGTTTCCAATGAATTTATAATTTTAATTAAAAAATTTAAGTTATAAAAATATTTGAGGCCACTGCGCCGCCGCCGATAATGCTGTCTGCGCACATGTCTAATTAGACGTTAAGGACATAATTATTTGTAATATCCAACTAATTTTATTCATTCATTTTCTTTGTTCAAACCCAGGCGAAATTTTTTTTAAATCGACTTGTGTTCAAATAATCATTACCGCCCGAGCTAAGTACAGTTTGGTCTCTAAAAATATCTTATTAATTTAGTTAAGCTGTTTAAGATGCAATTTATAATATTTTTTTATTTATTAAAATATCTAGCCAACAATTGATGATATCAATGAAAAAATGGCTGTCAGAGAACTCACCATTACAGAGATACGTGACAAAATGAACACAGTTGAGGATGAAGTTTTTTCCGATTTTTGCAAAGTTATTAAAGTAGATAATATCAGGTTTACACATTTAATATATGGCAATTTTAAGCATTTCGTTAAATGGCATATAAGCTACTAACAAGGTTAACATATATAAATGTCACTTTGTGCCATTAATTTATACTTAAAATATATTAATTTTTGAAATAATAATTTAGAACTTCATATGATAAAACCATGTTTTATTTATTTTTAATCGCTTTACATATAGACAATATGAGGAGAAAGAACTAAGGGCCCAACAAGAAAAGGCCAACAAAAGATTAGAATTCGAAAATCAAAAGGCTAAACTTCAGAATCAATTGGAATACGAGAAATCTCGCGATACTTTAGGTATTTGATTCTCGCTTATCATCATATATAATTTTATGATTTAATGTCAATAATTTTTTAGACATCCCCTTTAAAGCTTTGAAAGTCGTCCCAGCCCGAAGCCAGGCATGGGGTCTAAAAATTTAAAAATATTTTGTTCCTGGCTCCCACCTACAATTTTTTTAAAAAAAAAATTGAACCAGGCTTGATTAAATAATTTGAATTTATTTGTGATAAGGACAAAGCAATTATTTATTTATTTTCATAAATATTATTTTTTATTATTAAATTTGGGCTCAATCCGAAAAAATTGAATTGGTGGGCTTTTAGTTCCCTATATCATCTATACTATATGTAATTTGAAAAAATTTTGGCTCAATCGAAAAAGAAATTTAATAAATTTTTTGAACGCAAATATTTTAAATCATACACATTTATTAAGCATCAGAGTTTAGAACCTGGACTAAAAATGGTTTCGGTTTAGTTGGGTTCCAGTTACTAAAATATTTCGGTTCTTGTCCTTAGATTTGCCATGGTTCTAATCTCTGATATGCATGGACTTTTGCTTATTTTTTTTATACATTACATTTTATATAGGAAAGGTTTCTAAGTGGAAGGAAGAAGTGGAGAATGGAGAAGCAGAATTAGAGACGTTAAAGGAGGAAGAAAAAAAGCATATGCAGGTGATATCTTTTTTAAAAAAAATTATTATATAGCTTAGAGATTCTCATTTATCAAAGTAAGGAAAAAAATTTTGTACAAAATATATTATTACATTTTTATAAGGAAAAATTTTCGATTTATCATTAAACCCTCAAATATAAATAACCCAATTATTTTTATCAATACAGTATATCATGAATCAAGAATGTTTGGCAGTGTAATACCTATATTTTATCCCCTCCTAAATATTGTAAAGATTTGTGTATTTTGATATTGCTTGATTCATACACTATTCACCAGAGGCCGAATTTTGAAATCGAAAACCCTTAGAATAATTTAAATTAAAATATAACCGGAACTGAATCGTTATATATAAAACAGGCAAAACGAATCGTTATAAAATGTTACCTTAATTTTTTGTAGAGAATTATTTCCCTTATTTTTTGCCATTCTAATTGGGGATTAATCGGCTTTATATATTAATTTTAATGCTATCACTTCACCTTTCGCAATAAATTATTACAAATAAAATCAATGGAATTAACCGTTAAAGTTGGCAACCAGAGCAAAATCGAACCATTATAAATTTTAGCATCTGGGGCATATTTCGAGATTGATTATTTTAATATTTTATTAAGATATAGAAAGTTTTTTTAAAATAACTAACAATAAAATAACATTTTTAAAAAAAATATGATCAATATTAGGCCATAGACGAAGAAATGAAAAAATTAGAAAATTTAAAGGAAGAAAAGGCCCAGAAGAATTCACAACTCGAGGACAAGGAGAAAGAGTTGAACGATTTGCGCAAAAAACTTAACACTTGTCACAAGGATATAACTTCGAATCAGAAGAATTTTACCAATTGCGAAAATAAGATCGAACAGAAAAAGTCGGAACGCCACAGCCTTCTTCAAAATTGCAAAGTTTTTTATTTTTCCAAAATGATTAGAGGGGAATGGTAATTAAGTAAAAGAGGATAATTATCATATTAAATTTGTTGTTAAACAATAAAGATAGAAGATATCAAGCTACCCCTGATAAAAGGCAAATTAGAAGATATTGAAAATGACGAGAACGCTAGTTCTTCGGTGAACGACTCCAATGACGTTTCGCAAGGCCACGCGTCTTCACATCTTTCCAAGAGCCAAAAAGTATACGAAAAAGAAGCGAAAATTGTCATAGACTATACTTTCCTACCCGACGAGCTTAAAGATGTAAGTTTTTCAAAATTAAATTATTTTTGATAAGTAAGTTTTTTTGTATTCTTATAAAAAATCAGTAGATATAGTCAATTAACATTAGTTTGTTGATATCTAGATAGTATTAATTGATTTTATTCTAATATATGATTACATTTTATATTTAAAATTAATGACTAATAGACCAGCTCGCAGGCTAGGCAGAATACGACAAATTGTTAAATGTTTTTATAGGCAGGACTGACCTTTGAAAATATTTTAAGGCGAGTAATTAGGAAAATTTATATCGTTTTCTTTCATTAGGGTAGGTCAGATTTAATATAAGTTTGCTAAGCAACTTTGACGCCATTTTTTCCTGAATTAGGAAATCAGGGCATAACCTTAAAATATAGGCTCAATTTCTGACCCTTCTTAAACAAAATCATACCAGATAATTTAGTCATGATAATTAATTATATTAACCCCCCTCCCCCTTCTATATGCACAGCTGGACACGCGAGAGGAGATCAAACGCGTAGGGGAAATTATTTTGCGAGAATTGGCCGAAAAACAGCTCGCTATGGATCGAATATCGGCTCCAAATATGAAAGCCTTGGAAAAATTGGACTGTGTGCGAGAACGTTTTCAAGAAACTTCGGAAGAATTTGAAACTGCTCGCAAAAGAGCAAAGCGAGCAAAACAAAATTTTTTGAGGGTAAAAAAGGAGCGGTTTGATAGATTTGCCGAATGTTTCGAACACGTGAGCAATAGGATTGACGATATTTACAAAGTAATTTTGGCGGGAAAAATTTTTAAGCCCCTCATATTATTTTTATAATATTAAAAACTTCTAAATACTACTATAAGATTTGGAAATATTAAACTGTAAAAATTAAAATCAGGAAAAAAAGAATAAATAAAAAACTTGTAAATAAGAAAATATAATAAAACATCAAAAATACTATCTTTTAAAAAGTACAGAAAACATTTTTAAGGTGACTATTTGTCAATAAATTTAATATTAAATGATTATATAAATGTCTAAAAAAGTGGTCAATATTAAATTATCTTTCTATAAATATTTTTTAATAATAGTTTCTTTTATTATATATTAATATATATCTTTTAAAATTTTAGCTTATTAAATTAAAATATCAGAGTTCTTGACCAAACCTGGGTTCTGGACATATAAAAAATATTAGGAAATGGTTGTGGGATCTATTTCTAAATTATATTCACCTTTTTTTCTAATAAGATCTTTAAAACATATTTATATTTTGTAATAAACATTAAACACCAGTTTTAACAAATCTTTAACGGTAAATGTAAGGCATATAACTGGATGAATCCTTCGGATTTTAGTTTATGGTTTCATCCATATACTACGTCGAAAATCGAGAAAGTGTATTTATGGTTTTGTATGTTGAAAAATTATTATTCTTTTGTTGGCCTCTCCACCTTTGTTAAATAAAAGGAAGGGTAACTTGAATCGTTTACCTGTTACTCATTCACCTATAAAATATTTTTTAAATTAATATTAAGTCTAAAATAAATTAAAAGTAAAATACCTGTGACTATATGTTCTTTTATATTGGCAGGTAGCGAAGAATAAGATTAATATTTGTGTGTGCATATAATTTTTTTAATCTAATTTTCAGTTTGCATATGAATATCATATCCTTTTCCAATTTAGAAATTTCCTCAGAATATATTATAAAGGGATTTGGTAAACATCTTTTGCCCGGTTTTTCATGGTTGAAACTTTTCAAAAAGAAATTAATTTTAAAAAGTTAGTTTATTAAATATTCCACTTATTTTTTAAACCATTTATCCTATCAGTTAATCATATCCTATTTGATCAAAAAAATCTTTAAAGATTTTTCCCAATTAATTAAAATATTTAATCCTATCCCCTTGACCTCAATTCGTTTTAATTAATATAGTTTTTTATTCTAAAAAGATTCCTCCTGTTTTTTCGTTCAAATTCCCCCTCCCCCCATTAATAATGATCTATCCTTCCCATTCATTATTATAGGCTCTCTCCCGTAACGCCAGTGCTCAAGCCTTTTTGGGCCCTGAAAATCCGGAAGAACCCTATTTGGATGGGATAAATTATAATTGTGTGGCACCTGGCAAACGATTTAGGCCTATGGATAATTTATCCGGTGGTGAAAAGACCATAGCAGCTCTCGCTTTGTTATTCGGAATTCATTCATATAAACCTAGTCCGTTTTTTGTGTTAGACGAAATTGACGCCGCCCTTGATAACACCAACATAGGAAAGGTTTATCATACAATTTTACAATAAAATCTGTATTCAAATTATAACATTAATTTGTCCTTAAAACTGAATTATTTTACGTTGCTGTATAAGATATGTATCAACCATGTAAAAGGTTTTCGAATTTTTTGTTGTGCACAATTAAATTTAGAAAAGGTATAGTGATTGGTGATTTATTACTTATATATATCAGAGACCTGCAGATGATAAACCATTTACAGTCCTGCCCATTTAAAAAATATTTTGGCCCAGCCCAGATTTTATATTTCCAGGATCTGCCCAATTTTTAATGGCATTTTAAAATAGTAGACCCAGCCGGGATATTTTTTAAAAAAAAATTTAAATACAACCCGGGTATCTAAAAAAAATTAAAATGCGATTCGGCCCATGTACCTGGTCTTATGACCAAGCCCTCAGGTCTCCGATATATTGTTCTATGATACAGAATTTATTTTAGAGATAATAATGGCAATTTAAAATATTCAGTTTTAAAATTTATGGTCCAACTCGTATACCGGGCCCAGCTTAGGGCCGGGTTAGGTTTCTAATGCATATTAAATAGGGGTGTACTGATAACACTTTTTGGAGGCCTAACCGATATTAGATTAATACAGCCAAAATTATCTATCCATATGTATCAAATTTTAATTAACTTATCATTTTTAAGCTTATTTATTTAGTTTATATAATCAATATTTTTATTGATAAATTGTTTATTCCAAAAGTCTTGTAAAGAAAGTAGAATCCACTAGTCTATTCTTTATTAATAAAAATTGTTTTAAGAAAAATTATTTTAGTTTTAATATCATAAACTATTTTTTTCAATAGACATCACTTCAATTATTATAATGTTCTTAATTATATCATGCATATTTATAAATATATTTTTTTAAATATTATTATTTAAAAGTAAATATAAAAGGCCAAAATTTTTAAATTAAGGCACCATTTTATCGTATTGAAAATTGAATAATATTGGTCGAAAACGGATTATTTAATAAATTGGTATCTGTCTCCTTAATATTATATAAGTATTATTGGTATCCCTCACATAATATAAGATTATTATATATTATATATGACATGGTTTCGATGATTTTTATTATTAAAGGTCGCTAGTTACATTAAAGACCAAGCTAGTATGTTTCAATGCATAGTTATTTCTCTAAAAGAAGAATTTTACAATAGAGCCGATGCTTTGGTTGGCATATTCCCCGAGGTGAATTTTATTGTGCCATTACTGTTAAATTATATCTTATCTTATATTTTAAATTATTTTTTATAATTTAGGTTGGGCAATGTACTGAGAGCAATATCTTAATGTTGGATTTAACAGAATATCCAGACACCAATCAAGATAAAGATTCTGCTAACAACAACTACATACTAACTACTTGATTTTAAACAGTATCTGCCAGCGGATACGATTTTTTTAAAATAAAAATTATTAAAAAATTTCACTTCATCGTATAATGACGGGGATCATATGACGTTGATAGCAAAAATTATTCCATCAAAAAATCAAACTATTCTTAAATCCTTAATTAACTAATTTTGCATTGTTTCAAAAATTTTGAAATTTTATTTTTGATATATCTGAAAAAATTATAGTGGCAGAGTGATAGGGCATATTCCAACCTTCTATATATATTTAGAAAATATTACTATATAAAATACGTCGTTTATATATATTTAAATAATTGTTACATAATTATTTTTGCCACTTATATTTCATAAATACTATTTTTTATACACCCTAGAATTTATATAATTTATAATAAAGTTTTCATATTTTATCAAGATTAGTTCGATGTGTCTAGAATTTGTAGAGTGTTCATTTATATTCGATTCAAAAACGCGTTAGGGAAGGTCAAAAAAGCTTCCACGCCTAGTGATGCAAAATCTCTCAATTTGAGCCGATTTTTAAAAACGGCTCAGTATTTTATCCATAAAAATATTGCACAAACCTGAAGATTTTACTCATAGATGGCGAGGCTTAAATATTTTTCTGACTAAAATATTGAATTAGCTGTTTATAAAGATCGACTCAAATGGAGTGATTTATATCACTAACCATGCCCTCGGGATAGAATTGATTTTATGTTTGGGTTGGGTCAGAATTCAATTTTTTTTGACGGTTGGGTCTAATATATGCTTTCCTCTAAATAGGTCGAGAAATTATGTCTCTAGGAGGTTTCTAGTGACTACCTCTTTACAGTATTCATCTTCTTTTCTACCTCCTTAAATAGACCACTTAAGCCTAGAAATTATGTCTCTCGCATGTTTCTAGTGACCACCTCTTTCCAGTATTCATCTTCTTTTCTACCTCCTTAAATAAACCACCCAATATCTTTTTACCTGATTACACCTTTATTTAAATCAGAGACCTGCAGAGGTACAATTTGTATGACCCGGCCCAGATTAAAAAAATTTTTACGGCCCGGCCCGGGTTTAAAATTTTTAGACCCGGTCCGAATATTTAAAAAAAAATTGGGGGGGGGGGGCGGCCCGGCTTGGATTTTTTTTAAAAAAATTTTTTAAGCCCGGCTCAGAATTTTTAAAAATTATATTCGACCTGGTATATACAAAAAATTGATTATTTCGTATTTTATCATATTTTTCGGCGTGTATTATCATTTAAGCAAGTATATTAGCTAATGTTGTTAAACGGCTCGTTTTGAGCCGATTTTTAAAAACGGATAACTCAATATTTTCGCCAGAAAGATATTGACTAAGCCTTGAAATTTCGATACTATATATCTAGACCTTTGCTCTTTCTATGAGCATAATTTTCAGGCTTGCATAATATTTTTCTGGATAAAAAACTGTTAGCCGTTTTTAAAAATCGGCTCAACGAGCCGTTTAACAACACTAACATTTTTTTTTATTCTAAACAGCAGAGTTGTTAAACGCTACTTTTAAAAGTAGCGCGCTACCGCTATTGCTATTTGTTAAAAAAAGTAGCGCGCTACCGTTATTGCTATTTGTCAAAAAAAGTAGCTCGCTATTAGCTACTTTTTATAAAAAAAATTTACAAACAAATTTTTTATTTTTTGCTTATGTTATTGTATAGTAAATATATAAAAATCAACATTTATAAATATTAAAATATAGTTAGTTTTGATTATAAAAAAATTTATATAATAAAAATAAATATTTATGGTAATTTGTTGCATTTTAATATTATCATCCCCAAATCTAGAGCACCGATCAGAAACAATAAGTTTTGCCTTATTAAATAATCTCTCGACACTAGCACTTGAGGGTAAGGGCGTATTTAATCTTATATACATATTTTTAATATAAGATAGATTATCAATAATTTTATTTGCAAGTACATCGTATGTCTGGCATCCTATTTTCATTTTGAGGGCTAATGCCACAGATCTTCTTTTTAAAGTTCTAGGGTCTGGTCAATGGCCTGTGATTCCCAAATAAGCTTAAAAATATTTAATCAAATAATTTATAAATATAAATAAGTTTTTACCTTCTGTTATGTGTTCAATTATCTCCCGTGGTACATATATACAATTTATAAATATAAATAAGTTTTTACCTTCTGTTATGTGTTCAATTATCTCCCGTGGTACATATATATGATATCTCTGATAACTACTATTAGAGCATCTTTCATCATTTTAAAGTTATTTGCTATTTTATTCATTAGTGTCTGGCGGCATAAAATTGTTGTACCAGGGGGATAGTTTTAATCATCATGGTAAATGATGGATTATCAACTAAGGACATTGGCTGAACTGTATAAATGATAAAATCAACAATAACTTTATCAGCAAATTTCTGAGAAATATTGTCATTTGCATTATTAATCAATTTGGTTTGAATTGAATTAGTCTTTTTGGATGTAGAGTCGCCTATACCAAAATTATTTAGATGTTTCTCGATTTCCTTAAAACTCATGAACAGTCTTATAAAATAAATATTATTAGAATGTAAAAATGACAATTTACCTTACGTGTTTCTTGAGGTTATAGCTACTGGATTGATTTGGGGAAATATTTTTTTTTACATTTTAGACAAATAAATTTGAAACCAGTTTTGTTTATATATTTATTTTAAAAAATTTTCAAATCTAGGGAATGGGAAATTTGTATTATAGCTATTAAAAACATTTTCTTCCCTTGGTATCTTCCATTTCATTAATATCATTGTCTGAATCACTTTCAACGATTTGGATATCCATAGGCAATGACATTTTAAATTATTAACATGTGATTTAGGTTTAATACAAATGAAAATATAAATTACAAATTGAAATTATATTTTAATTTCAAAATTAAATAATAAAAATTATATTATATTTAAATTTCCATGTTTATACTTACCTTCATTATATTTTTTAATAGTAGCGAAGTAGCGGCTACTTTAGCTACTTTCAAAAAAAGTAGAGCGATAAAAAATTAAATAATTACAAAAAAAGTAGCCGCTAGATACCAAAAAAGTTACTTTGCTACTTTAACAACTCTGCTAAACAGATATTTAGTATATTACAAATTGATACTATAAAAAATTTGTGTAAATAATATTTTGAGAATATACTATGTATTTATAAAAAAAATAAAAATGATAATTTAATTAATAAAAAATATAACATATATTATTTAATCCTTTGCGTATTTATTCCATGGAAGGAAAACTATAATTTTATTATGTAATAGATACTATGAGTGTTAGCTAGTGTTAACTTTCACCAAACATTATATTAATCATAACTATAAAAAGCCGCTAAAGATATAGAGTAGCCCATTACCGTGGGGTTAGGTGGTAGGATGAACTGGCAAAGAAAATGGGTTGAGTTGATAAACCTCTTATTACAAAAAATCAAAATTTAAAATAGGAAAAAATGAATTTTTTTTCCATAGTCTAATCAAAATTATAAAAAAGTAAAAAGGGAAAATGATTCATGTACAAAGTGTTCCAAATAGTAACAAGCGAAATATATCCACCCATAAGTTTAGGTTGTTTTATGTAATTATATAATTCTGATCTATAAATTGTCAATTTTATTCAATAAAATACAAGATTTATATTTTTCATAGTTTTAATTTATGTTTACTATTTTTAACACGGGGGAGGGGGAGGTGTATAATAAAACTGTGCATTGATTTGGGTCGATTTAAAAAAAGTCCAAATTAACCAAAATAATATTATGTAAGCCGAGATTTAGCTTATAGATGTCAGAAATTTGGACCTCTATTTGTCAAATCTCGAGGCTTATATAATATTATGTTGGCTAAATCTTGATCGAGCCTTTTAACAACACTCACTACTATTGACATTCAGAAGGGGTACCACATGGTCATGTATTAATTGAATCATTCTATATTCTATTCATCAAATGGAGTCTATTTGTAATTCTAATTGGCATTTAATTATTAAATGATATTCTGAGTAATTGTTAAATGTAATCAATTATTTAAAAAATAATTATTTCCGCTCTGTGGCCAAACTAAGCGCAGATAGCAAATATGTCTGGTTCATTTTCGGTCCTGACAGTTAATATTTACCAGGGACAATAATTTAATTCTTTAGATTTTTTGTAATCTTACATACCCCTTTTATATTTTCAGATTACATAACTTTTTCACCACTCTGATAGTAAATAATAAAAATTATCTAGCCAATAAATCAAATACATAATCTAAGTATTTTATTATACATGGAGAATTATATATACAATAATAAATAATTACACATTAAATTAAAAATGCAAAATGTTTGATTCTGAATATGCGTCAATTCTTTTTCAAATTTAAATATTTTCCTATATTATTGTTCTTTTCATTCGATGAGACAATTTTTGAGTTTCTTTTTACATTAACGCTATCCGCTAAAGGTTTAACATTTTGCAAAAAAAATGAGATAAAAAAAACAAATTTAAATATTTACCACTGGGCAAGCCCTTATTCACAGTAGTGTTTCATTTCCAAAAAATAAGAATTAAGATACAATAAACTGAACTGGTTTTGCTAAGAAGTAATTGTAATTAATTATAAGATAAATAAAAATTATTATTTTTTGATTAGAATTACGATTTAACAATTTTATTCTGTATTTTATTTATTAGCATTCTTTTTAAATGTCCCATTTCAACTCGAAATTTCTGATTCCCAAGATGACATTTTTCAATGAAGAAAACAAGATAGATACTCTTGAGATAGAACAACTACTTTTTTAGTCCTAATTGACAATATTCATAAAAAAATATGATATCGTGAAGTTAAATTAGCAATAAGTGTATCTCATGCAAAACCCGTTAAGTTCGAGAAGTTGTAATCGTTCGATTGGCTTCGGGTCGTGGTCTGTTTCGTATTTATAAATGCTCAATAATAATAAATCATGATCAATATAATTACCTTTCAGTCCTTCATCCGCTTTCCTTTTATTCTCTTGTTCCAACTTGTTAGCTCCCCTTTCTTCTTTTTCCTTGTCCTCCTTTTCTTTAAAATCCTGAAACGGGTCGCTGAATATGACCACCTTCTTTATATAAATTTCCTGGACTGGAGCATCCCTTTCATCCGTTTCTACCCTCTCAAAAGCGTCTAAAGTAGACATCCCACCGACGACCCGCGCAAATACCGTATGTACCTATGATATATAATGTTATATCCAATATTTTCAAATTTAAAATTTTATAAATGAGTATATAATTTTAAAAATGGGCAATAAATTACATTATTTAATAAGTAAATATAAAATAATCTATTAAAAGAAAATACACCAACCTTATTTGAGCATATAAACCCGAAAATTGTAACAAACACAAATAATATGATATTCTCTAAATCTTATATAATAAAAATGTATCTTGAATTTTTTATTATACTTTGTCGAAAGCAGGCCGGGAGCGAAATGTAATAAAAAATTGAGAACCGTTGGTGTCAGGCCGACCTAAATTAGCTGCGCTGACTATTCCACGCCCACTATGTCTGTAATTTGAAGCTAGCGCAAATTCGTCGGGGAGGTAAGAGCCAGTATGCGAATAATTCCGGGGTTTTAAGGGCTATTCATATACAATAAAAAAAACTATAATATGTTTCCTAAATGTTGAAAAACGTTATAAAAAGGGCCTCAAACATGTTTAATTATATTGTAGGTGGAGATAAATTGCGACAACATGCTCCCGTTATAATTTGAAAATCTACTTTGCCATTCAAATGTCAAGAAAAGGATCCTAATACTTATTATATTTTTTTTTAAATCCAAATTAAACTTGTCTTTCTAAAAAAAACAGTAGATTTACATCAAAATAATTTATTTATTTATTTTAAAAAAAGGGCTAAAATTACATTTTTATCTTTGTAATTAATTGGTTGACCTTGCATCAAGTTAGGATCTCCTGTTTGAATCATAAAATGTTTGATGGAACGAAAAAAAAGAAGATTATCGTAAAAATCTTTGCGGGCAAGTATCAAAAAATTTTCGCACATTCTAGGCGCAGCGTCACAATGTAATTCTATATTGAGGTTGCCCAAATTCGTGACTATTTGAGCATATCCTATAAAAAAATAAAAAAAATATGTGTATGAGATATTGGTTGAGAAGTAATCTACTAATTAAAATATCAAGACTAATGGCTGGGAAAATAAAATAAAACAGCTTTGTTTTTAAATCATCATCATTTTTAGTTTTTAAATAACGAATTGTTGCCATTTATATGTGATTCCAAGGTATTTTTAGGATACAGAAATTTTTTTGAATTCGATGTCGGCCCATTTTTAATATATCGGTTATCGGCAGATAATCAAAAAAAGCTGATGTAATCCGATATATCAAAATGGCAATAATTTATGATATATTAATATTTGAATTATAATTTTTCAAAAAAATTATAATTCTTTTTAAATTGGACTAGCTTATTTGCTTTGTAGATCCGTATTGAGTGCTTTGAATAGGATTTCACATACAAATCTTATAATCAAAAAGAATAGATAATTCTTTAGTGTGTTCAATGGATCAAATTTTGCCCAAATATGCAAATCTTCCTTTGTGATTTTTATGTATAACAAATTTGTTTATCTTCAAAGATTTTTTGCTCAACATATTTAGCAAAAAAAACTTCACCATGTTTATTTGAAGATTTTTGCTAGCACTGGTTTTGAATAACGAAGTAAGCTTATTCTATTCCATTCTGTGTTAATTATATCTAGCCGAATAAAATAACTTTTAGTACTGTAGAAGCAATTTGATGTGTTATATTTATTCTTACCATTTTCATATCATATAAGAGTAAAAATAACCATGTTGCACACCTCATCGATATCGGTGATCGGCCAATATCAACTTGATATCGGCCTCTAAAATTCATGATTTCAATTCAATAAAATAAATTATTCCTTTTTAATAAGAAATTACCCTTGGTTTTTATTTTGGAATATCTAACTATGTCGCTATCCAATATCTCCATGACCTGCATAGTTTGGGGAGGTAGAGTAGAACAAGTCAGTCCTATGGCCACGTTACCCTTTGAGTAGTGAGCGTAAGTTATGATCGAATCGTCATTTTCAGCCACTTTTAGGCTGTTAGATCCTTTCGCTATTAAATTTTCGCTCGACCACTCAGCTAATTCGGACATTACGGCTTCCATCTCAGGGCAGATTCGATTCAACGTTCTAATTTTTCGACTATCATCTTTTTCGATTGTCTTTTGACCTATTTCTGATATTGAACTAGAACTTTCCTCTGAACCGGCTTCGAAGTGGCGGGCGTGACGAGCCGCCAAAACGTGTTTGAAAATACCTATATTTAATTTACGAGCCACAGTTTTTGGATCTCGTAAAACTACAAGATCCTTGGATGGCACGAAGGGTTCATCAGTTAAGAGATCCTTGAGGGGGTGGGAGGGAGGGGGGGGTGACGTTTAAAAATATTTCAATTAAGGTATTAAATAAAAAGTTAGACATAATAGTAATACTAGCTATTGCAATATATTTTATCAAAAACACAAATATTGAATCTTCATATACTATCTAATGTCATACAATTTGCCAAAAAAACAATTTCAGGCCTAAGATTTTGAAAATATTTTTTCCTATTATTTTTATTCCCACATAAGCATAACATAAAATACATGCTTTTTATTATAATTTTTATTAAAAATTATATAGAAACATTTTTAACTCAATTCAAAAATTAATTTAGAGATTCATAGTTCACCATTATATATAAAATGTTAAAATCGAATAATAACTCGCGCATTATGTGCATAAATTTTAGTAGGTACAAATAGAAAAGGTCCGCCATTTTTCGTTAGGGAAATTTATCTACAATTGTTTTTAAGGCTGTGCCGATATTAAATATCGGATAGGATCGGCACCGGTATCTCGAGTTTTCCAAAAATATCGGATCGGGCCGATACCTGTAAAAACCTGATCCGATTTTTTTACTTTTCTTTTTTTGTTATTTTATGTATATTTATTTTACATTAATAATATTTTCTAAATAATTATTTTTTAAACAATGCAAATGCACAACACCTCTTAAATTTTATTTAATTTTAAAAATAGATTTATAGTATTTTAAAAGTTTTTTTAAAAAGATAGAAAGGAACACCCAATTATTTATTTTAAATCTTTTTAAATAATGCCCAATTTTATTATTTATACTTTAAATAAAAAAATTTTTTTTTAAAGTTATCTGAATTATGGAAATATTTTACAAAAGACAAAGATAATTTTGCAAAATGCGTTATCTGCGGAATTTTATTTAATATTACTAATATCCGTAAACTTTTTAAAAATTATTTTAGAAATAAAAAAATTAAATTAATTGCATAATTCGATTTTTTGCACAAAAAATATTGATTTCTTAATTATATTTGGTTCGAAGGGGGGTGGTGAAAAATCAATATAAATATCGAATCTGTATCAATATCGGATCGGTTTTAAACCAATATCGGAAATATCGGATCGGTGAAAAATATGTGAATCGGCACAGCCCTAATTATTTTATTATCATCTCTCTGCTTGTAGGATGACTGTGACTACCTCAAATTTTTTATAATTCCCCAAATATTTTTGATTCGATTTAGGTGACGGCTATATACATGCCTATTTTGTATTAATAGGATTTTTTTAAAGTTGATTTCGATAAATAACATGGATCATCTATTTGCTGAAAAGACAAATTTTTAATGCGCAAACACATTTCAGATGATTTAAAGTTTTTTCCGATAAAAAATCAGTTACCATCTTCATGAATTATATGAATTGTGCACAAATTACTTAAACGCCTTTCCTGCACATAACCCTCCATCGTGGCGCTTGGTAGAAATTTAATAGACTTTTTAAGACAAATCGAATTAAAAGCTTCAGTTTTCTTACATAACTAAAATATTCCAAAAGATATCTAAATTTATCGCTAAAATAGCGATGGGCCATTGTAATATATTTCAATTTTTATCTTCTTTCACCTACATCAGCCTTTTTAGCTTTTGAAAGCTTGATAATCAAGCTTTTTGGTGGTCTTAAGAATCAAAATAAATAAAATCTTCAATAGATATATTATTACATAAAACGAATGAATCGCATGCAATCCTCTAATGCATATACTTATTGAAATAGTCCTTTTTTTTTATAAAATGACGTACTTTGTGAATCGCAAAATTAATTTTTGATTTAATTATAAAATCTGCAGGTTCTCTAGTTTATATATTAAACCCAGCCATAATAATTGCTTAAAAAAATTGTGTGATAAAATTAAAATGAAAATAAGTGTTAAAAAGAGTTATTTTCGATAATTATATTATGAAATAAAATATATAAAAATGAAAGAAAGAAAGAAAGAAAGAAAGAAAGAAAGAAAGAAAGAAGAAAGAAAGAAAGCAAAGAAAGAAAGAAAGAAAGCAAGAAAGAAAGCAAGAAAGAAAGCAAGATAGAAAGAATCTTCTCTTCTCTATTAATATTTAAATCTTTTTAACATTCATTTTCATTTTGTCGCACAATTTTTTAAGCAATTATTATGACTGGGTTTAATATATAAACCAGAGAACCTGTAGATCCGGGCAGGGTCATATGATTTTTATATAGCGTATTTTTTACCTTGTAATGCTTGGTCTTAAGGTTAAGGTCCTCGACGGCCTCTCCACTAAACACATTACCAGTGGAGCGAATGGCAACGACTCGAGATCGGTCATTTAGAACTCGAAAGGTAACAGGGCAATGCAATTCTCCTGCATTATTTCGGTGAAATTTTAAAGGGAAAATTTCCTTGCTCACATCTTTTATTACAGTACCAGTTACAGGGTTACGTAGCACTAGGCCAAGGTTAGCATCAGTCTGTGATTGATCAGAAGAGGCTAATTTCGTTGGGTCTTGCTTATGGCGTTTGTTGATCCTAGCTTCTGGCAAATTTTGGGCAACCTTTTCACCTAATTTGTTACTAAGTTCACCTGATGAATCTTCCTCTTTCTTTTTTTCCATCGAGGATTTAACCTGCTTTTTGGCCTTCTTGAAAAGTTCCATGATAGCCATGAAATCAAAAACGTACCCTTCCAAAGTAGAAACGGGAAATGTAAAGGGAGATAATGTGAGCGCACAGAAATCGAGGGGTAAAATATTCTGGGAAGCTGCAAGAGCCGCATCCCTCCCAGCATCTAAATTGGCACGTGTACGTTTTCCCCCATATATTGAAACCCATTCAGTGGTAGTCAGGTAAAGTTTGTCTTTTTGATGTTGTTTTTTGCCCATGTTGTTACATTAAGTATGGTCTTGCTTTATTTAGACATATTGTAAGAGTAAGTATACCCTCAATTCCTATTAAATTAATAATATGTTAAAAAATATATGATTTTATTAAATTTTGATTTTTTTAACAAAGTAATTATAAAACTTTTACTAAAAATTAATATTGAAAGAAAATTATATTTCCTTTGCTATAAATATAGTGGAAAATGAGTATCTTATTTCAAAACTTGGTTTGTTTGGAAAGTCATGCCAATTCTCCCTTAAATGATGGTTGATATATTAGGGTCAGTAATATACTAGTACCAAATTATAATTATTAAAGCAAGCTAATATTCAAATATTTCTCTGAAGCAAGTGATTCTTTAATCATTAACAACACTCAATCTGATGCACTAATACCATGAGACAAAAGATCTCTTGTTAAGATATTTTAGGGGGAGGGGGAATTAACATTTGGCTTGTATTACACTGGATTTTGAACATGAAATCGCAAATCCAATGCGAGACAAGTCAAAATCATGACTTGCATTTGAAAGAAAATTTAAAATTTCACAAACTATATTTAAAAAAAAGGACAATACCAGAGGTTGGAGAGAGAGAGTGATTAAAAAGATGATAGGTATGAAACTACCAGAAGAATATTGTGGAAACACATGAATCCATTAAAAAATTGTAGTTATTCCAAATCATGAAAGTTTACCAGAAGTTCCAATATAATATGTTATGCTGCTCAATAAGAAATCATAAGTTAATTAAAAGGTTTATCAAGAAGATATAATTTAATATATGTCTGGGGGAAGTGTAACAAATCAAAAGAGTATTTGAATAATCATTATTGTCTTCAATATATATTAAATTGGTGGTAATAAACATGATATTATTAATAAATTATATTATCATCAGACTTCTTTATAGACTTCTATTAGAATTAGATTTTTTTTAAATTTAAAACCAGCTTAAATCATTTAAAATTGAGAATACAAATATCCACATAAGGATTCCAGATATATCAATAATCCAGAAAAACATATATATAATTTTAGCATATTATTAATAAATTTTTTTGTTAAAAAAAATCAATAGATATGTAAGCATTCTGATAATCCATTATTTAATAAGTATTGTACATGTGAATGAAAAGTTCAATATATAAGAAAAACCTTCAACTACAATTTCCAATATAAATATTTTTTAAAAAAAACATAATAAATATAAGGGTATCAGGGTAAAAATCAGGGTTTTGAACCAAACCACCAAACCGGAATGAACCATTATGATTTTCTGAACTGTAACCTTAATTAAACCGTTATAAAGAAAATATAAAAAGAGCAAACCAAACCATTATAGATATAATTAATTTTAAATTATTAACCTAAATTTAAAATTTTAATTATCTGGGGGCATTTTTTAAATTGGTGATTTCTTTTCAAATTAAATATTTTTATATTATCAACATTATATATCAATAATCAATACCAATATTGTTTTTTTCTTTAAATACTTATTTTATTAGAGATTAGGCAAATTATCTGTTAGTTAGATAAGATATCTTAAAATCACACATAATTATTCTTGGCTAAATTAACAAGTTTATATATAAGTTATTAATAAGCTTTTATAGTAATTACTTGCTAATAATTTGAAAAAATTAAATAATTCTACTATTAATAACAAACATCTAATAGAAATCAAGTACTTTTTACATTCATTATTTTTTTATCTCATTATAAAAACTTGGATCATAGAATTTAAATGACAATAAATAAAATGGTCAGCAATATTTTAATAATATAATAATTTTTTATTTATAATCATATTGTTTTTTTAAATTTAGAATTCTAATATTCATTTAAGTCATTATAAATTATTTATTATTAAAATAATATTTTTAACATTTGAAGAAAGAGAGATCGCCAGAAAACATCTTTGTAAAACTTGGAACTTGATACAAAGTTTAAATAATCAGAATATTGAAATTCTAAATACTATGCCTACGTGTTCCCATTTGAAAGATAATTTAGATGATTTTGAAGATTTATTAAAATCGCATGAAAGTCTTAATAAGAATAATTCTCAGGGCATAGAAAATTATAATAAATGTATAGAAATAGAATATATAATTCGGCCATTTGATAATATAGAGAGATTAGAAAAAGATAGTAATCTTTTGAATTATTGGGGAAATGTAAAGAATAGTATGCCAGAACTTTATAAGTTAGCTATAAATGTGCTAGCAGTTCCAGCTACACAGGTATCCGTAGAAAGAGCATTTTCTAGCCTTAAGTTCATACTCTCTGCACAGAGAACTAAATTAAATCCTGAAATATTAGAAAATATTTTAGTTGTCCATTCTAATTCTCTTTTTAAAGATAAATATTATACATTTTATTATATTTATGCGTTATTTTATTTATCATTGTATTTACACATGTTTGTTTTTATCTTATTTATTTATGAAATAAAAAAAAATAATTTGTCTTATTTATATTTACTAAGTTTAATAAAAATATCTATTAGATTATCATGGTTAAATTAATTAAGAAATTATAAATTAAAAAGATTTTTCTCTAAAATTAATATATACATGGTTAATGATTAATTTTTTTTAAAATTAAATTTATAAAAATGGGAACAAACCGAAAAGAACCGTTATTTATAAACCGAACCGATATACTAAAAACCGGAACATACCGAACCATTATGCTTAACGATTCAAAACCCTGATAAAAATTTATAATTTTGAATTGCAGCTATGAAAATTATGTATACATATAGCAGACTTATTTTCTAGTTTTCTTTTATTTGATTAAGAATCAAGGAAGCTTCATCAATATATCCATTATTAAGAAAAAAAGTTCAAAATGTATTCTAAGCATAGGATGTTCATTTATGGGGTCTCATTTATTGATTTTATACAGCTGAGATAATTACTTTTTTTACTATGTTTATAAGTTATCCTCTGACTTTTTTAAAATGTTTTCAATATTATAGCTTTCAATATAGTGTAATGTTTACATTCTTAACATATTAATTTGTTAAGCTTTCATATTAACAAACAAAGCATCACATTTTAATATTATAGTCAAATAAAATTAAGTTTACAATATTATAATAAGATATAGTTTAGAATTCAAATAAGAAAAAATTTGATGTTAAGTCATTCATAATAAAACATCAAAACTTTATATGGAAATTTTATAAGATGAAATTATAAACGGAAAATATCAGATCTATATAAGTAGTTGGCAAATATTGGATAAGGCCTATGAAAAATAAATTCCTAATATAGTATAACATGAAAAAAAAAATTGAAGATTGTATAAAAATATATAGTGATTAAAATTTTTTTACCTTTTTCTTGAATTAAATAGATACATGCGAGTGGCATAATATGACTTCAATGATTCGAAAATGACAGGGATATTTTCGTAGATAGAAAAATGTAAACCAAGCACTTCTACCAACGGCGAGAGGGGAGAGGGTGGGGTAAAAGAAAATGAAGCGGTAATAAAGATGTGGTTTTTTCTAATTTAGATTTTCTAATTTAGATTTTCTATTACTGATTTGAATTTGCATATGCTTCTTTCGTTAAGATTTCCTACTTTGATAATTTTGTTTTTATTATTTTAATTTCCTTTTTTATTAGGGAGGATGGAGGGTAATATTTATTTTGGCTTGAGAGGAGAATTTGCACTACCGTGAAAACAGTGAATAATTTTATTACATCTTTGTAATCTATTTCGTCAGTTAAACATCAATTAATCATAATACACAATTAACAAATATCAGAGACCTGCAGAGGTACTATTTGCACGGCCCTGCCCGGCCCGGTTTTAAAATTTTTAGGCCCGGCCCGGCCCGGCCCGGCTTGGAGGATATTTTTAAAGAAAAATTTTTACAGCCCGGCCCTGATATTTTTTTAAAAAATTATTTACGGCCCGGCCCGGAATTTAAAATTTAAGGCCCGGCCCGGATATAAGTATATTTCATATTTTATTCAGATATTTAATTACAAATTGATACTATAAAAAATTTGTGCAAATAATATTTTTGAATATAAAAGATTCTATTTGTGATTTTTAATTTTTATTTAAAAAATACATGTAAAAAGCTAATATTTTGAGAATATTATATTAAATTTATAAAAATTATAAAACTGTTATTTATAAAAATGGATATTTTGAGCATATACTATATTTTATATTGCATTTATAAAAATAAAACTAATATTCATAAAAATGGTAATAATATTTTGAGCATATACTATATTTTATATTGCATTTAAAAATAATAAAACTAATATATAATTTATAAAAATGGAAAATATTTTGAGAATATAATATATTGTATTTAATTTACTATTTAATTTATAAAGTAAAAATAAATCGCTATTTAAAAAAATGCATGTATAATAAATAGTATTTTGAAAATATAATCAAATTGCACAATATTAATATAATTTATTTTATAATATAAATTTTTAACAAAAGAAGATAATTGTATTATATAATATATTGTAAAAAAAATAATAAAAAACTTTCATGACTCAAGGTAAAATATAATAAATGCAATAAATATTTGACAGTTTGCAAAGTAAAAATCAGCATGATTGACGAAACCCTATACTCAAGAAAGATATTAAAAATTCACAAATTATCATGAAGAAAGAGAAGCATATCTACCTTTTCAGGTTGAAGATTACTTCTTCTTTCTTCAAGAATTCTTCCAGTAGTGGAAAAATTCCGCTCACAGCTTGCACTTGAAGCAGGAATAGCCAATACCCGTTTTGCCAATTTTGCTAAAATTGGGAATTCGCTTTGATGAGAATCCCACCACTCTAACAAATTATCCACCTTAAATGTTTCATCTATTTTTTTATTTATGTAATTATAATATTCATCATCGGGTATTGACATATTACCAGAATTACCATCGCCCCATTTGTCATAAAACGATTCAGTTTGTTTAACAGTCGTAATTTGTTAAAATTCTCAAGAATGTTGACTAGATCCTGAAGGATCGGAAAGTCTATAATATAATACTTTTCCGATCTCCCATGTTCTAGAAGAACTTTTTTAATTTCTTCATTTTGAGAATAAACAGAATTGATCATATTGTATTTAGAGTTCCAGCGGACTTCTATATCTTGATAAAGGGCTTTTAAATGCTGGCATTTATTACTTTGTTTTAAATGCCCCACTAATATTTTAGTATTATCTATTGTTGATTTTATTAATGGGGCATTACTTTCCAAATATTTGGAGTTAAATGAATTTCTTAAAATTGTATTTAATAAATGACAGCCGGGCCGGGCTTAGGGCCGGGCTTGCAGGTCTTTGATAATTATACATACTGTTCTAAGTCTAACTTCTAAGTTTTCTAACACAATTTGAAAATGACTAGTGGAGCACTGCAATTTTAGATATTAAAATATATTAAGTAATTTAAAATGAAGTTTTCCGGTATCTTTCAGGAAATTAATAATTAGATCGATCTGTGGGTGTTAGGTAGTGTTAACCATCACCCAATATTATATTAATCATAACTATAATATAATATAATCTTATAACCAATAACTCATAATGTAAAATTTTTTATATAAAATATTAAGGCCCGGGTTTAAAAATCTTAGGCTCGGCCCGGCCCGGCCCGGATATATTTTAAAAAAATTTTTTAGGCCTGGCCCGGCCCGGATATGTTTAAAAAAAAATTTTTTAGGCCCGGCCCGGCCCGGCCCGGCCGGTATATTTAAAAAATTTAAAATACGGCCCGGCCCAGGTCTTTGACAAATATATTTGATTAATAATTTATCTTATTACCAATTACTTTATTTATAAATTGCTTTCTTATCCGTTTAAAGATAACGGCTAATTGTACTTTACTTCCCTACTACGGGTTGATCCGTACTATCGAAATCTTTTCATATATGATTGATGGTGTTTTTATATATCATTGGTTTTGGTTATCGAGTCTTGTGTAGGATCAATGTGTTTGGCTATCGAGTTATATTGGATCAATGTCTTTTGTTATCGAGTATTGTATAGGATCAATGTCTTTGGCTATCGAGTTTTTTTATAGGATCAATGTTTTTGGCTATGGATTTTTGTATAGGATCAATTTCATCCATTCGTAGTATGATTTGCATAGTTTCTCCTTCTCTTCCTTCCTCTCTATTTATGAAATTGGAATTTCTGAACCTGTCTTTTAAATGATTAATATGTCTTCTTCATAAACCTAATTTAGTCTCAGCTAAAAAGTCATTGGTCCTATTCGTTTAACAATGATATCTGGTATCCTAATATCTTTTTTAAAATCTTTTGTATATACTTTCTCATTTATATTTTAAAAAATCTGGTAAGGGGGCATGTATCGGTGAAGATATATTCATTTTATTAATTGTAAGGATCCTATGGGTTAAACCTTAGCATAATTGAACTTGGTGATTGTTTTGTGGCTATTTGTGGAGTGATGATTAAAAAGGAAATCTTTTATTTTATTATAAACATTGTGTTTTTCTAAAAAAAACTCTTAAAAATTTATAGCATAATAGAGTTTGGTGATTGTTTTGTGGTTATTTGTGGAGTATTTTGATAAGAAAATCTTGTATTTTATTAAAATCATTAGGTATTTTTAAAAAAACTCTTAATAGTTTGTACTAACCGCTCGCTTCTACGTTGGATTTTGGGTGGTAAGGTGCATATACATTTCTAGCTAATTGTTTGCCACATATACTGCTCAATTTTGAAATGGAGGCCCAATATCCGTAACAATATGGGATAACCGAAAATAGCAAAAAGTCTTAACAATATTTTTCTTACTTCAGTAAAATTATTTGTCGAAAGATAATGTATTTCAGGTCATTTATAGAAACTATCTATTATTACTAGATAATATATCGGTTAATTGGTTCGGTAAAATCTTAATAAATTCTTCCCTATGGTTTCTTTGTGGAGTGTCATTTTCCTTTTTTTTACCGTTAGGGTTATTTGTTTGATATATTCCACAATCCTTACCATGAAATTCTATGTCTTTGTTAATCTTAAGCTACCAAACATTGTCTTTATAATTATGTTTTAATATAACCCTGGCGCCCCATATGTAAAATAGAGCGCTGGAAAAACGGTTTTAGATTTTCCTCTGTCATTTTCGGCCACGCAGCTAACGAAACGTGATTCTCCTAGGTCATTTCTTGTGAGTGATTTTATATCTAACGCTTAAATAAATTGTGGAGCAACCGATACTATTAAATTAATATCCAACTCTTCCCAAGCAGATTGTTTACCGTCAATTGGGAGTAACGGAAAAGCCTATCATCGCTATTTTTTTCGTTCCTCCAATTTGCAATTCATAATCATCATTTTCTATTATTAATGACCATCTTACTCTTGACGATGTCGTAGTTCGCAATATTTTTCCTTTTGTTTATATAAAATTAGTAAAAATGTCAATCATTTTAATGAAAAAACTTAGATTTTTTTTATATCATGATATTTTTTTATAGTTTTGTGGAAAAATTTTTTTATTATTCATTATGAATTTTATGCTTAAAAAAGTGATTTTATATCATCATTAATTTTTTGTGATTAAATTTTCAAAACGATCAGCAATTTTTTTATGTTTAAATTTATAAAATAATTTTTTTATGCTTAAAATTATAAGATTAATTTTTTTTTATGTGCTTAAAATAAAAAAAACTATTATCATTTGTGCTGAAATTTTCAAAAACGAAGAATTAATTTTCTGAGATTTTGTTTTATTAAGTTTGATTTATAAGAGTTATCGAAGTAGTATTGAGATATCTGTGTAATCCTTTGGTTGTAAGTTCTGATATTTTTCGTAAGTTATTTGATTTTTTGTAAGTTCCCTCATTTTCGGGTTCTTTTGATTTATTGATTTTTTGTAAGTTCTTTTTTTTTATATATTTTGGATTTTGGTAAGTTGTTTTTTTTTCTTTTATTTTGTTAGACGACATATATGTTCTTTTATCTGGGTTCTCTATGTAAGTGGTTTATGATCAGTGATTATAGTAAAATTATTACCAATTAAATATTGTTTTAATTTAATTAAACCAAATATGCCTGCTAAAGCCTTATGCTCTATATGACTGTAATTTCTTCGGTGGCATTTGATGTTCGAGTAGCGACTCAACCTGCTTTTCCTCGTTGTTAATGATGTGAGATAGAACTGATCCTATATTCAATGTTGAGATGCGTCTGTAGCTAGAATTACTAGCTTTTTCGGATTATAATGCGATAAAATTGATGCTTTTTTTAAATGTATTAATTACTTTTGTTTCATTATCTGTCCTTAAAAACATTTATAGCGTCTACATGGCAGAAAATTTGATGGAGGCAAACGCCCCTACAAAATCAATCAATACCCGCCTAAAAAATACACGGCCTTAAGCGGCGATATTTGCCAAACCACGATGCTATAGTGTTATTACTAAAAAAATCTTAGCTACCATTTATAATCTAACAAAAAATAATTATGTGAAGGAACGAAATAAAATTTAACTTATAAATACTATTTAATGACCAAATATATAATTAAACAATATTTTAATTTATTAATATTTCTAGTATATAACATACCACACTTTTTTAAAAAATATTCCTCGTTGTAATTTGAAGTGAGCGGTTATCGTTAAGTTTTGTCAAATTCGTTGTTTAATGTTTTTGCCATTGTTTTTGTTGCCTAGTCATTATTTTTTTCGTTGGTTTGTTTTTATCGCTAGTTTGTTATCCTAATCGTCATATCATTAGCTTGATCATCATCATCTCATTAGCTTGTTGATTTCGTTAATCATTATCATTTATAGTTATTGTCATTGTTTGTAATATTATTATCATTTGTTAATTTATCTGCATCAATTTATCTATAAAATAATTTTGGAATTGAAATGATAATGGAATAAATAATTTATATCGGAATAATATATAGAATAAGGATAATAATCGTATATTGGAATAATATATAGAATAAGGATAATAATCGTATTTGGAATATTGAATCATAGAATATTTTGAATTGAATATCGAATATTAGAATAAATAATTTGTATCGATTAATTAATATATAGTATCAAATACGAATTTCATGTTTTGCATTTATTTGCCACATTTTACATTTGTTTTATATTATTAATATTGCATTTTATATGAAAATTTTTATTTATTTTTATATTAATAATTTCAATCCATGAGGTTAAAATATGCAAATAAAATTTTATGAACATTTCCCTCTTCTTTTTTTTAAAATTTGAATTCCACACTTGTTTTTTTTTAATTTATAAAGTATTTTAATATTATTATTCGTCTTCAGATCATCGTCGCTTTTTGAATAAATCCTTTAACCATCAAATTTTTACAAAATAATTTCCTTATCTCATATTTGAAAAGATTTCTAAAATTTAGATGTTTAGTTTTAATATTGTCATCTGTTCTCTTTAAAATACTTTTATTTTTATAACTTAGATTTTATTATCTTTGAAATTTTGTTTATCACAAGATTTTTTATCATCTTTAATATTAATTAAATTAATTTTATTATCACATTTTTTAACATGTATTTTTTTATATTTTATCATATGATTTATATATTTTAAATCACATGATTCTATTTTATTTTCATATATGAATTCTATTGAAATTATTACAGTTTTAGTTGTTATCTTCAAATTTTTAATTTAATATGTTTATGTCCATAACATTTTGTATTTTATATTCACTAAAAATTCTCCTATTTAGCAAATTAATGTTTTTCCAGTTTCTATAAGAATCAGAATCATGATCAGCCATGAATAAACCAGGTATTATCTCTAAATTAAATCGATTATTTATCTCAATATTTTTGCTGCAAGATTTATCTTTGAAAATTTGGTAATAAATTATGTAATTCATTTTTGTTGAAGTTCTTGTTATTTTGAAATTTATTATCATAATGATAATTTTTCCTATTATTGTATGTCTCTTTATAATTATCATCTCATTGATCAGTGGTGTAGACAAAATAAAATTATTTTTTAATTTGTGAATAATTTTATTTATAAAACGGAAATTAAATATTATGTACGATATCAAAATGAAATATATTTAAAAAAACAAATAAGAATTTTCAATTTAAAATTCACATGGTTTAAATTAAATTATATGAACTAAAAATTAAATTTATGGGATAGTAGAGCCGAGGATGGAGTAAAGGTTTGATCAGCATATCTAGAATGATGATTTTTGAAAAACAATTATAAATTTAATTATATAATTTATATTGTTAAACAAATTATATAGTTTTAAAAATTTTAATTTATTTTTTTAATTTTTAATTGAAAGAGAAATCGTTTAATTTGGTAAAGATAAACAGTAAGCTTTTATTATTCTGCCGGTTAAGTCTTGATTGTTGATTGCACTTGAAACGCGAGAAGATATTAAGAAAAGAGTTTTACTCTGATGATTAATCAGGATAGTATGATAACTTACTTTGTGATGTCAAATTTTGGTATAAAAATCTCGACAGGATAGAGTACTCTTTGAGACCAAAAAATATTTTGCAGGCCTTTTTTATGTGTAATTGCACTTTAGATTCCCTGCCTAATATCAAAACATTTTATTTTTATTTTAGCTACCTTACCGATTATTACCTGCCTGCACTAATGAAAGGTCTTTTTCAACTTTGAAAAGGTTAAAAACCTATTTAAGAAATAGCACCAGTGAAAAGAGGTTAAATAGATTAGACCTATTAAATATTTATAAGGAGATTATTCTAGATAAAAATTTGATTCTAGATCATTAGCCAAATCTCAGAGAAAAAATAAACTCTTTATAAATTCAAAATTGCAATATAATTATAATATGTTCTTAATCATAAAATTTTTATATGCAAGACTTAATTATAATAAATTCTCAGTCATAAATAATATTTATATATTATTTATATTATATATTTTTAATAAAATATTACATTTGCAATAAGAGTTATTTATATTTTGTAAATATAATCATTTCTATTAATTTTAATTGTTAAATTATATATTTTTAAGAATTACTTATATTTTATTGTAATTATATTTTTTTTAAAATACAGTCATTTACAATAAATTTTCAATATAATAATCTGTATAAAATTTTTAGTTTGAAATTTATTTTATTATATATTATCATTAAAATAAATACATAGTTAAATAAAGGAATGTTATTTATACTAAAGTAACTAGTTTATTATTATCTACTTATTTAAATAATTTTTCATTTTAATTTCCTTTTCTTTTCAGAAATTTTTAAAAATATCTAAAAAAAATCCCTAAATTAAATTTCATTTACTTATTTGTTAATTTAATTATTAATTTAATCATTTATATTAAATTATCAATAAATTATTATACTTTGAAGCCTCTAGTCTCATTTATAACTATATCGAGGAAAATTATGCAATTTTATATTTAGGCTTTCATTTTTTGGTGGGCCAACTTACGACATGTGTTAAACCACACGATGAAATACGTTGGGGCCAAGAAAAAACATTTGTTTATAAAAATATATTAATTATTTTATGAAAACTTATACTTTTGGGATTCAGAATTATTTATCCAGATTGGTGTCATAATATTGAATTTATTCAGGTTCGAAAAAAAAGTATCTTAAACATCCTCCTTCTTCCACCTTAATCATTTATAAGTTTTCTTTATAAAATCCTTTATTTATATTTTTTTAACCTGAGTATAAGTGATACTAGGGTAAATATGTGATTTCTTTAGCCATAATGTTTTGTAAGCAAATGATATAAGTATATAAAACTGTCTAGTTGGCGTGAGGGGTAACCAAAAATTTTTGGTTCAAATTTATTTCTATAATAACATTCATAATATTGGCTCAAATTACATTTTATATTCCTTAACTATTTTTAAAAAAAATTATGATAAAAATGTGTTTTAAAGGTCAAAATAAATATATATCAATACTATATATTGTAATTGTATTACTATTAACAGTTTTAAAAATTATAAATAAGCTTTATATAAAAATTAAAATTCTATTTTAATATTTGAAAAAGTCATGTTTAAATGTATTATTAGGAGTTGATAATGATATTAACCTCGAATGTCTAGTATAATCAGGACTAGTTGAGACAATTTCTCATTTCATAAGAATTTTGGTATGTATATTAAAGCCTAGCAAAAACTTGGCTTAAATTTGCAGAAAAGGGGGTGGGGTACTATTTTACTTTTAATTGGGGCTCGGATTTAGACAATTATATTTTAAAAAAATAAAAAATGAAGTTTTGGCTTTATCTATTAAAATAAAATTATGTTTAAATTTCTCTTAGGTTGATGTTTTATTTTTTCTAATTTTATACAAATACACTTAATTTATATTTTTTGATTAAAAATTTCGGGACGGGCTCAGGCTTAAAAATCAAAAAAATAAAATATTTCTAATGCAAGTCTTAAATATATCATTATCAATAAAACATTGTGAATCTAAAGAATGGAATAAATATATATTAATTTATTTTATAGAGATTTTATAAATCATTTGATTCTACTAACACCAGCGAAATTCGTCGGGTAAAAAATTTATTTTTACCAAAATCGTTTTTGAGAAAAAAATATTAAATTCAAAAGTATGTTTGTTGTATCTAATAGCATTTTATAAATTAGAATATAGTTATTTCTAAGTTAGATTTTTTCCAAAATTCGGTCAAATAGTCCCGGTCTGAAATCCTTGTATCTCTTCTTTTTTTCAAAAATAAAGCAACGATATCTCTAAGATAAAAACCTAACTTTGGTCCAGGCCATTTAAACCTTGAACTTATATATTCATTTTTATATATCGATTTTCATATAAATTTTAAAAATTTACGGCAAAATTGTCAAAAATTTACAAGGTAAAGTATTAGATGCTCAATCCATACTAAAATATGATTCCTAGTATCATGTCTTTCAAAATCGTGATAAATGAATAAATATTTCAAATTTGTATAAACCCCGAAACAATGATATAGCTCTCAATGCTAAACCCTGCAATAGTATTGTTAAATGGTTAGATTTTTAAAAACGATTAACCTAATGCTTTAGTCAACAAATATTACGCAAGCCTCTAGATTTCATTAATAAATGTCCAAACCTTTTAGCTATCTATAAGCCAGATCTATTTTTGGCTAGAAGGGTTGACCGTTTTTATATGTCGAGACGTTTAGCAACACTACCCTGCAACAACGTATACAATTAAGGAAGTATTTAAGTTTTTTTGAATTATCATGGGGTTAAATTTTAAAAAAATTAGCTTATACTTATCTCTCAAAACTATTAATTAACAAAAATTCTCTTATCTTTAAATTTAACAATAAATGATAATTGGTAGAATTTAAAATTATAATGATAATGAAATGAATATCCTGGTTGGTCAATAAATACATATGTCAAAAACGGTGGGAATACATATGGAGTTGTTTATGAATTATAATATTTACTCAATGGGTATTAAATCCTCCCATATAGGCTAGAACTATTAAAAATTAAAAAATTAAAATATATTTCCAATAATCCAACGACGATACAATTAAGAATAAATTATTTTAACGTGCGTAAAATCGATATAAAAAAAATAATAAGAAGGGATAAATATTCAAATGGATCGATATTGAATGTAATCTCAGGTGATTTTTGTTATAATGTAAAAATAAAATAAAAAATGAAACCATCGAACAAAGGGATGTAAAGGTGGAAATATTGGTTTTATTCTTTTTTTTTCGATCCCATATTTAGATTAGGACGCTATAAATTTATTAAACTTATTAATATTAAAATTTTAAATATTAACAAATATTTTTATGAAAAAAGTTTTGAAATTATATGGTAGAGCCCAAAGTTATAATAATGAGTATTCCTTCTTGAATTCGCAAAATTTTAATCTAATAACTTCCAAGGTGAAATCCAAAGTTAGGAAATTCAGAAATAAATTGGATAATAAAGATTTGAGACTTTCGAGGGGTAGAAAAAGTCCCATGAATTCAAAGCTTCATGAAGCCTGTGTAGATGGTAAATTGGAGAAAGTGGAATCTCTCTTGTTAAAAAGTGACATAAATATGAAAGATGAAAATGATAGGTATGTAATCTTATTCATAGTATAGTTATTTTTTTTCCCAAATTCTATATTATAATTATATTTGATTAAGAATTTATTGGTTTATTATAAAGTAGGCTACTTTGCATTTCCTTAAATGATTAATTCTTCATATTTTAATTCTAAGGGTTTTTCTTATTTAAATAAGAATTTTAAAATATTTGTTAGGTAATATAATAAATTAATATATTTTAAAAATTAATTAACATAGAAATTTTCAGATAACATTTTAAATCATAATGTGTATTTTAACCAACAGCTGAAAAGATTCTATATATAAATTATATTAATCTTAGAACGCCAATACATATCGCATGTTTAAATGGGCATTTGGACATACTAAAAGCGATTCTGCAATACTGCCCTAACCTAGATTTTAGAGATAAATTTGGGATGACTCCATTGATTATAGTGAGCTCATTTTAGAATACTTTTGTATGTTAAGACAAATATATCTTTCAAGAATATTACTCCACAATGGTTTGAACTCTATCATAATATATTTTGAAATCAATTAGATCAATCGTAATATGCATTAGTAGTTTTTTAATCAGATTTTGTAATTTTTACTAATATAAACGAAAGTGCATAGCTTATAATCACCCCGATTTGGCTTACTATTTGCTCGAATCAGGGGCTAACGCTTTAGTAACCGATGACACAGGTTCAACCGCTTTACATTACGCTCTAAAGAATTCTTTTGAGGATGCTACAAAAATTTTGGTTGGATATTCAGACAATTTAAACATCAAGGATAAAGTTTTTTTTTTTTTAAATAAAAAGCATCTTTAAATATCGTCGTCACCACTGTAAGACCTCGTAAGTAGCATTTTTTTCTAAATATGTTTTTTTGGATAAATGGGCTCACTATAAGCCAGCTATCATCTCTCAAAAAATCGTGTCTCCATAACCAATTAAAACTATTTTTTTTATCAAATAACATAGCCACATATTTAAAACGAAAAAAAACAAGTCAGAGACCCTCATAATTTATATATATTTTTTTTTCAAATATTTGCTAATAAATTTTTTTTAAAAAAATTGTAAAATCAAATTTTGAACATTATCCAAACCTCGTTGGCATGGGGTTCGCTTATATGAATATTTTTTTGAAAACCATTCTAATGAAGGAGTATTATAATTAAAAGTTAAAATTCATTTATAATAATAATCAGTTAGAATAGTTTTTTGTCTCTACTGAACAATTTCAAAAATGGGTCTTGCAGTGGTGACGACGAAATATAATAAATATTTTTATAATAAAATAGTAAATAATTTAATTATATATATATTGATTCAATCTTTTATTTTATTTCTTAGGAAGGTATAGCACCTTTACATGTTGCGGTTGCTAACAAAGATAAAATAGCAACACAACTTTTATTAGAAAATGGAGCTGATCCAAACGTGAGAGATAGTGAACTCAAGTTTAATACTTTATACCAATCATTGATTTTTTTTTGAATCACATAACAAATTAATAAAATCATTCAAAATATATTTCGTCAGAACTCCGTTGATGCTGAGTTCTATTTTTGGGCAGGATGAGCTAGTGAACTTGCTAAATAATTACAATGCTGACCCAAATTTGCGAAGCGATGCCGGAAAGAATGCCTACGAATACGCTATTCAATTTAGTTTATAAAACTTACCTTTATATGTATTTAGATCTTAAAATATAGCCATAAAAAAATTATATTGCACATTATTAAGGACCTAAAATATAAGATAAGAAATGACCTAGTAAAAATTCCCTCCTAGAAAATATAACATATTATTTTATTTTTTTTTCAAAAGTAGGTTAACCCTATCCAAGACGTCTAAAATTGCTTTTCTAGGGCATTTGAGATATTTTGTAGTATAATTGTCCTGTTTCTTTTTTTCAATTGCATTTTTGTCCGAACAACTAAAAAAAATTATTCATTTAATGATAAAATAATATAATACTATATAATTTTGTTAAAAAAAATTTATTGCGTATTTTACCTTTTTAGATAACATTTCTTGTGCGGAAATCCTCCAAACGGTAACAAGGAGAACATCAAGTTATGAACAAAAATTTCGTTAAAATTAAATGATTGCCGATTTATTTTGAACAAATAATCATTTTTATTTTAAATATCTTAATGTTTATATATATATTTTAATATTATTTATTATGGACCCGTAATTAGGCCCGACGACAAAACCGACAATAATTAATCAGCCAAAAATTCAAGAGGTTTTTTTTTTAAAAATATATAAACATGAATAATATTCTATTAATTATTTAAACATTTTTATAGAAATTCAATAATGATACTTCAACTAATTCCAATGGTATTAAATGAATAATAAATTTTTTAACAGAAAAAAATATTTTAATATATAATTTAAAGATGATTTGGAGAAAGCTTTACCATGTTTCAATAGATCACAAGTAAATTTCTTTAAAGAAATTTTTTATGTATAAATATAATAATAATGAAATGATTTATTATAGGATTTCAAATTTACAGCACCTGTAAAACGTATAACCAAAATAGGGAAAAATATCAAGGATATTTGGGATGATAGCAGCGGTATGAGTAGCGTAATCAATACTTTGTTAAATTATCAATTTATTATTTAATTTCTTTTAGTAGTCAAAATGTTTATAGCAATTTTAAAAAGTTATGCATGGTATAGCAGTCATAATTTTATTATTTAAAATCCAATATATTTTTATTATAAGAATTATAAAATATAAAATTCGAATACAAAAGATGATTTAGGAGAACCATTTATTGATGATGACCTGAAATATTCTTTAGAGAAATATAAAAGGAAAAATTCGCGTTTGAGTATCCCCCCTCCGATTATTCCATCAAAGGAAAAAATATTAGCCCACGCCAATGACGATATTGACGAGGAGTACATTTGGAGTGACATCGAGGAGAACAATAAGGAGTCGCTTCCTCATATCTACGAAAACTTTACTGTGTATAAGGGTTGGAAAGATAATGAGGACAATTTTAAATCTGTACACGATATTAACATCGTATCACCTTTAAAGGATAAAAATGTGATTTCGGATGAAGAAGAGGATAAGTTATCCCAAGATTTTTTCGATAAAATCTTTTCAGAAAGCAAATTATCAAATGAAAAAAGGGATACTCCTAGATTGAAAAACCAAAAATCCGATATTCTGAGCAGCACAACGACAGAGGGTACGAATCGCCGATTAAGCAAAAACCCATTTATTAGTGGTGACTTGTTTGATACAAATTGCACAAGCGTAGACTCAATATTAGAAGATAAAATTAGCAAAAATGGGGACAGTAAAAAAGTAAATTCCAAAAACGTAGTCGATAAAAATTTATATCGTTCTAAAATTTCTGAAACTTCCATTGATAGCGTGCTTGATTTAATTGAACAGAAAAATGAAATACCACCTTTGGAATTTGATAAAGTTATCTCCCCAAAAGATATATTTCCAAATTTACATATATTTAATGGAGATAAAGAGTTATTGGTAGAAAACCCTGATAGATTAATAGAGAAAACTTTAATACCTGGTATAGTAAAAGTTAGTAATGAATCAAATATTAAATCAGCATCCACAAATGTTGAAGATCCGATCACTGTTAAGGCTGAAAATAGTTATTCCAAGAATAATGTATATGCTAATGCCTTTTCGGAAAATGACTTAGATATGATTAAACCCTCGCTAGTGTTAAGCCCTCAAAAGAAATTAAATTCAGAGAATAATATGTCTCATAAAACAACGTTTAAAAATTCAAGAATCTCAGGACCTAACGAATTTCCGCCTTACGTTTATTATGAAAACCGTTTTGGGAATTCTTGCAATAAAATAAGAAATAACTACTATTTTGATGAAGTTTTAAATGGTAAAAATGTATTCACTCCTTTTGCGAGTGACCCAGATATGTTAATTGAGAGAAACTTAGGCTCTTCTATGTTATTTGCTAATGATCAAACCATAAATTTGAATACAGATGGGAAATTAGCAATGCTAAATGAAAAGGTTTGTTAAAAAAAAATAAGATTCCTAGAAATTTTATGAATATATAATGTATATTATTTAAAGAGGTATGATAGATATCAAGGTGATAATTTATTCGATACCTCGGGGGAAAATATTAGAAGCACCATTATTACTAATCGTCAAATAACCGGTAAATCATATATATATTGGTTTAAATTTTACTATTTATTCGTGTAATATACAAGATAATGTACAGTCTTTTAACGATGACCTGCAAAAAATAATGTTTCAAAACGATAATTTTACTCGAAAACTAGAAAAATTAATCAATAATCTCTCATTGTAAGTTTCATATTATTATTATTGGATATAACTGTGAAATAAATGCCTAAGACAATGTTGGAATTAAGGCAAGACAACCAATAAAAAACAAAAAATTTGCTATCTCTTGCTTTTGTTTTGCATTTGTTTTGCTTTTGTCGTGTTCTTTGCTTTTAGATTCTATTTTTTCATATATTCATATAGTATATATATATATATCATTTTTGGTTCGAATTTGATTTTATTAAAAACAGATGCTTATTTACTATTTTTATAAAATCCACTTTCAGAGCCTTTTTATATCTTTTTGTGGATGCTCCAGAATCGCCTATAAATTTTTTTAGGTAACATATATAATTAATTAAGACTTTAGGGAATAGTCATACTTATTTTAAAAAAAATTAAACTGTGTCCCAATTGAATTATTATCACCTGATTTGGTGAACTATGATCAGGGTGACAAATTGAACTGAAACAAATCTCGTAATTTTCGACCATAAGCATTACTGAATCGGTATTAAAAAAATTTAAAAATTGATAAATAAACCGTTATGAATTGAACCGGTTATGGTACACAACGTTTTAAAAAATTTATTTATTTATTATAAATGGTTAGCAATTTTAAAAAATTTTTAGAATATTTTTATTAGATTGTATTATGGATCAATTAATTTGTTTAATATAAATTGGAAAACATAAAAAATAACTGAAAGTAACAGAAAGGAACCTATATAAATTTCTAAAACAAACGAACTAATATAAATTTTTCCAAAAATAACTCGACTGAAAAACTCCTTTTAAAATGTTTAACTAAGAATCGGAATAAAATTCAACCGTTCATAACGGTTTAAAGCTCTGACTATGGGCGTACGACCAGTCTCTTATCAATTTTTTTCTGCCATTTGTACATATAATAAAATCTATATACTTTTAAAATAAAAATTAGAATATATTACTTAGGGTACATTCATAGCAAGCGCGATGCGACGCGATTAAACAAACGATTGAGTTTTTCGTATCTCTTAATTACAATCATAATGATGCCATAAAATTATTATAACTAAAAATTGATCTCATTAAAAGATTTTATAACCTCCATCATCTGTTAAATTGCCTTGTATCGCATTTACTAAAAATCTAAGCATTTTAAAATCGATATGCCTGAATTGATTAGTATAAAAATCGCTTGATAATACAAAAATATTGTATTCGAGTCTAATTTTCAAATTATTTAATTATTTAGGAAACTTCCACAATTCCATTTCAATAATATACTTAATAAATTTATACAACAAAATCAGGCGACAAATTCGTTTCGCTAGAGGACAAAGTCTTATTATTCAAAAAATAATTAATCTATTAAAAATAGTATATAAAACCACATACAGTTTTACTTCAAAAAAAATTTATTATGTTTTTGTTTCTTTTTTTTTTGCTTGCATATTTTTGAGACATTATTTTAATCGCGTTTATGGTAAATAAATATTTTTTTCATATTGGTACAATAGTAAGAATGTTTTTATATTCGTGGCCAAGTGCTGTGAATGTTTTGAAATCGAAAATGCACCATTTTAGAAAAACTTAGAAGCTTCAGGCTCTCGAAAAACATTCCTGATTCTCGAAACGTTCCGAAAATTTATGACTGCAGAACGGAAAAGGAACATTTTTAATAAAATGCTCTTCTTCCAGGTTCCTAGATTTGATATATAATTTATGATATAATATTAGTTCTTTATAATTAATTTTTATTTATCTTAAGAAATCCTTCATCAACTGATAAAGTAATGATAATCTATATTTAAAAATTCATAATTTTATTTGTATAAGAAGGAATCACCAGATCTGATCTTTATAAAAACTAAACTAGAGGACATAATTAGCCGTCAACAAACTTCATATAATTTATTAGATAATCTTCAACACCCAGAACACTCTAATTACAAAAGGCTTTTAGATCTTACAGAAAATTTAAGAGGTATAGAAGATGCTGTATGTAATCTAAAGGACTCGTTTGGGGATCAGTTAAAGAAAAAAACTGATTTGATACTAAAACGAATAAAGAATGTCGGGGATATTAAAAACGAAGACCATTTGAGAGAAGTTTTGGACGAATTTATGAAAACTCAAAAAGAATTAAAATCTGACCATGATGTGATGTTAGATCAAGTAATTGATTAGTTTATATAAAAAATAATAATCTTAGAAATAAGTCATTATATTAATTTTAAATTAGGGTTGCGGGTATAGCGAGCACCTCAGTAAAGTTAAAAGTATAATTTATTCGAGAGTGTGCATGGAGGTAATTCTGGGAAAAATTTGATCTTTTTTTCTATATAAAAATTTTATATTGTTATAATATAAGTCTTGAGTATATTATTTATAATATACAAATTTATTTAAAAAATCATATGGAAAGGATTGAAATCATAATTTATGGTCTTATTAAAAAATAAATACAATTTGTGTGAAATTAGGTATCAATCTCATAAAAGTAATCACAAGCCCTCTCTGTCATTAATATACATTTTAAAACATTTTTGGTATCTTTTTGGTTCAAATAAAGTAATTTTATATGATTTTAAGTAGAGAAAATATATGGTGAATTCCATATCAAATCAACAAAAAAAAGTCGATTTTCAACCCGACCCCCTTTAATTTTTCTTAAATTTTGTATATTGGTAGTATAAGAAAAAAATAAAATTTTACCTTCCAACACTGGTTACCCGCTAAGATATAGCCGTTTAAAGCGTGGAAAAATGGTACATTTTTGACAAAATGCACTTCATTTATTTTCAAATATCTCGAGAAATAATTATGTAAGAAAAACAATTTAAATTTTATATTGTAGCTTAATGAAAGTTCTTTAAAATTACATAAAAATAAATATGATGGACATTTTATTAATATCGAAAACCGGATGTGTAAAACCGGAAATGGCCATAGAAAAAAAAGGTATTTTTTTTCAAAATATTTTTTCTCTAGATAGATATCACACTGCTTTATATTTGTATAAAATCCTAGACTGGGATGAATATGGGTTTAGGAGTTATCACTCTTTATATGGCTAAAATTGAACAAATTTAACATTAATATCATCATATTTTAATTTAATGAATAGTTATGAAATAATGTTAATTTAAAAATTATGTCAAAATGATAAGCCCTTACTTTTTTTTATCTTTATAAAAAAAATTTGAGAGGTGGCTGGGATAATGAGCTGTTTAAAACTTTAGTTAAATTTTATCTCGAAATTAAAATTACTTGACAAAATAATTTTAAATATTTTATTTAGCATTTCCCCCATATATTCAAAATTAAAAGAAAGGCTTAATTTATTGATGAGAATTCTATAGATTATAAAACATTCAAACAATGGATAGCAGCTGATCGAACTACCCTTGAAACACTGACAAAATCCGCTGACGAATTTGTAGATTATTTAATTGAATAATTAAACAATTTAATTCCTCATTTGTTTATAGCTTCACGATAATCATTAATTCGAAACTTTTTAAAATTCAATTTAAATGTTGGCGAATTCTTAGTTATTGCAGAAATTTCAGAAAACTATGCATTTGTAGTGCAGAACCATGCTCAAGGATGTAATCAGACCAATAATCAATATCAACTCTTTTATAATTTATTACCGTAAGAACAATATAATAAAACATGTAAATTTAGTGGTTATATCAGATTGTTTAAAGCACAACGCATGTGCATTTTATTTATTTTAAAATTAATCGTATTCTTGAAGGAAAGATTTAATAGAGTGGCTAAAATTTATTATTTTTCTGATGGAGCAAACCAATATAAAAATAAAGATTTCATTAATCTCTACAATCATGAAAATGATTTTGGGATAAAGGCTGAGTGACATTTTTTGAAACCGCACAAGGTAAAAGTCCATGCCACTTGGGGGCCGTTCTAAACGGTTAGCGGCTTGAGCAAGCTTGCAACGTCCATATAAACATCACATATTGACAACAATAGATTTATTTAACTATGCAAGAAATAATATCTATGGGGTAAATTATATGTTTGTGAGCAATAATGAATATATGAACATAGAAAGTCATCTTGAAGGCAGGTTTTTGAGAGCAAAGAGAATTTCTGGAACACTAAGTTCCAAGATTTTATTCCCCTAGACGAAAACAAAAGTCATAATTTATTAAAATTCCTTGGATAATTATAATATATGATGTATTTTAATTATAAATTTTTGATTGTATTATATGTAATGCAATTTGAGGCAAATAAAGTTATAAATATGTTTAGAATTATTTTTTCAAGTAACTTCGAGACAAAATTTAACTAAAGTATTAAACAAAGCTCATTATTCCAGCCACTTCTCAAAAATTTTAATAAAGATAAAAAAACGTAAGGACCTGTCATTTTTTAAATTAATATTATTTCATAACTATTAATTAAATTAAAATATGATGATATTAATGTTAAATTTGTTCAATTTTAGCCATATAAAGAGTGATAACTCCTAAACCCATGATCATCATAGTTTAGGATTTTGAACAAATATAAAGCAGTGTGATATCTATCTACAGAAAACATTTTCTGTTTAACACATCCGGTTTTCGATATTAATAAAATGTCCATCATATTTATTTTTATGTCATTTTAAAGAACTTTTATTAAGCTACAAAATAATATTTAAATTATTTTTTAACATGATTATTTCTCGAGATATTTGAAAATAAATGAGGTGCATTTTGTAAAAAGTGTACCATTTTTCCGGGCTTTAAACGGCCATATCTTAGCGGGTAAACAGTTTTGGAAGGTAATATGTCTTTTTTTTTCTCTTAGTTATAGCATATACTACCAGTATACAAAATTTAAGAAAAATTAAAGGGGGTCGGGTTGAAACCTTGGTTGATTTGATATGGAATAGACCATATATATTAATTTAATTTTTTAAAAATAAAATTTAATAATATAGGATTCAAAATAAATTTTAAAAAAGTTCTCAAACTATATAAATGTTTTAATAAATTATATTGTGATATATTATTTACAACATAACTTGTGTAAAAGATTGCTAAATTAAAGGATGATTTGGAAGAAACTAAAGAAAAAACTAAAGCCAATATACTCACAAATACTAAAAATGAACTCCGAAATCACACTTTCAATGAAGTTTCAAAACATGATACGAATTATAAAATGATCGAAGAATTATATTCCCAAAATACGTCCCTGAGGGTGAAAATATATATGTTTCACAAATAAATGTTATATTTGTATTTTTATTTCTTCTTCCTCGCAGATTAAATATATGGAACAAATCAAGGAAAATCTATCTAACAATAACGAGTAAATTATTTAAATATTTTAAGCTAGTGTCATAAGATATTTTGATTGGCTGATAGCGCATCGATAGTCCAGTAAAGGGGGGTGGGGGTAAATTTTTACCTGTTTATTTAGGCTATATTTGTATGATTACTTATTTTAAAAAACTCATTAATAATAAGATTAATAAAAAAATCTGAAATATATTGATTTTTAAATAGGAATTAGGCAATATTGAGCATAATTATACCTTATGACATTACAAATTATAAATTGTTTTATTTATTTTTATTTAAAATCTTTATTTTCACATCAGATATTAGAAAATATTACAATAAGATAAAATTTTGATTATAAATAAAAAAAAATATACATGCCATATATATATAATTAGTCAGTTAAGGCTTTAATAAAAATTACTAATTTATATAATAATAATTCATCTTTAAATGAATTTAAAAACATAAAAATTTTACTTTTTTTCTCTTTTTTGGTCTGGAGGGAGGGGGGGGGAGATAGTATAAAATTATTTAAAGAGGACTCATGTCCAGGGATGTGAACCCTCCATCTAAAATAATGGGTTCGGGTTCAGGTGGGTTCAGAGTTCGGAGATTAGAAAATTGATGACTTATTAAAATTAGTTATAATAACAGAACAACATTAAAAAATTTATTTTAATTAGTATTGCCATAAAAATTATTTATCATCATAATTACAATATATTCGTGATTTTATACTTCTCTTTGTCTTACTATCAATTTAATAATTCACAAACAACAATATAATAAAATGGATATTATTATATATTATCATTATTTATAAAAAAAACTTTTAAAATCTGCTTTGCTGGGTAAAATTTAAAAATTTTACGAAAAATGGCCTATTCTTAAATATGACAAGAATGATTCCACGAAAAAATGTTTAAAAAATGTTTTTTATAAATTAATATATTTTTTTGAATAAAAAAAACAATTGTTTTAAATAGGAACTCTTTTTAAATAGGAAATTTTTCATAAATTCGTAAATTATACAAGTTTTTTATATTTATTATTTATATAATTTAAAATAAATAAAATGAAAGTTTAAAATAAGAAAAATCAATTTTTTAAAAATTAAAAAAAAGAAGCCATGAACACTAAATTTAAAAAAAGGGTTCCGGTTTGGGTTCAGCAAAATTCGAGGGTTCAGGGGGGGGGGGGGGGGGGGGTCGGGTTCTCATCACTTCTCACAGATGACTCCGTCTATATGTCATTTTAATTATATAAATATAAAGTTACAAATGTGTTTGTCATATGGTATGTATAAATTCAGGACATGGGAGAATCTTCGAAATTGTAAATACTATACACGTGGTAAAATACGATTTCGCAAAATATCAAATCCTTAAGAATTAAGATAATGTGCGGTATAAATAATTTTAATTTTAAAGATTCTTCCATACACTTATGCAAAGGATTACATTTAATTTATTAATTACCTTACGTGCAACATTATATATTGATATTATGTTTAAGGAATATTGTATTATTATCATAATATTTAAAATATTTAAAGGAATCACCTTGTACAAAACAAGATTAGTGATCTGTTCGATAAAGTTAACTTTCTAAAATCTATCTTAACACAATTAATTGAAGACATTAGGGCTCATGAAGTATATATTTTTTAAATAATAAATATATCATTTATAATAAAATTAAAAATATTTTAATGCTTTAGACTAGAACCTACATAAACCTGTCGGGATGCGATCCGATCGAATGTCAATCAATCATAATCATAGTCAAATATTAAGGCTGGATTTATAGTGGGATCAGATCCTATACGATTTAACAGCTTATTTTGAAAATCTACTAATGATATAATTTTTTCTTTATTAATCAATAATTCTTAGATTATTATCACTAAGAATTAAAAATAAAATCAACTGTTAAATCGTGTGGAATTGGATCCCACTATAAATGAAGCCTAACTGAGTAGAGTGAACCTTGCTTTTTAAAATATTCGTTCGTTAGGTTTGACTTGAACCCTGGCCAAATTTTACATTATATTGTTTTTCTAATGCTTTTATATAGTATATATTCTTTTTACAAAGAACACCAAAAAAATTTATTTTTCTCTGGCGCTTATAATTAACACCTATTTCTTTAATTTTTTGAATCGGACTTTCTTAAATAACACTTCGAGTCGAACTTAGAATTTCAAAAAAATAATCTGATCGATCGGACCAAATTTTTTTAAATTTTTTCTCGGATCGGACATCAAAAAAAATAGCTATTATTTTGGGGAAAGTTAACAACCCTTTAACATAATCTATTTGATTCATACAGAAATATGTCCTTCCCCGCAAGATTAATAATGCAGTGCTAGGAAAAACATTATTCCATATTCATCAAATCAAGTCAAAACTTTTAAATGTGTTAAAAGAAATGGAGAAAACGCCTCAAATTTTGGTAATAATGAAATTTTATTTTATCTTTCAAATTTATAAAATGATTAAAGGATATAGTAGAGGCGGGTGCTAAGTTCAAGAACGCATCATACAGTGATAGGTAAATAGTATATTGATTTGGTTATGATTTTTATATTATAAATGAATTTTTTTTTATAATAAGACCCTCAGACATGGAATTTGATAAAGGCACATCATATGAATTAAATCTGATTTATCATATCATTCGCCGAATCACATTGATGATAAAATATATTAAACATGATAATGATAAAGAAGATATTGCTGTAGATTTGACAAGTATTCTCGAGGCATCTAGAAATGAAGTTTTTGAAACATTCAATAAGCAAATCTTTAATTTCTAACCATTTTAGGTGATAAAATTAAAAAAAGAGAAATCCGAATTACTAAACGCTAACACAAAATGGATAAATTCTTTGCGGGAAACCCAAGAAGGTAAGATATCATTATAAACAAATTTGTTAAGTCTTGGGTACCGGTCGACTTAAAGCATAGAGAGGTACCATTTTTTGCAAGTCCTTATTGAACCATCAAAAATCATTTAAAGATTATTATCTACAATGACAAGTCACCTAATTGGCGTACCCAGGATTTTCTTAAAAGAAGTCTTGGGTTCCATATAAAATTTTATTGGTTGGCTTAAGTCAACTCCTTATTCCTTTTTATATTTTTAGTAAAATGCTTAAAAATTATTAAATTGTATATTTTTTAAAATTATTGTATTATATTATAATGACATATAGTGAGTGCATTCATTTTGTAAAGGGTGGGGGGGGGGGAGGAATTATTTTTGCTACTTAATATAATGAATAACTTTTAATTTTTTTGTGGGATATGCCCCCCCCCCTCCATGACGCTATTGAGGATTTATAGAGATTTATAATAATCATCCTTCAAAACAAACATAATCATATGACTTGAAATGGAAGTCTGATATAATTAAGTCGTTTTGTACCTTTTATAAGTTTTAAAATTTTATTTTTATAACTTTATAATCGATATAAAATATCCACATATTTTTTTGCATATATTTTATTAAAACAGAATTGGATAGACTCAAACATGATCAAGTTATTATAAAATTATCACTTTTCTTAAAATTTAACCTATTGTTTTAGAGTTTTTCTACGATTGAAAACACAGTTAAATTAGAAATCAATCAAAAACTAGGAGAAATCAATACCTTTCTTCAGAAGCAAGTAAATACTTTATAAATATTAGGTATTATAGTTAAAAAAAAATTTTCATTGTGCCGTCTGTCCTCATATATTATTATTCTTTTTTAATTGTTTATTTAGTTTATAGAAAATAAAAAGATCGATGAAGCAAATGCGAAAAATATGACAAAACTGAAAAAATGTTGTGCCGCTAAAATCAAATATTTGAAGGTCTCGAGAATTTTGTTAGCATTTTTATACATCTCTACTTAAGACTGCACATTTATCATAATAAAAATGAATTAAAAAGTTTGCGATATTTTTTGAAATTGAGATTGATCTTGTTTTTCATATGTACTGTAGGTCAATTTTTTTTATTATTTAGACGGCTCTCAAATGAATTTTTTTATACATGCTGACAGTGGGCGGATTCTCAACCCACAAGCCAGTTTTTTAAATTTGACACCCCCCTCCCCCCCCCACCCTCCTTGCCTCTTTTCCATAATTTATCAAATAATATACACACCGTCCCATTGGCTTAAGAATTATTTTTAATCAGCCTGGAATATATTTTGAAAAAATCAACAAATCGTCAATAGAAAAAATAATTGAGTAATAGTATAAATAGAAATATAAAAATAAATGAGATTATAAGAAATTAAAATACGAATATGACGCATTGGGATATGCAACCCATAGGGATTGGGTATCTCTCAATTTTAAATTATTTAAAAAGGGTAATTATAAATCTAAAAATTTTAATGTTGCCGGAAATGTATTCCATGTGAACTTTAGTGTGTTTTATATTTAAAATAAAATCTATATAAAAATTAATATAAATTAATAGTAAGTTCATGGCAAATTTTTTTGAAATTAACAATTCAGGTATGTTTTAAACTGTAATAGAGGTGGCCCTACCTGACTCTAAAACCCAACCCACCAACCCGTGAGTTGAGTCGGGTTGGGAAAGTTATTTTTCAGATGAGTCGGTTGAGTTTGATTGGTAAATATTTTTGTTATAACTATGAATTTGATCAATATCAATAAATCATGGTTTGATTCTTTATTATTTTATCATATTGTTTACTTTTAGATTAATTCTTAAAAGATACTAAAAAAATAAATAGAAAGATAAATATTTTTTTTTATAATTTGATTTTCAGTTCGGGTTGGGACGGGAATATAGAATTAATTTTATGTTTAGATTGAGTAGGGTAAAAAATTTAACTTTATGGGTTGGTCGAAAAATATTTTTTTCCTACAGATTAGGTCGGGTAGAAAAATTTTGTCTTTTGGAATGCACTTCCTTTACGATTTCTCAATTTTAAAGCCATAGTATTAAAATTGAGAGATTTTGAATCCCCATGGACAGTAGCGTACGCAGGAATTTAGTGTGGGGGGGGGGGGATAATTAAAATTTTTTTAAATAAAATTATTGTTATTTAAAAATATCAAGCATACATTTATTAGGACTAATAACTATTTCTAATATACAAATTTAAATTAATATGAATTATAAAAAATTAAATATATAAACCGATATATAAAAATAAATTTGATTTAAAAAATATTAAACGAATATAACCGGCGGCATATAAATACTTTAAATAAATCTGAATTATAAAAATTAAGTGGATATAACCAGGATATGATGACTATAAAATAAATAATCCATAATAGAAATTTAAATTTTTTTGAGCTTTTAAAATTTATATATTTATAAAGTATAAAAAATCTAAATGTTGGAAATATGAATAATTATATTTTTTATGTAAAAGAAAAATATATAAGACATTAAAAAATGATAGCACAAGAAATATTATAGAAACATTATATTTTTATTATGTAAAATCCAATCTTCGTTGGGAGAGAGCTAATTTTTCAATTATCTCATCCGTGTTTGGCGTCAAATGCCTATGAATATTCAAAAGGGCCAGACCATTCAACCTACTTTCAGAAGTTGTACTTCTTAGGTACGTTTTTAATCTTCTTAAAGAAGAGAATGTTCTCTCATTAGTTGCAGTACTAATGGGAAGAGTTGCTAATATATATAATAATTTCAATATATTGGGAAAATAATCTAAAAGATGTTTGAAATGATGCAAAGCATCATAGCATTTTTTGGGACTATATCAACCATAGTTAATCTTTTATACCATAGTTGGCATTCAGCTAATAAAGCATCATGAGATACATTAATGTCTTCATGATAAAAATCTTCCAAATATTTTATTTTTTTCTATCACCATCTGAAAAAGGTTCAGAGGGCTTTTGCGGAAGTAATATCTGCAGATTGATAAGTGTTTCTTGATAAATTAAAAACCTTTCATTTACTTAGGTTATAAATGTATCCAAAAGAGGTATAAAGACATTTATTTTATAATATTCTTCTATTGACCCTATATTAATATTTGGACGATAAGTTTGCCTTGCTGTAAGTCGAGGGAGACAAATATTGAACTCGTATAGCTCTGCTTTTGATTCAACATTAACATATAAAATATGAAATTCCTCATCAGCATTAGCTCTAATTTCTTTGAGTTCTAATAAAATTGTCTCTGCTATTCTCATCATCTCAATCAAATCAATTTCAGGTTTTTGAAAAGTATTACATAAAATAGTTGTATAATTAAATAATTTATTAATACATTCTAATGCGAAAAAAAATTTTAGTATAAGTATTGAATCCAGTAACTTGCTTGCTTCTGAAGAAATATCTTTTTCAGACATTGTGATATTTCTATAAGAGCATTAATAATCGGCTCTTCTAACTCGATAAAAGCTGTTACTGCTTGATGTCGAAGACTCCATCTTGTTGGACAAGCTTTTTGCAATTTTTTTCTCCTTGTTGGGCAAGGAGTTTCAGATATAATTCTGTTCAAAATATTTTGACGCTTGGGGTATCTAAACATCTCATAGATGCTAAATATTTTACCTGATATAAATATAAAAAATTAATTTAATAATTAAAAACCTAAGCAATTTGATATCAATGGTAAAGAACATGAATCCAATATTGCTAAGTTGAGTGAATGGGCAGCACAGTGGACATATATAGCTGTTGGGCATTTTTTTAAAATAAATGCCTGAAGCCCATTGAATTGTCCACTCATTGCACGTGCTCCATCATACCCTTGCCCACGTATTATATTTATATTTAGCTATATTTTTTAAAATAATTATATAATAAGATTAATTATTACTTTTAATTTTTTAAGATTCACAAATATTACATCAGCTAAAGCAGACCCAGTCATGCTTGAAACAGGAATAAATTGGAGAAACATTTCCTTGATAATGTTTTTATGAGTATCTACATATCGCGCACACAACGACATCTGCTCAATGCCAGCAATGTCCGTGGTCTCATCTGCCAAAATTGAGAAGTATGGGGCAGAATTGATTTCAACAATCAATTTTTCTAAAATGATATTGTTGCAAATATTAATTATCTCATTTTATATCCTAGGGCTGAGATAAGTAGCATTTTTATTGGTACTCAGGATCTCCTAATGCTTTAAATTTTAAAAGTCCACGGAAATTACCTTCGTTATCATTATTATTAAAATTTAAGCTTCCTGAATCCTTGTGGCCACGAAGTGCTAGGCCTTGCAAGCCACAATATAAAATAGCCTCAATAGTTAGTTTTATCTTGCCTCTATTTTCTTTTGCAATTTTAACCCTATTTTTATCAATTATTGATGAAATGGGAATCATATCCCCCTTTTGAATTGATTCTTTTGAGGAAATCATCAGTTCACAGCTTTTGTTTATTAAATTATCATACTATACTTTTTTGCTTTTTGGCATGATTTTCACCTTCAGCGTTTTTTAAAAAAAGTCTAATATCCATGACTAGAAATTTGAAAATTATAATACCGGGAATTAAAAATAATAGATAAATATTACGCCACAAAGAAAACTTGAAAATGAAATTAATTGATAAAGTAAATTAGTAAATGAAAAAGGTAATAATATAAAAATTTAAAAAGAAATAGATATGAATAATTATAATAAAATATAAAATATAAAAAATAATATTTTTGAAAAATATGTCCCGGCATCTGCATTTTGGCTTTGGGGGGATTTGTCCCCCTGTCCCCCCCGCTGCGTACGACAATGCCCATGGATTCCAAAGCCGAGCCATGGGGTTAAGATCAATATTTTTATATGATTTTTAATTTATTATATGAGAAAATATGTTAAGGCACACAATTTAAGAATAAAGCAGTTGGTAGTTTAATTAGAGGTTTTCATCAGAGAAATTGTAAGCCCTCCTGCCCATTTGGATTAAAAAATTTTAATATTACGTGAGACAGAGGTTGGGTTAAAAATATATTTAAAACAATTGGCAAACTGGCTGGGGAAAAATTTTAATATTATGTGAGCCAGAGATTAGGTCAAGAATATATTTAAAACAATGGGCAAGCTGGTTGGGGAATAGTGAAGGTCAAGGTCCGGTCTTTGGTCCGGACTAGGCCGATACCCTCGGATCGGACCGAACCACGGTCCAAGATCGATCCAGACCGTGGTCCTAAATAAAAAGACCTGTAATTTAATTTGTTTTATTATTTTATTAAATGTAAGAGTATTATATAAACAATAAAATTTATCCATTGGTATTGAAGAAAGTGATTTTGTGTTTGTGGAGGGCATATTAAAATTAAGAGTAGATTGTGTTTTTGAGATATTTTCATTTTCATCATTAGAAGAATATATTTTATATTTTATCAGATGTCTGCTTAAGGTACCTTATTATTTTATTAAGAATAAGGTTAAGTTATTTTGACAATGAATTATTCAGACAGTTTCTTAAGAAAAAATATAGAGTTGTTAAAAGATATTTTTTAAATGGATCTAGATACAGATACATAGTCAAAAAAGTTATCTAGATCCAGATGTCTAAAAAGTTTTCTTGATACGGATACAATTTTAAAATGTATCAAGATACAGATACAGCGTTAAATGTATCAAGATACAGATACAATTTTTTAATACTCTTATAATTGCATAAACCTAAATTAGGATTCTATTGTGAAAATGTATGTAATGAGATAAAAACTTTAGATATCACATTTATCAAAATTAAAATAATATATAAAAATATATGATTAAATGATTATAAATAATTATTTGATTTCAGTAATAAAATATTTTCAGAATTTTGGTCCTTAAGGCATCCTCGTTAATCCGTAAAGACTACTAAAAAGCCTTTCTACCGGGGCACTTGAAGGGATTGTGGTGTTATATTTTATGAATAACAATTTTATATCAGGATATTCTTTAAAAATATAAAATCTGGGCATTCATTTTCGAAAAAATTATTTAAAATTTGTTGAGTATCAAAATTTAAATCATTATTAACAATCATATCTGCTGCTGCGGGGTACTGAAAAAAATAGGATATAAAATTAATTGTTTTTTTCGCAGGTTATTTGTTATCAGTTGAAGATCTTGATAATTCATCAACTAATCTTTGTATTATTAATTGTTTTTTTCATTAACAGTGTTTGATTTTTTCTCTTAAAATTGAAAATTACAATTTTAAACATTTTATTTAGTATCTATACCCTTAAATGTTTTACAATGTTGCAAGTTGAGGTAATGCTAACTGAAATTTTCGTATTTTTTTTATAGATATGGCAAACATTTTACTATCAGAGATTTGTTTTTTTTTATTTTGAGATATTATTTTAAAATATGCTCTATAAATTGGCCATGATAACAATATCTGAACTTGTTCATGCTTCATTGATTATTACTTCTTCTTCTTCCTCCTCATCACTATTAATATTAATCTAAAATAAATTTTTAAAATTAGTATAATAAAATAAAATTAACTAATTCCATTGAAGATTAAAATGGCAGATTTCTTGAGTTGCATTGCAATATCAAAATTTGTCTGTTTTATTGAAAAACTCTGACATAATGTTTACTAAATATATATCTATTTTTTTTATATATTTTAATATTTTATATATATATAATTTTTTATTAGAGTAGTCTAAATATTTTTTATTATATATACTTAAATTATATGCTCAAATGAAATAAAATAAATTTTGCATTCAAGTATTTTTGTTTATAATATAAAAAACGTTAAATAAAAGTATAACAAAATGTATCGTAAAAGTATCTAAAAACAGATACAGATACGTCTAAAATAATATCTAGATACAGATACAGATATTTTAATCATATCTAGATACAGGATCTAGATACTTTAACAACTCAAGAAAAAATATAACTATATAAATAATAACCAAAATATTTTAATAATAATAATGCTTATTTTGATTAATTTATTGCTTAAAAAATTATAAACAATAATTTTGTTACATGTTGCTGACGATACATTAAATTTGGTACTGCAGTGAACACATACTCTATTTTTTTATTGGGACTATAAGTAAAATGTTTCTTGGACAAACTTATGGTTTTCATATTGTAAAATAAAAATTAACAAAATCTAAAATAACTTCTCTAGAAAATACTCATAAAATAGGAAAAAAATTATATTAATTAAAATAGTAAAGCAAACTTAAATAATAATAAATGACAGGTCCGGACCGCGGTCTGGACCGTAAAACCTCAAAAAAAGATCGGTCCGACAATCGGTCCTGTCCCGGTCTAAGACCGATAGGACCGGACTGTTGACCTTCACTGGGGAATGTGTAATATTTTTTGGCAGATTATTTATATCGTAGATTTACATATTTTATATAATAAAAATAGCTTAAAATAAATAAAGAACCAAACCTACTAATTAAAAAATTTTTAAGCATATACGAGTGGGTTGGTAAAATTTATTTTTTAGATAGATGGATGACCGGGTTAACGTTGGTTGTTGGTGGGGTAAAAATTGTCCCATTCCGAACCTTTAAGTTCAATTACCATAATCTGGTAATATCTTCTTAAAGAAAGAAATTGGTGGCCACATGAAATTTATTCCTACACCATCACCACCCCCCCCCCCCCTCCCCCAACCAAAAAAAAATTTACTCGTTATCCCCTAGGAGTCTACCTTGATAAGTCAAATAGCTTTTTCCCTTCCCGGTGACGTTTAAAGTATTTAAATTTAGCATGATTTTTTTATGGGGGGGTGGGGGGTGGGGGTCGGTTACGACATATGGTATACTCGTGAGATCTCCTTATATAATTATAATATATTAATTTTTAATTAATACCTCTTTTTTAAAAATATTTTTAAAAACAATAAAATATTATAATATAAAATGGGAAGACTAAAAAAAATAAAATATTATATATAAGGCACAGCTATGAGTAAATTAACGCCAGTATTTAAGACATTTTAAAATTAAATAATTTATTTTTTAATTAGCATGGTCAAAAATAATAAAATAATTTTCCAAAATTTTTAGATGTCACTTGTAATCAAATTTTATTTTTCATAATATCAAATTTAAATAAGACTTTTTTTTGTGCCACTTTTAAAATTAGTTACTGAAGGGGTTCCTTAAACATGAATAATGATTTTAGTTAAACTAGACATTCTTATGCATTCATACAAATCCTAATCCATTTAATATTCAAAAATCATTTAATTTTAATGTAACATGTTTTATAGAAAAAAAACCCTGAATAGAATTTTTGTTATTTTAGATGAATTTTAAACATATTTATTTGTTTTTATGTTCATTCCATTTCTTCATAATCATCTGTTTGCTTCAGATATTTTTCTAAATGCTTTTAAAAATTTTTATGTTAAATGTTAAAAATCACAAAAACCCTTTCATTATACAAGATTTATCATCTATGACATCAGATGATATATATTGTTAAATTATATGATTAGTCCATCATATTTTACTTTTTATTACTTTAGCATTTATTTTCTAAAGGTTTTCATCAATTTACCTGTAAAATTATTATATTTTTGTTGATAAATTACTTTTACTATTTTTTAACTTACCTTTGTATATTTTAACCTTGAAATACATAACATGATTTAGTTTTATATTGCTAAAATTAGTCAAAGCTCTCAAATTTTGATTATTCTATTCACTGAGTAAGTGTTTTATTTATAAGAAATTATTTATATAATAATTGAAATTATAAAAATATTTAATTAATTATTTAGGAATTCAATAAACACTTGTTAGCAGAAAGGGAGGTTTTATACACCAAAATCAGGAATGCGAAAAATGATTTTTGAATTCAATTATTACATGGCAGACAATTATTTATTATATGTTATAACATTTATATAATTATCTATATTATGTTATATAATTAAATGACTCATTTGTCCTTTCAGGGACATTCGTATTTTTGATAAAAAAATATATTAATCCCATAACAATTCATTTAGTTAATTAAATTAATGTATCTATCTAATAACTCATAATATTTAATAATTGTACAAGACTAGCATCTAAAAGAATTTAATTTTAAAAAAGATAAATAAAAAGTAAATTTAGAGCATTAAGGTCATTCAACAGTTAAATTTATGCTAGTTCCTAATTTAGCAGTCAATTCTGCTTTTAATTTATCCTTGATTTTAGTTAGTTCTTCAATTTCATTGGCTATTTCCATTTTGCGTTTTTGGTAAAGTTCAGTTTGTTGTTGAATTTTGTTTTCAATATCATCTTTATCACATAAAACAAAATTTTCGCCTATCATATATGTAAAAAGGTGAGTTAAGAATTGTATTTTATATAATTGTATGTTTTTTTTTCAATTAAAATAATAAAAAAAGGATATGGAATATCATTTTCTTCAGTAATTAAGATCTCTTCTGATGCATCTTTTAAAGAATCTAAATCTTTCTATAAATTAATTATAATAATCATAATATAAAATAAAACTTTTATTTGATTTAGTTCTACATTAAGTTCAGTGTCTTTAGCATGAGTTATCGCAAATTGATTAATTTTCTCTTGATCCTCTTTTTTAATATTAATATCCGAGTCCTAAATAAAATCAGTTTTCATTATTAATACACAATTATATACATCTGATTTGGTTATCATTTTACAAAATTAATATAAATTTTATGAGTAAGCTAAAATGGTTCGGCACACCTTATGTTTTCAGTGCACCCTCAAATTAATGAATATGGAAATTTTATTATTTTTTTATATTTAATATTGGTTTTAAAATTTATATAGCAATGAATAAGGAAAATTTATATTATTTTTCTTGTGTGGGTATATAATGTATTAAACTGTTTAATTAATAAAGAACTGTTTTTAAATTTAAATGAGACATAGTTTTGTCTAGATACATTTAAAATATAGAAAATCGATATTTTTCGATGCCTTTTATTACTTTATATTATATTTTATTATTCCATTTGAGCGCGGATATCCTCCTTAGTCCCCTCCCTACCTCCTGTCTCCCAAAAATGTATGCATATATCTTAAACATTAATTTGTAAAAAAGAATGTAAAAGTTAATATCTTTTTAAACTAAAACTATTGACTATAATTTATACTTTTTTGGAAAAAATTATTTATATATAAAAATAAGTAAAACCAAAATTAAGCCAAAGATAAGTCTTAATGAAAAAGTGAAAAAGTGATTAACTTTAATATTTTTTTTTAAGTAAAATTTAATTATCAAATTATTGATAAAATTAAATTATAAATTAAATAAAAATAATTATCGCACAATACAAACAGTGAAATATTATATGTCGTAGATTTACAGTATTTCTAATTTAATCTAATATCGGATGACAATCAAATAGTTTTTACCAATAGTGAATATATATTTTACAAAAAATAATAAAATATTGATATAGACATCATAATAAAATATCTTTTAAAGAATGTAAATGAAAAAAAATTCTATATTTGTTAAATTAATAAACATATCTATTAATATTTAATTTTCTACGAGAACAAAATATTGTTACATTCATTTAAACATGAATTATAACTTTTAAAATTTTAATTCAACCATTATCAATCCTCTTTATTATTATTATTATTAATATTTATCAATGCAAATCCTAAGTGGTACGATGGATATTGAATGTGGAATAGATTATTGATCATTTTCATAGTTGGATAAAATCTTAAAAATACAAAACTCCGTTTAGTATTTTTTATTGAAAGAATAAAAAGGGGTATTGTTAAAAAAGGTAGGATCCCTAAGAATAAATATATAATTTAATTGAATAAAAATAAAAATTGTAAAATATATTGATTTTTTGGAATAGATATAAAATCCTATATAATATTATTTATAATAAATTTATTTGAGCATTATACAAAATATTTAGCAGGGATAATAGAGCAATGGTGGATCCGACAAAATGGTAAGCTTTTAAAAAATTAGGATCCTTAAAAATTGTTATATTAATTTAGTTAAATATTTAAAATGTACTTTGTATATTTTTCAGTTAGTTAGACAAAATATTCATCAGAGATAAAAATACTATTTAAAAATAAATATTAATGATGATATGAATAATTTGTAATATTTTGTAAAAAAGTTATATTTAATGTATTACTTTGATATCCAATACTCATGAATATTGTAATATAATGATGAAAATATTATGTACATTTATAATTATTTTCACTAATAGCAGCTTCTTGAGTAATAATGCTTAATGATTTTTATACATTTTATGTACTATTGGGAAAAATTTCCAAGCATCCAAGATCTTAATAATTTAAAAAAAATTTCTCAGGCTCACTTCAATCCCTACTAATTTTGAAAACCAAGCCAATATTAATTTTGAGAAATATTTTTTAAAACTAGTCCAACCCATAATAATTTTGAAAAAAATTTCCCAAGTCTGAAGATATTAAATTTATAATTAAGCCCAGTCCAACCCTTAAAAATTTTGAAAAAATTTTCCCAAGCCTGGAGATAATAAATTTATAATTAATGAAATGGAAATCTCTGATTTACCAATTAATTTATGAGTTATTACTGTTCTGTAGCATTATTACAAACGTACATGAAAATATAATATTATTAAAAAAGACTGTTAAAATATAAAATGGAAAATACACAAAGAATCATGACAAAATATGGTCTGCCCTAATATTATTATAAGAAATAACAAATATTACCTCGTATTATTGGAGATAACTCCAAAAATTAAGTTATGGAGAAAAATTCTCTGATGTACAAGTTAAATTGAATTAAAATATTAATAATTTGTAATATTTTGGAAAATAGATATATTTAATGTATTACTTTGACATCCAATGTAAAATTTTGTTATGATAAATTATAAGAATATTTAGGGTTTTAATATGGCATCCTACAGTTGCAGAGAAAACTTAAGTTATATAATCATCTGTTTGTATAGGAAAAAAAATAAATAAATAAAATCAACAAATAAAAAAAATATAAATAAATACGTAGCGATGACATGACGTCACGACGACGTAGTGAGGACATCGGAAAATTATAATATAGATAATATATTTTCACTAATTTTTTTAATACTAAGATTTATATCATTATTTTTACAGTCATAATATTATTTTAAAATTTCACCATGAGATCTTATGGATATATTTATATTATTATCAATTTTTTCTTTAGATACTAAAATTTTATTGTTTTTATAGTCATTATAATGATAATTTTCCTGTTTAATATTAAATTGAAGCAGGATTTTCAGTAAAGCGTCTGGAGATTGAAACTCCTTACCTCATCTGTCGATATGGCCCTAACTAAGTTTATATATCCAATCTGATATGATAATTAGAATTCAATGAATATAATCTTTTAGAATCATCTTTAATTTAGTTTGATCATATTTGTTCCCATTTGGTATAACAATTCCAGTGTCCATAATCTAATTTTTATTTATTAAGAAAAAATTTAAAAGAAATTTTAAAAGGATAATTTCCGCTACCGATTCCTATAAAAAAATTACATTGCTCTGTGTTATATTTTTGAATGCTACGACTTGGTCTTAATGGTTTTTGTTAAAATTAAAACAACTGTCATGTTTTTCCTAATATAGTCTGTCCATTTATCTTTCCTTATATGTTGGGAGGGGCCATGATTTTATAAACCTTTATATTTTTCTTGGTTATGGGGATAAAACAATAATGCAATTTTTTTTAAATTTAAAAAAAAATTAAAAATATAAGTAAACGCTTGTTACTTGTTTTAATTTAAATGCATTTCACTTGTTGCAAGTGAGTGCAAGCTTGAGTTGAAGTTTTATATAGAAAGTTGATTAATTTATTATCGATGTTAATTAGATCTCTCACTTACAATTCTTATTATAGTGGAATCTAAATAAAAGAAAGAATAAAATATATTTAAATAAATTAGGATAAATATATATATGAAAAGGTTAGCAGGGATCAAGGCAGAAAATAAAAGTTTTAGACGTATATTACGTGAATTTATTGATATTTAAATTAAAAAATATAATGATCACATATTCAAAAATAGTTTGCTATATATATTGACAATGTAATTTATCATAAATTGATCTTTTTTTTAAAAAGTTAAAAATAAATAATTGAATATTAGTTTGTTAAGTAAATTGATTTATAAAATATAAAATTTAATATTAGTTTATAAACAAATTGATTTAAAATAAAAAAAGTTGTTTTTAACAAAAAGAAAGAAACAATTTTTATTACATTTGAAATTATTTAAGTTACGCCATAAATGACTTAAGGATAAAAAAAAAATAATTTTTTAAAGTTAATATTATTTAACATTTCACACTTTTTTTTATTTTTATTACATTTGAAATATTTAAGTTACGCCATAAATGACTTAAGGATAAAAAAAAATAATTTTTTAAAGTTAATATTATTTAACATTTCACACTTTTTTTTTTATTTTTTATTTGCCCTCTGTCTGTAATTTAGTTGTATGTCATTCTTGCTCGTTAACCCCTTCGTTGATCTTTTGTACGTTTTATCTATTTAGTTCATAAAATCTTTCATAGTTTCGTCTTGATAAATGATAGTTATTTTGGTTGTAAAATCTTATCTTGCCTTGCTCCCTCCAAATCTTTTAAAAAAACAGTTTAGTATGTGATTCGACTTTGTCATCCTATTGTTAATTATTATCATAATTTGTTATTGAATAATTTTAGAATATATGTAATATTGAATAAGAATCGCCAAATAATCGAAATAGAATTAATTTAACGAATATCGAATTTTGAATAAGAATAATCAAATGTGTTGAATAATCGAAATAATATGAATTGATTGGTCGCGTTTTATTTTAATTTATTATATTATAAATATCGCGTTTTAAATAATAGCGTTTGATATAATAATTTTTATCGATATTAAATTTCAATTTTATTTATTTATTTTAAATAATTTTTTATTAATATTAAATTTCAGTTATTTTTATTATTTTTTTTTAAATTTTACTCCCTTGTTTTTTAAATCAAAAAATAACTCAAAATTACTGTTTTCTTTTATCTTCAATAAAAATAATGTTTTAAAGTGGTCAATGTAACTTACACATGGTTTGTCCTTAAAACATAATTTAGATTTCATTGTATTTAAAATTTTAATTTTGAAAGATTCGTCCACTTTATCATTAATTATATAAGGTAAATGTTTATTTGTATTGTCTACTCTCTTGATTTTTTTAAATTTATAAGTGTCAAGCTTTAATGATTTGGATTCTACTTTTTTAAAATTTTTGTGTATGGGAATTTCAACTATTTCAGTTTCATTAATTTTTTCAGTACTAAGATTTATATCATTATTATTTTTACAGTCATAATACTCTTTTAAAATTTCACCATGTGATTATTTATATTTTCATCATTTTTTATAATCACAAATGTTTTAAATTTTATTATATAATTTATTTCTTTTAGTTTATAAGGTTTTAATTCAATATCTAATTTTTTTATACTAAAAGATTTATAATTATAATTTCTTTTATAATAATGTGTTTCTTTATCCAATTTTCTATTTTTATAACAATTCTCATAATTAGATTTACTAAAATTTTTATTAGAACAATTTTCTTTTATTTCTGTAGCCGATTTATAATTACATAAACACTTTAATGTATATAATGTTTTATCATAACTCGAATTTAACTCTCTTGGAAACACTGCTTTCATGACTAAATATAATTCATCCGGTAAATTACCTATTAAGCTTAGAGTATTCTCACTATCATGAAATTTTAAATAATCATCTAATTTGTCAATGGACTTTGTTTTATTATTAGTATCCCAAATTGGTCTATTCATGATTTAAAGAAAAAAAATTTTTTTTTTGCTTTTATTTATTCTTTCTTCACTTTTTTTTAAAATTAATCATATCTTACGTGTTTTTAGAATAATATAAATATTACATTCCAGAAATATTTTTTATCTAGTTGTCTACATTCTAGTAGCTAAAATCAATCGTGTCTGCGGATTTAGAATAATTTGTAAGTCATTATATCCCAATTTTAGTAATCATTTCCATTATACATGATAGCTCCGTAGTTTGATGTCTAGGTTAACAATTCTCCTCATAGTTGATTGATCCATTTGATCTAATTTATATTTTATTTTTTTTGAAAATAAATTAATTTAATTTAAAATCGTATATCCCACCGCTGCCACCATGAAAAGGTTAGCAGGGATCAAGGCAGAAAATAAAAGTTTTAGACGTATATTACGTGAATTTATTGATATTTAAATTAAAAAATATAATGATCACATATTCAAAAATAGTTTGCTATATATATTGACAATGTAATTTATCATAAATTGATCTTTTTTTTAAAAAGTTAAAAATAAATAATTGAATATTAGTTTGTTAAGTAAATTGATTTATAAAATATAAAATTTTAATATTAGTTTATAAACAAATTGATTTAAAATAAAAAAAGTTGTTTTTAACAAAAAGAAAGAAACAATTTTTATTACATTTGAAATATTTAAGTTACGCCATAAATGACTTAAGGATAAAAAAAAAATAATTTTTTAAAGTTAATATTATTTAACATTTCACACTTTTTTTTTATTTTTATTACATTTGAAATATTTAAGTTACGCCATAAATGACTTAAGGATAAAAAAAAATAATTTTTTAAAGTTAATATTATTTAACAATATATAATATAAAAAGAAAACGAATTAATGAACTTGACGATTTTATTTTGATAATGAATAAAATATAAAATTTAGAAAACATTATAATAAAAAATTTCATGATGGCGAATGGTAAAAATTAGAGTTTTTATACTCATAAATTAAATTATTTACAGTTATCGCTATTCAAAAATATATTTAAACAATTTATAAACTAAAAAGAACTAAATATTCAAATCTATTTTCAATTTGCTTTTTTCTGTTTATCATAAATATAATCTACCGTTAAACATGAAAATTACACAAAATAAATTTGAATATATCGACAAATATTATAATATAATTAAACGTACTTATAATAAGAAAAATTTGAATATATCGATAAGTATTATAATATAATTAAACGAACTAACAAGAAATATTTGCATAAATAAAATAATATTGTCTAACTATCTACATAATCACGACATCACTAATAATAGATCTTCATTAATTTATATAAAGACAATCACCGTCGATTTCACAATATAACAAATCTAATATGGCAGCTGTCACATGTGATCATCCTTTTATTTAGGCACTGTATAGCATATTTCAAATAACCATATTTTTTGGTTTTGATATGTTCATTTTACTATGCCTAATATCTCTCCCTCTTATAAACAATGCCCACATTATAGCTTGTAGTGGTTACATTAAATCTAATGTATCTGAAATATCATGGGCATCGATTAAGGTAATTTATATCTCATTTTTTTATAATAACAAAAATTAGGTTCACCTTTTTAAATATGGTGCATTAAAGGGCCAAGCAGAATTATCTCCACATAACAATCTTTATATTATTCCTATATATGAAAATGGAACTTATACCATAAAACTTGATGTGCCAGGGAATTGGAATTTTTGTAAATATATATTTATCATATAATTTGTTTAAGCCTATGCCAATTGCCATATTTCCTACTTTAGATTGCATCCTGCTGATAAAAAAACATGAATATATATTCCACAAAATTATTAAATTCCTGCAAAACAAACAATTAAATGTCAATAATTATAACATATTTTAAGTTAAATTAATAAATTATATAAAATTAGCTGCTAATTCCATTCCATTCTATTAAATTGTTCAATTTTTAAAAATATTAACTGAGAGTGAAAATATTTATGGAGTTTAATCAAAATAACAAATTCATTCTGTCAGTAGGGTTTATTAGACACATACTGCATAATGTAGCTAAAGAAGAGCTAAATATTTTGCATTTGAAATAAAATCAATAGTCATGAAATGCTAGAAATAAATTAAACTAATTAACAAATAAGTAAAAGAACCAAATAAAATTACAGACATGATTAAACAAAACAAATATAAAAAATATACACATATTGTGAAACAAATTTTTATTTTGTAAAATTAAGAAATAAATTACAAATTAGTATTAGAATTTAATTGCATAAATAAAAAAACTCCTACCTTTATTGTTCCTAACTGATTCCTAGACTTTGAGTGAGCAACTCCAAATGATGAAAATAATCTCTTGACTGAAGCAGATTATGAAGATGCAGTAAATGGTTGTTTTATTATTTTTAGAATATTTACATCCTTCATCAAATTTCCTTGGGTCACCCACCATTCAATTGGGTTTACTTTATTTACTATTTTATCTGAAGTCATAATTTTAGGAAATAGCTCTGATCTTGCCTGAAACTTTACCAAGATAGATAAAATGTCAGTGTTTGGATATAGAGCCTCCTGCATTTCATTGCCATTTCCAATTCACTGGTTGCTAAAATTGAATGATATTTTGGATTTAGAAGGTTGGGTAAGAAGTGTGCAGGAGTTCAAGTTTGATTGTTTCATTTAGCAAAGGATGAAAGTTGTTTACTACTTATTTTTTTATTAGCATATAAGGTGATGAAAAACTTGCAAATTCTTCTAACAATATACTGTGTCTGAAATATTGTTTATTTCTTTCTAAAATTTTAAAATAGTTTATCATATCTTCAACAGCTCTTTAGAGTGTAATATTTTCAATTTTTTTTCTAATTGCAATGTTGATTTCATTTTGATTGCTTTCACATATTTTTAATAATTTTTCCCATTCAGTTATATAGGCATCTAAACCACAATTCAGTTCCAATGAATATCTTGTGGAGTGACAAGATATCACTCTCCTTCTTGTTTCAGTTTAAAACTTGCAAACTGATAATTTTTGAAATACTTTACCAAATTAACTATTTATTCCAGGATACTTTTATTTTCCAAATCTTTTGATAGTAGATTTAAAAAATGTGCACGTTGTTTCTTTTCAAATCATCCCTCTGTCATATTAACTGCATTGATCGACTCCTTTTTTGGAAGAAATATCAAATTACAACATATATCATTATAATTTTTCAACAATTTCCTGACTTGTTCCCTTGAGCATTAGTCTTTTACTTGCAGGATAATATTAAACTGAAATAAAAAAACAATATTTTACAATTTAGCCCATAATTTTTTAATTAAAATTTGATTTAATAAAAAAATTACAATTTTTGCCAACCCTATTATATACTTTTTAATAGTGTATGACATCTATAATTTAATTATACCACAACATAAGTCATTTCAGGGATGCGGACCCAGCAAAATTTTTGCCCAGGTTCAGGTTTGGTTTAGTGTAAAATAAAAATAGGTGGGCTCGGTTTTTGGTTCAGGGAAATATTTTTGAATTGATAAAAAGAAAATTCTATATTTAAATCATAATTAAAAAACTGACATAAATTTGGTATAAAAAATAAATTTTATATTTTATTTATAGGCAAAATATAGTTAAAAATAAAAAGCATAGTAATGTATCAATTTTAAAAATTTAATGACATATTTCTTTTCTCCGGGTTCAGGTTAGGTTCGAATCCCTGATTCATTTAAATATATTATAATTCAATTATAATTTATATTCATGAATCTATTTAGTATATAAAATATTTTGTTGATAAATCACTTATTTATATATAACATTAATATATCTACATATATAAGTAACAAATATATTATAATTTAGTTATAGTTTATATTCATGAATCTAATATGTATATAAATTTTTTTTATTGATAAATCACTTATTTATATAATAACATTAATCTATCTATATAATAAGTAATAAATATATTTTGATATTTGAAATAAATTTTTTTTAAATTAAGACGCAATTTTATCGAATCGGAAAATTATATATTATTAGCCCATAACCGATATTTTAAAAAGATGAAATATTGGCCCGATCCGATAAAAAATATCGGTACATCCTTACAGAAAACATAAAAAATATATCTAATTGAGGTGTGCCAATATCTTTTTTTGATCAAATTCAATTTTTCTCTCATAACTAATATCAACTGATAACTAATATCAGTCAATCTGATATCAGTATCACCTTGAAGTTGCGGGGCTTCAATTACCTGTAGTATAGTAGAAGACACCTCGTCAATCAGTCCATGGGATCGGGTATGGGTCATAATAATATTAAAGGACAAAAACTTTATTAAAATTTTATTAAGTAAAACAAATTAATTTATTTTAAAAATTTATAAACCAAATAAACCAAAAAATATATGATGATCATAAACATAAAAATTAATCCCTTTTATAGGGAAAATAAATGCAATTAAAAATTAAAATTAAATTAGCGCAAAGTAAAAAAAAAAGGAACGTTTTTGTGAAAGGAAGTTGTGTTAATTTTATCTTACATAATTGGGGATAAAACTAACCCCCCCCCCCATACTTTTCGAAACTCAAGTTATACCTCCGGATTCAGGGCGATCTCTGGGAAAATATCTAATTTTATAATTAATGAACACCTTACTAAGGAATCCAAAAGTATGAAAAACCCCTTATTAAAAGAAAACACAAAAAACCATGTTTTATTTTTAATGTTATTAAATCAAACAAAATAGGACAAAAAAAACTATTTCATTTTTATGTTTTTTAGGCTAAATACCAAAAAAATAGAACTAGTTTAAAATAAAATACGGACAACATATTTAACAATGATATATAGCATTTTGCTACATATAATATTTCAAACTTGTAAATTATCATTTTAAACTTATTTTAGAGAATGTTATTAAATGTTTTTTATAATAAATCATATGATATTTATTATTATTGATTATAATCATCAAGAATATATAAAATATTAGATAATTAGGCCTGTAGCCAGGTGTTTCTGTGGGGGGGGGCAACTGTATATTTGGGAGGGCCAATATTCTTTTGAAATGAAACAACTAGTTAGGCACTCACAAAATTTTCGCTATTTTTATTGAAAATTTGTAAAAATATATATACATAACTCTAATATAATACAACCATTTTGGTTTTTTAATTTTAACATGAATAAATTAAAAGATAAATTTTTGATTATTTTTTTTTATAAACCCAATTTTTTTCATTTATCTTTCATTGACTCTCTAAACAATTGGAAATAGTGATCTGCATCGGGCCTAAAGCCCGGCCCGAAATTTTTTTCGAAAAAATTTACCGGCCCGGACCAGCCCGAGTTCATTTAAATAAAGAAATTAATTTTTATAATTACTTAAAATAAACCCTATATGTTATATGGCGTCTAGTTTATATAAATAAATTTTTATTTTAAATAAAAAAATTCAACATAAAATTGATAAATTTAGATATATTTTAAAAAGTTTCTAAGACCCAACCTGGCCCGAATTTTCTTAAAAAATATTAGGCCTGACCCAGCCCGAACCCGATTGTTTATTAAAAAAATAGGACCGGGTTAGGGCCGGGCCAACTTTTGCAGATCTCATATTGGAAATAAAATTTCAAAAATGAAAATATTGAATAACTTACGTTATATTTAAATATTATCGGTGAAAATAAATCGTTATAATATAAGGTTCCTGCCTAAGTGGCCAGGTGCCTGGGGGTGGTTTAGTTAAACTCCACTAGGGAAATTAGTATTTTAAAAGAATATTCGCCCTCTTCATAGTAAAATATTCATCCTCTGTATAAAAGTCTTTGTCCTCTTTAAATTTTTTATATATCATTTTAATATTCGATATGTATTCTATAATTAATATTAAGACATAAATAAAAAAGTTTATTAACGACTATTATTAATAAAAGTCTTATCTGATTTATAGTCCTGAGAGCAATCATTTTTTAATGTCTTTTATCACGTTATTTGCCATTTTTAATATCTTAAGCTTCACTAGTAAAGTAGGTATTTTGAAAAAGCATTCATCCTCTTCATGTTAAAATGTTCGTCATCTTTCAATTTTTAAAAAAATATTATATTAATATTGGTCTAATTAACGTTTAGGTATCATTGCGTGATAAGCAGGAAGTAGTTTGCAATATTTATAATTCATCTTAAATGTTCAATTAATAAAATCTCGATAACATTGATTGACTTACCATATTCACTAAGTGTTTGAAGAATCATCACGAGGACTGACGAATTTACCATCATTAGTGTCTTTATATTGAGTAATAAAAAAGGCGGATATTGTTTGTTGTTTTCATTTAATGGTTAATGAGTGAATGGATAATATATATATAAGTATTTTCTTATTTATCCAATTAATTTGACTAAATAAAATTTTATTAGTTTTTTTTATTTAAATTTAATTGTTTAAAAACTAATATATTTTTTTAATTGGGTGCCCGGTAAATTTTTAAGGACCATTTATGGAGGCCAAAAATTTTATCGAGGGGTCAGGATTAGGGGTCGAAATTGTCTTGGGAGGCAAGGTGGCTACAGGCCTGTAGATAATATAAACAGAATCGAATTAAGAATGACAAAGATAATAAAAATTTCAAATTATTTATTAATATTTGAATGATTAATTATTAAAATTGAGATATCTAAGATTTCTTTTAAGAAATAGAAGCTAAAATATAGTTTAGTTAATTTTCATTATATAAGATCAGATTGGTAAATTTAAAATTATCTGCCAATAATTGATTAAAAAATTGATTGGGCCGGTCTGATATTAAAATATCGGTTTATCCTTAAAATTTAACACATTTTATAAAGCCAGCATAATTTAATTCATTTAGACCCTTCTGAATATAATATTTTGATTGACGGTGTAACTGATCAATGTACAAAAGGAGAAAATTTAAATTTCGATTTTGCAGGATTTTACTTATCTGACAGAGTAATGTAATTAATTATATATAAAGGTAGCATTGTTTTTTCATTAGATTTACACATTTCCTAAATTAAAAGGCCCAAGTGGAGTGCACATAGAGCTGAGAGATAAAATTATGAACAATTTAATTATGAATACTATAACGGATAATGAAGGAATGTAGGGCATTTTTTTCATTCAAAAAATATTTTTAATGCTTCTAATTATAAAGGTATCACTTTTCAAAGCCAATACTACCTGGAAATTATAAAATTAATGCATTGCATGATCATTGGCAGTTTATTCAATCCCAAATATTGATTAATTTGACAAAAGATGGGAATATTGAAAAATTAATTGGCGAAGATATATTAGTAACTGGATACTTGATAAAAGTAATATTTTTTAAAATTAGTTTTATATTGTTATAATAAATATTAAGGTTATTTTCATGAGTAACTAATTAGAGGGTATTATACCTGTAAGTATATACAGGATACAATTTTTTCTTTTTAATCTACTCGACCTGTTCTAATACTGGTATCGGACCTTATGAAAATTTTTTACAGTTAGGTATTTTTTCACAGGCTTTTTTCCTGGGATTTTAATACAACATATAAATATGATTATAAGATTTATAATAATATTAAAAATTTGTTGTTCATCAATCGCCGACGTCTTTTTAGTCAGCGATCATCGGTTGATCTTAATACCCGCAACCTTTGATGTTGCGCGCAGAAGTCTACTTACAACTTATTTATTGAGTTTTTATCATTTTTTTGTGATATTTATTAGTCAGCGATCATCGGTTAATCTAAATACCCGCAACCGTTGATGTTGCGCGCAGAAATCTACTTAAAACTTATTTATTGAGTTTTTATCATTTTTTATTTATTTTTTTTAAAAAAAACTGATTTATCTAGGCCAAAATTCTTCTAATTAATGGGCCAGGATTAGATCCCAATCAACCGACTAAACAAAATGGTTTTCGAGTAAATTTTTATCTTTTCACGATCGATAATCAAGTCACCTGTGAACGCGTCAAATGTCAGCAGGATTATGGCTATGAAGTTAATCAAGAAGATAGCGATACCATAATAACCGATAGCCAAAATATTGCTAAAAATATTATATCCAAGACTCTCTATCCAAATAACACAAAGGTGAGGCAAGATAACTTTAAACTTTGTAAACAATGCCATTCTGACACATTAACGGGACAAGTTGGTTATTCTAATGTAATTCCTGGTCGATATAGAATGGTATGATATATAATATATTATACTTATTAATTTTTAGATTAAATTTTAACGATCTAGATAGATTATATTAAATATAAATGATTCTAAGTAATACATCTAGATCCATGTTAAGACTTTGAGCCGCCCAGAGGCGAAAATCAATTCGACGGCCCTTTTAAACCTTCCAATTTACTTAAGCTTTACAAAAATTATTAAATAACAGACTAGATTCATCATTTTTAAAATAACATTCGCGAATAAGCAGTTTATATTAAAGTAAAATATTTAAAAAATTGTAATATTAAAGCTAAGAAATTTTTTTTTGTTAAAATAAATGACTGAATTAGGTAATATTAAATAATTTATGTAATATTATTAAATACTTTTAAAAAAATTACTATTCACTTTAAATACATAAGAAAAATTTGACTGCCCCGAAAATAGTCTGATTTTGGCTGCCAGGGCCACTGCCCCCACTTCTCGATGCATGGGGTTGAATGAGCCAATTTTTAACAGTCGGCATCGACCGATATTTTTAAATGAACTTATCCGATATATCAAAACAGCTGATAGAAAAAATATTTTGGATCATAAAAAAATGATAAATATTAATACATTCATAATATATTTAATCGGATAAAAAAGATTTGTTAAAACTAGTAACTATACACATTGTTTCTCTCTTCCAATATTAGTATACTCCTTTTTAGTTTGGAGTTCTCGGCAAAGATCGAGAGTTGTCACTTTTATTTAAGTTGGACAGACATTTTTTTTAAAAAAAATAACATAACAAATTATAAACTTAAGAAAAATTAAAATTATTTTTTAAAATTTTTAATCATGATGGTTAAATTTAAATATTTACTACTGCCCCCTTTTTTTAGTTTCTCTCTCTTCTTAAATTAAAATTAAAATATACTTTGTTTAAATCCACTCCACTTTTGCATTGAAAAATTACATATTTTTCGCGAAAAATATATTTTTTTAAAATACATTTAATATTATTTTTCTTTTATCAATAATTTTAATTCACAAATAAAAATGTTTAAATATTTTTAATAATAATCGTGAATATTTATCGCGTCGCCTAATTTTTATATCGGGGGCTGCGTGATTAACTCCAACCCTTTTTTAAGTGGCGACCGTCTGCGATGGATTTGTGCTGTGACGCACGGTTGAGGTATATAGAAACTGCTTCTGATAAGTTTAAAAACAAATTGTTTTATATAATAGTTATTTTAAACTTACTAAAAAAAAATAAATTTTTAATTTATACATTTTTTTTTAACTTTTATGATTTGCATATCTCCATTTTTTCCCGAGTAACATAAAACAAAAAGCTCATGAAAATATTTTTCTCCGGAGCCCAGTCGCTCGCCTGACAGAATAGGAGAACTAAATTTTGATGGACAATTTTTTGAGAAAATATAATATTACCAAAGATTTTTAATTTTTTAAGAATGATGAATTACCTTTTTTTTCAATTTTAAGATACCCTATTATCGAAACAAAGACGTAAAGTTTGAAGTCTTTCCAAATTATCTAGATTTCGAAGTGACGAATTTTGACATGGATTTTAGTGCAACCCCGTTCGATATTTTGGGATTCTCAATTGCGGGAAATGTTTTTAACAATCACGTAAATAGTTTTTGATCGAAAAAATAACCAACCTTAATTATCGAGTTATTCCAGTTCAAATAAGCAAAAAAATAAGATTTTCGGCATACCCACTCAATTTTGATAAAAATTTATTTGAAGATTATATTATATATTGCTCTTAGACAAGTATTTAGATGTGTTGTGTAATAAAGGATGCGCGGTTAGAGATGTTTCACCTCTAATTCTTATTGCCCCTTCATTTTGTCATTTTTTTTGCCTCTCTTAAGCGTTGCCTAAATTATGTATGTTTTCTAGGGACGGCCTGAGTTTATGCTGTGCAGTGGCATAGACAAGAATGGGGGATTTGGGATTAAACCCTCCTCCTTAACCTCCAAATTTTTTTCCTTCACAATTATAGATTTAATGATATTACTTATATTGTTAAATATCTACCAAATATACTGAAAAGAACAAGCAACATAAGATCACCGAATCATAAAATTCAAAAATATTTTGAATTAGGGAAAAATTAATGTATTTAGACTAATTGACTTTTTAAACGTAATTTTAAATTTCGATATTTAAAATTCAGCTGAAGGCGTGCCGTAGTTTCAATATAACTATTTTTTATAATAGAAAAACTGACTGATGAATTAGTAGGTATTACATATTGTTGACGAAACTATCGGCGGCCGGCGCGATTTTCAAAAATTTTATCAAAGGCCGGCGGCGCGCCGATTTTTAGCCGCCGTCAACAAAAGCGGCGTAAATCGGCGCAGTTATAAATTTTTATAGAATTTTTTTAAAAAAATAAAATATACACTACACTACACATATCTTGGCATATTTTTTTAATTATGAGAAAACTCATTATACATCCAAAAAAGATTTTGCAATTTTACAATTGTCATGTATAAAAATTATTTTATTTAAATTTTCCGGGCATAATGATGACCTCCTCGAATTCAACGTCAATCCAGCGGTAGAGAAAACTCTTTCACTGGGTGTACTAGTCGCCGGAATACATAGAATTTTTTTTGCCAGCCTGGAAAGATTGGGAAGTTCACTCTTCTTTTCTCTCCAAAAATTTAAAACACCCATTTCTTGTGAATGGTAACTTTGAATGATTGAATTTTATAATGACATCAATATAATTATAATTTTAAAATTGTAGAAGGATATGGTAGAGTGAATTTTATGATGACATCAATATAATTATAATTTTAAAATTGTAGAAGGATATGATGGTGGAGTGAATTTTATAATAACATCAATATAATTATAATTTTAAAATTGTAGAAGAATATGGTGGAGCTATATAACATTCATAAAATAAATACAGAAAATTTAATGAGTGCGTGAAATATAATTTAAATATATTGCTATTTAATAACTATTTTAATTGATTAATTCCTATTATATAATAAAAACATGTAGAATATAAAAATTCATTAAAATCCTGATTGGCATTAATAAAATTACAACAGTGATATTGACCAATTATTAGAATAAAAAGGTATAAAATATGGAAAAAAATTCTGCGCCGGCCGTACTTTGCGATATGAAAATCGGCGGCGTTTTCGGCATACCCAAAAAAGCCGGCGGCCGGCCAACGGCCGGCCGGCGCACAGGTCTACATATTGTTCATTGCTTCTATAATTTTCCTTCTAACATGATGTCAATATTGGCTATTTTTATTTTGCCAATAATATTTTTCTTTGGACTATCTACCAAACGGGTTTAAATACTAAAAAATTTCTACGCGCTAATTAACATAAATAAAGGGATAAAGCTTCCATATCTGTGGACGACTTTACGCCTAAGACATGGTATCATAGTTTGCATTTGCTTCGTAATTCTGTTACTTCTTTATGTCTGGCGAAATTGATTAAAGAATTACTAAGTAAGACTCTTAATATTAACGCAAAGCAGATATTTATAATTTTTATATTCTACATTCTGGCATGATGCTAATTTTGACAATTTTTTTATTTTTTACCAATAATTCTTTTCCCTTTAAACCATCTACTAAGCAGAATAGACAATAAAATGTTATAATAAAACCCTACTTAATGGTTTGGTCTTAAAGCATGTCCTTGTAGTATTGATTTTGTTTATAACTTCGTTTTTTTGTGGTTCTCATAGATTGAGAAATTAAAAGTACTAGTCGGGCACTAAATATTAGCGCACGCCAGCTATTTATATTTGTTTATATTTTCTATTCAAGCATAATACCAGTATTTTTTTGTTCTACTCTCTCAAGTCGTGAACTCAAGTTCATAAAATAATTTATAATTGAGCTTTAAGCATTGATAAAATTTTCAGAATAACGCCATCGCTTTTTAATTGTAAAGTTGGCCAAAATTTTGAATAATGCTAACTATACTGGTTAAAATCAGACACTAATAAAGCACAAAACATTGGCATATTTTAGAATTAGTACTTCCAATTGTTCAGTCAACTTTAACGGAGAGATGTAACCACAGAAAAATAAATAAAATATAATATTTTTTATAGGAAGGATTCTGCCAAAGGCCGGTAAAAATAGTGTTTGGTGTAGAGGTCTGCAATGGGCGGGTTTTAGCCAAAAGCCCACCCGTTCAATATTTTTAAAAAATTAACCGCCTGCTCTTTAGTCTAAAAATTTTTACCCGCTCGCCAGCTTATTATTTATAAAAAATTTGAACACATGCCGCTCATATAAAATTTAAATAAGCTCATTCTTTCAATTTTTTTTAGGTTCTAATAAAATAAATGATGCTAATTCCTCGTTAAGAACTACTGGTTTCTGGAATTGCCAATATTTTTATTGCTGATCTTGATAACTTTGGTAAATCTTTTTCTTGTCGTTCCATCAAAGTAGAGTAGGATATCCATTTGAAGTATATTCTCTACTCAAGTGAGATATTTAAATAAAAAGTGAAACTATTAATAATAATAAAACAAATTAATTAAAATTAAGTGCCCTAAAATCTTACTAAATTATACAAAAATTCGTTACTTTAAGGTTTAAACATATTGTTATGTCATTAGGCAATGCTCTTCTCTAAGCCGCATCTTCCCAAACTTGTTGTTTAATTTTGACTTGGATGCTATCTATTTCAAACATTGCATTTATAATTTAATAAACTTTAATTGAATTCTCTTTGCTTTTGGGGGAAACGGGTAAAATCAGATTTTCATCCACGTTAATGTTATATTCTTTATGCAAATCAAATCAAACGTGTTTTCGATTTTTTTTATCTAATTTTTTTTTATCTAATTTTTTTCCGACGAAAACATCCTCATTTATGGATACCTTGGTATTAAATATGTTGAAATTTCAAGGAGCATATTTTTTTAAATTTTTACTTCTATAATAAATAAAAGTTGTATATTTTTTAACCCGCACTCCCGCCTACTCATAATTTAAATATTTTTCTTAACTCGCCAGTCCGTTCTTTAAAAAAATGTAACCCGCTTACCCGCCAACTCACTTAAAAAAGTGGAAGTGGGTGGACTAAAACCCACAAAATGCAGACCTCTAGTTTGGGGATGATGCTTCCCCCTCCCTGAATTCAAACTCCCTTCAATGGAGGCTACTCCACTGATGCTGAGGCTAGAAAATAAATGAAATATTAGCACGTTAACAATATAATATACTTAAAGCGAATTATTCAATATTAGATTTTATTCGATTCATGTTATCCGAATACAAATAACAAAATTACTCGAATCAAAAATTCAAGGAAATATATTGTCTGCCGAATAATTAATTATTCGATCGAATTATTTAAAATTATTTCTAAGTATAAAAATATTCGAAATTATTTGTAATATATTCGAAATTATTCATAAATATTATAATCATTTTTAATTATTTAATATTTCCTTTTGGAACTTTTTCTTTTTTCACATCCATAAATAACTTTTAGAAATTTTAATAATACATTTTTGAAAATATTTTTAAAAACCATAATTTCAGAATCGAATCGAATATTTTACAAAATAAATCAAATAATATTATTCGATTCGTATTAATGCTAATAATATAATTATTCGATTTGAAAATTCTAATCAAATACGAATAATGCAAATATTCAATTTGATTTGTATTTTTGTAAAGTATACAATGTATGAATCATGTATATAATAGAAAAATTTTATTTAAAAAAATATTTTTTTTATCACCCATTATGGGCATGATATTAAATGAAAAAATACATTTTATCGCATTATATTAATCATGGTTGCATCTATATATTATTTTATATTATATTTTCTTTGTCAATAACAATAGAAAAATATTTGAAAAAATTGAATGTTGATTTTCCCGTAATTATCAATCATTTACATTGTAATTATATCAAATTTTATATTCAAAATGATTTACTTCGAAAGGGGGGAATAGCTTTTTGAACTAACCCCTATTATCTAAGGTAATGTAAAAGCTAGCTAGTTAAAATTTTATTTTTTTTCTAACAAATAACAATAACATATTTTTCATACAAATTTTTATCGAAATTTAAATATAAGGGTTGAGAGTTAGTGATTAGCGCTATCCTTTGGCAGAAGAAAAATTTAAAAAAATTTGTTACCTGGTTAAAAAATTATGATTTTGATTCTATTTCAATTTCAATATAAGGGTATATGATTATTTATCATAATTTAGATTGAATATTTTATCAATATTTACGAATTTAAATAAATTATACGTATTAGACTGCCCCCGTTGCCAAAAACGGCTTGCCAAACGTTAAATTGGAGTTATTCGGTCTGAAAAATTTTGAAGTCATTACCGATACCTTGGGTAAATATGTGATTGATGGTGTTAAAAGCGGTCATTATCAGTTAAAACTTACCAAGGATCATTATTATTTTCCCTCGGATTTAAAGATATATGTTTCTCCTAACAATGCTATACTCCAAGATATATACCCGGAAAGGTAAAAAATAAATGGGGGGGGGGGTGTTTAACATCATTTAAAAAAAATTCTATAATTCAGGGAAGGTATCTTAAAAGATTTTATCTTAAAATCATAACTATTATTTGTTCCATTTTGTTAGTTCTAATATATATTTGAATATATCTAGTCTGCCAAAATAAGATTTATTAAGCTAATTTTTTATTATATTGCTTTAATGTTTTAGTTTATTTTACATATGTCGCATTGGGATATGGAATTCATGTAGATTCGGAATCTCGCTTTTAAATCGTATATTGAGAGCGATTTTTAGATCTGAACCATTGGATTTAATTGGAAGTTTATTCCAGCTTTGGAGGGTACACGACACGTACTGAATTTCAAACAATTTATATTGTAAAATTTTGTGTATTTTTTTCCTCATTCATTTATAGGAAAAATGTATAGGAAAATTACTATAAAATTGGATTAATTCAAAAGTTCACGACAAAATTATTCGAAATTCACGATGTGGATACTCTACATATGTTGGAATAAATTATCGTTCAAATCTGAAGGTCATATTAAAAAATCGCCCTCAATAAATGAACTCTCCATCAATCCCATTTCTCAATACGACACATAATGAATTGATAGTAAAAATAATAAGATTTCTATATTTTTTACTTTAAAGTTATGACGTATGTGGGCGTTTCGATAAAGAACTTATGGATGCTACCGAAAAATTGCCCCCCTTTGAAAGGATAAAAATTTTATTTTCCGAACAAAATAATAAGAATGTCAAAGAGGAAATTAATCCCAGGGCTCAGGGTACCTTTTGTGTTCCACTTAAACCCGGAACATATGATATTGAAGTGAGTGCTCTATTATATTTAAAAAAATTGAGTTGCTATATAATCAAATCATATATTCCATGATATTGATATATCATTGGTTGAGAGATTGAAGGTTGATAAATATTTTTATATGATATGGCAAATTTTTAAAAAACTTATCCGTCTATAAAATAAATAAACTATAGTTGATCCTAAAATGATAAGATCATTACACCGATGTTTATATTATGATAAGGACATTGGCGTACGCATCTAGGGGGGGCAGGGAAACAACCCCCCCCCCCCCCCCCCCCCAAAGCTAAAAAATGCAGATGCCGGATATATTTTCAAAAATATTTTTGTTTAGAGTGTTGTGCAGATTTAATTTAAAACATTTCTATATTTTTTAATTCGTTTGTAAATAAAAATTTTAACTTGTAAAAATTGATAGGAATATATAAATATGTTATTTTAACAACTTTTTACAAGTCAAATAATTTTATTTTCAAATAAATTAATAAATATGGAAATGTTTTGAATTAAATTTACATAGTACTATATTAATTAATATTTATTCCTATCTAATATTAAATATATATTTAATTACATTTATTATCACATTCATCACTAAGTTTATCAATTAATTTCGATTTCAAGTTTTCCGGCGTAATATTATCTTATTATTTTCAAATTTTTATTGGCGTATCTAGTCAAATAATAATTATTCTGAAATTGTCCAACAGGGAGAAAGAAATTGCAACCTTGTCCTACGAGATAGAGTCTCCGCCATCAAGCAGTAACAGCTTTTATGGAGTTAGAAGAGCCGATTATTTGCTATTACTGACATATCACAATGGCCTGAAAGAAATTTTTCCTTAGAAACAAGAAAATTATTGGATTAATGCATATTCCAATTTTTTTTTCTCATTAATGTACAACTATTTTATGTATTACTTTTCAAAAACATGATGACTTGATTAAGAAGATGAGAATAGCGAAGAGCATTTTATTAAAATTCAAGAAAATTAGGGCTAATATTTATGAAGAATTTCATATTTTATATGTTATTGTTAAGTCAAAAGCAGAGCTATACGTGTTTAATATTTGTCTCACTCGACTTGCAGCAAGGCAAGCTCATAGTTAAAACATTAATATAGGATCAGTAGAAGAGTATATCTTAGATACAAATACATTTATAAACCAAATAAATGAATTTTAATTCATTATGCAGCACTTACCAATCTGCAAATATTATTTCCATAAAAGTCTTCCCAACCTTTTTCAGATGGTGATAGAAAAAAAAATTGTTAGATTTTTATCAGATGTTAAAGTATCTTATGATGCCTTATTAGCTGAATAACTATGTTTATAAGATTAACTATGGTTGATACAGTCCCAAAAAATGCTATGGATGCTCTGCATTATTTCAAACACATTTTAGATTATATTCCCAATGTATTAAAAGGGTTTATATATATATTAGCAACTCTTCCCAATAGTAAACTAATGAGAGAACATTCTCTTTTTTAAGAAGAATAACAGAGCACTGCAGAGGTACCATTTGCAGGGAACTACCCGGATTTTTTTAAAGATTTTTACGGCTAAGCTCAATTTTCAGGCCCGGCCCGGCCTTTTTTAGAATAAAATTTTCAGGCCCGACCCGGATTTTTTAAAAATAAATTATATTTATTTTTGATTTTTATAGCTAATAATAACGATTTCAAATATAGGCTGTTTTAAAATATACTGTTCGACCCGGAAATTTTTTAAAAAAAATTTTGCCTAGATGTTTTCTATAAAAAATTCAGGCTCAGCCCAGGTGTTTATTTTTAAAAATTCCGGGCCCGATCATACTGTCCAGCCCGAGGGCCGGGCCTGCAGGTCTCTGAAAAACATACCAAGAAGTACAACTTTTGAAAGTAGATTGAAAGGTTTGGATCTTTTGAATATTCATAGGCATTTGACAACAAGCAAGGATGAGATAATTGAAAAATTAGCTCAATCCCAACGAAGATTGGATTTTACATTGTAAATATATAACATACAAAATACAATTATTCCCTAAGCTTTTTGTGTATTAATTTATATTTCTAACATTTAAATTTTTTATACTTTATATATAAATTTTAAAGCTCAAAAAATTCAAATGTCTATTTTGGGTCATTTAAGTGATTCTTTACATATAATTTTTTTATAATTCACATTAATTTAAAATTGTGTATTAGAAATAGTTATTAGTCCTAATAAATTTATGCTTGATATTTTTTAAAAAAATTATATTTCTTAAAAAATTTATTATCCCCCCCCCCCCAGACCAAATTCCTGCATACGCGCCTGGATAAGGATAATGATTTATGGATTATTAAGTCAATAATGAGGATTAAATATGTTTTAGTATTTTAGCGCAAACCCTTGTCGAATGCCAAAAAACCTTCTCCATTTAATTTAATTACTAATGTTTCTAAGCAAGTCCAAATAGTCACCGTGTCCCTATTAGAGTCCTTAAATTTAGTGGGGCCCATGTAAATTTTTTAGTAGCGATTTATTCCTCTTACAATTTAAAAATAAATTAAATATATATTGCTTAAATTTTCGAAATTATTTGCCATTGATTATCGAAATTTTAGCCCAATAATTCTTAGGTTAACGATAAGAAAGTATTTTAAGTGCCAAGGTAAAAATATCAATCTACCACTTAAAAAAGAGACAACCATCTTAAAATAGTTTCCCAAATTAAATATATTATAAAACGACGCTTCAATAACCTTTTGTATATCAGTAAAATCTCCGTATGATGAACTTGCTCAGAAGTATTATATGGATTAGGATGTTTAATATGTACTCTACCTCTTTTTAAAAAAACATAAAGTTAAATGACAGTGGGACACATAAATTTAGTTCACTCTAAGACTTGCAATTATTATAACCATTTTTTAGAAACATGGTGTTCATTTTTCAAACTCATATTGGCCCTATTTAAATTCGAACTTATTGCTCTTTCTGTCTTACTTACCGAAAAATGGGCACCCAAGCGATTAAAAAATGTATAACTTTGTTTAAAATTACTAGTATTACTATTTAAAAATCAGATATCCTTACCTAACGAAGAAGCTTTTTCGGGTATTAAATATGCAGCCAATCCACCTTACATTCGTGTTAAAAATAATCCGATTCTGGGATTAGTTTTTAAACGTTATTATGTCTCTATACAAGGACGAATTCATTGCATAGGTAACAAAATAACCTATATTTAATTTTTTTTATTGTTTACCATTTGCCTCTAAAAATTATCATTTGATAGAGTAAAAAAATATTTTTGTAACTATCGAAATACTTAGTAAGGCGAGGTCTATCAGCACCCCTGAGATTTTAAAATTGTTGTTTTATGAATAAAAAGATATGCAAGTATTTTAGAATCTTTCTTTTCGAGGGTAATTACCTGTTAATAATAACGATAAATGATTTTAATCAAAAAATATAATAAATTTATTATTTTCATATTTACTATTATAATTAGACGATTGTGCTTTCCAAAATCTTACTCTTCATTTATATCGCATTACTTCCGGGCATGATCATCAAGAGAATCTTCTAAGATCTACTCAACCCACTAATATGAATAATATTGACGAAAACATAATAACTAGATTTTCATTTGATTCGCTCCCACCAGGTCCGACATACAATGTTTGCGTGGAAGAATTCAATCATGACGTCCTATGCTGGTTAGATAATAAGTATTGCAAGGAATTAAGCTACCATCAGACCTATGGGTACCCACCAATAGATTTATATCAGGTACCTTATAAAAACACATCAAATAAATGAATCTTATGTTAAATTAATAATCTATAAAAAGTGGCACAAAGTTTTGTGTTAATGACTATTTTATCAGTCTTATTATTTACAGCTTTTGGTTCATCAATTGTCCGTGTTTTTCGAGCGTTGTTGTTTATAGCTATTAGTCCTGTTTTTTTATAAATATAGGGTTAGATGATTTAATCTCGCCTATTATTTATAATAGTGATCTGCAATAGGCTCGGGTTTAGCCCGACCGCTCATTCAACACGGGCGGGTTAAAAACATTTTTTAAATGGGTAAATATTGAAAATATTATTTGGGACGATATTTTTTCAAAAACCAAGGATGGGTGGTTAAATTTTTTTAAAATAATTCGGTCAAGTATTTTTCATAAGCCATGGCAGACGGGTTAAAAATTTAGATAATGATCGGGCGAGCTTGTGGGTTAAACACATGCCCTTTGTAGACCTCTATTATATAGCTTGAATATAACCTTTAGGTGGTAACATTTATGATTGATGACCATGGGGGATTGTAGGTCAAAAGTATTTGTCATGGAATATAAACATTTTATACACAGATATACAATAAATCCAAATCCATTCTAATTTCATTTTAATGATTTCAAGCTTATTGAATTTATACCACATCCCTCTTGCAGTGATTCACTTGGTCTGTTGAGTTAAACATTAATAAAATTTTAAAGTAACCCCAATTTATTTGTTTAATAAAATGTATTAGATTGGACGCAAAATTAGGATCAAACCGAGGTTCGATGATAACAAACTCGACGACAAAAGAAAATTCGCCACGTTTCCTGTACGTATTTTTGGCCAGCAAAATGCCACGAAGGTCAATGAAGATACTCGAATTAAATGCGTAAACGTTTTTGGTTATGAGAAGAAAGATGGAGAAGCGGATGAAAGTACTATGGACATAACATGTGAACTTGAGGCAAAAGAACAAAGTCTTTGTTTGCCTGTTAAAGGTTGAAAATAGCTTTATTTATTAACAGTAGAAATACTTGCAAATCTCACTTAAAGACTTGTCCTGGATTTATATATAAAAATTCATTTTCTAACCCTGATTACATATTGTATGAGCCCTGGGTTTCAAAAAAAGTGATTTTTAATTTTTTGTTTCTATTAAATTTGAATATTGATACAAAATATACGTACTTAATCAATTTTTGCTAAATATATATATAATATTTTATTAACAATTATTTCATAGAAAAATTACACATCCAACCTCAAACTTGTACCTTATTTTCTTTCACTACCAATGAGTTACAAAAGTCATATGCAATCGATACTTCCAATCTCAATGATTTGGCAATTGACACACCAGCTTTGCACAAAGCTTATACCGGCCCTATATTAATAGAATTTGAACCCGTTCGGTATAAATTATCGGTGGGTATCAATATATTAACGAATTATCGGATGAGAAAAGGTTATAAGATTGCTCGTATATGCTTGATCCCTCTTATTACACCTGCCAATGGGAATGGTCAAGATCCTTTTTTTTGTGAAGATGTAATCTACAAATCGGACATCGTAATTGAAGTTCCAAATAAACCTAACAGTTTAGTCAAATAAATATTTTTAAAAAATTAATAATTCAAGATGGATAAATTAACTAACAATTTTTGTTCTTGTGACTACTATTGTAAACAAAAATAATTTAAAAAAACATAGATATTTATGATATAATTTTATTGTTGTTTTATTATTACTTATTATTAATATAAAGGAATGATACACAAAACTTTCAACGTTGATATTATCAAACACCCTAAACTAGAGGTAACTATCCAGTCCGAAGAATATTTATTTCGCCAATTATCTTACTCATTCACATTTAACGTCGAAGAAATGGAAAAAGACTGCAAAAGTTTTTTTTTAATTTAAAAAAATGTTGAATGTTCCAATATCTTAAAAGTTTTTTTAAAATGCCTCTGCTCTACTCAAAATAAATTTAGGAAATAACATTCTTCCTAAATTAGTTTATTTCAGTGGTGTTTCTAGTTATTATGATTTAGGCAAGGAATTTTTTATTTGCATGTTCAAAAAAAGGGTTTTTCAAAAAATGAAAAGTGCTCAAATCATAAATATGCATGTAGAGTATGTTTTGCCCTTCCACAATTAAGTCACTGGTTTATTGATTTAAGGAAAATTAAAAACCTTACATAAAAATATAGATAAAATTGTTTTCGAGATGTTACCCTCGCTCTTCATTGGTGGCAAAATTTACCCTTCTACGACAGGCATTAAAATTGATTTGATATCGGAAATAGACAAATCCATCCTTAATACTACTTATACGGATGATAACGGGTCTTACTTGCTCGGGCCTATAAGGTTTACTTAGAATATTATGACATATAAACTATATTACGGGGAAAAAACGGGAAATCATATTAAAATATATATCAAAGGTCAATATCGATTGTTTTTCATGTTTTATTTAAATATATAGATTATAAATATTATATTTATACAGATATGATTTAATTCCAATTAATTTGTGATTTTTTATATTGAAAATATATAGATTACAAACATTATATTTAAACAAATAATATTTAATTTCTACTAATTTGTTAGTTATCTTTGTTTTAATAAAAATGATTCCAGATCAGAGCCTGAAAATCTAGAATCCAGCAATTTGTCATTTGCAGAAATATTTTCCTATTAACTGGAGATCTTATAAAAACCGATTTTTGGAACTTATCATTTTTTAATCCTATTTCTAGATCGAATAAATTTTTCCAAAAGGAGCACCATATTCTTTCCGACGCTGCACTTGTCGTTGACACAGGAAAAATCCGTATGACTCGGGTCGATATGTATTTATTGCAACATACCTAATTAAATATTTTATAACATAATTTTAAAATTAAAATAAGAGTTAGATTATTGTTTACTAAAATATAAAAGTATTTAACCATTCCACCAAGTCAGTCGATCTGTAAATGATGTGTCTTGCCAAAGACTTGTCATATTAAAAAAATCTTCTTGCGATATTTGGATAGGTTTCCCATTACTCATGCAATTAAAATCTAGATATCTAGAAAATCGGTTTATGATATCTAACCCCGTTGCAACTTCATTTTCTCTTAAATTTAATCCACAAAATTTTAAGTCAAAATATATAAGCAGCAGAATGTATGTCCCAGCAATAAATTTTTTTAAAAATTATTTGCTCAATCTCTGGCAACAATAGATTTGATAGTGTTTTATAAATGTTAAATGTCTCCCTGATATGAATTAATGCTTAAGGGACGCCATTCCACTATCTCTATTTGTGTAAATATGACTTATATAATTATATAGTTGCATCAGATCATTTAAAAACCCTCAATATCGAAAAGAGTAAGTCTCTTATCTCGATCAGTAAATATATCAAGAATTGCCATTTCCTCTATAATATATTTATTTTTCAATATATCATCAAAACTGTTCCTGCCCAAAAAGTTGGGCTGGAACTTTAAGGAAACAATGTTAATTTTATTTCCTAGAATTTTTTCATCCTTTAATATCGATAAAAGAATATTGTTATATTTAACATATTGATGATACCTGAGCTTTATGTTTATAAAGATAAAACATCTGAAAACTTTAAATATGTTATATATAAATTGATTTGATGTTAAAACTGTAATTACACTCATTAAAACTAAAAATTTTCAACAAAAACTGAACAGATTGATTTAAAAACGGTGAAATCTATTATTATAAATATTCTCTACTAAAAATAACTTTTAAAATTTCTTATAATTATATAAATTTCATTTGTATTAATTATAATATAAATATTATCTCTAGACTAGGTATTTAATTTTAACAAGTGTCTTCATTTTGCAAATGAAGATTAGAAACTGGGGTTAGTCGAACCGATTTTTACAAAATTGGCTATAGCTCCTGGTTTTTTAGATAATATAAAAAATAATATATGATTAAAAACAAAACACAATTATAATTTATGATATGAACCACGAGGATAAAATGATTCTATAAAATATTATAAAAATTGTATTTATTTTATTATAAGACCATTTTCAAAATTGTGAAATATTGGAAATAAAATATTTTAAAAATCATGCTGATTAAAGCAAAAAACATAAAAATTGCAAAATATTTAAAATTTGTCCTTCTCTATTCCGAACGAATTTTCTTTTTTATTTATCCTGAAAAGAAAATATTTGTCGGCTAGGCTCGAATGAATTTAAAAATAGATTAGAAATAATAATTTTTTGTTTCTATTAGGGATGTAACAAATTTTCCCTATAGTTTCTCCAATTTTTATTATATGTTTCAAATAATAACGATTTTTATCATATTTTACTAAAATATTTTTTTTTCGTGGTTTATAAATCATAATTGTTTGGTTTTTGTATGTATACGTTCATTCTTAATCAGATAATATAAAAATATCTCAACTCAAGTAATATTCATCTGAAGGAAATTTTTTTTGCAGAAAAATATTTAAAGCTAAAACATGTAATAACTGAGGTAATAGAGAGATATGGGATAATATTTACTCAGTAAAAATCTGTTAAATAATGAATATGCAAGAATAAAACATGAAAAAAATCAATATTGACTGGTAAATAAATACAGAGCTATCGTACAGTATATACCTCAGCAAAATCTCTTCAAATTTATATTGAGGAAATGGAAAAATAAAAAAATTTTTGTCTAGGACAATACAAAGAACCTTAAATAATAGTAAAGCAACCTCAACTGACAATTCATTAAAATTTAATACTAAGTGTACATTAGAGATCTGAAAAATTAGATTTGACTCGAAGCTCCTATATTTAAAAAAAATTTCTGTTCAGATTGGGGCGTAAAAAAAAATCAGGCCGGATCGAGCTAAATTTTTGAAATAAAATTGATATATTTTTTTATAATTTTCCAAGAAATACGCCAGCATTTTTTATTTGTTTGTAGAATGATCGAAAACTCAATTAGGTTTAATGTAAAAATATATTGAAAAAAAAAATTAATCTATACGTATAAATAAATTAGGGGTGGGCTTGGCGGACAAATAATTTTTATTCCGGGTCGGGCTTTTCGGGAAAATCACTCAAAATTTCTATTTTGCTTATTCAGCAAAACATCTGAAAGACGGATAATCAGAATAAAGAAATATTTTCTATTATGTTAGGATAAATGCGAGGAAGTAAAAAATAAATTGTTAAATAACAACTGATTTTTTTTAAAAATGGTATCATGCCAAGTAGTATCGATAAAAATTAAAGGTGCGGATAAGGGAGTTAAATAAATTATTTTTATCACAAATTGTATTTGATTTATTTCTCTAAATAATATACTACTTTTAGCGATGGGATAAACTACGAGATAATCCCTTCTAAAGACGGATTTAACTTCCTTAGTCGTTCAACTTTCACTCAAGATATTGATCCCAATGGCGTTTCACACTCCTTCAAAACAATCTATCGCGATTTTGATATTTCAAAAATATCCAAGCTAATTATTCAAGTAAATGTTAATTATTTTATTTTATTAATAATAAAACTTAAATAATTTTCTTAAGTAACTATAATTGTTGTTAAAATTTTTTTTATTTTTAGGGAATTTATTATTATATAAAATTAAAAAAATATAAATAATTACAATATAACCCTTTGTCGTTTTACAATGTCTGAGAAACGAACGAGGTTATACAGTATTTAAAATTATACAAAATATAAGATATTTATCAAAGAAGACCCTATTCAATCCAACGCCACACCTTTATCTAACGTTCTCATATCGCTTAGCGGTGTCAAAGATAGAAATTATAAAAGTTTTAACTCGACCGGTCAAAACGGAACATTAACCTTTATAGGGCTCGCCCCGGGTCAGTATTACATATTGCCCATTATGAAAGAATTTGATTTCGAACCCACATCTCAATTGATAACGTTGCAAGAAAAAGGCGAACCGCTTCACATTAGGATCTTAGCTATAAAAGTAATTTTTCTGGAGATAATTAAATGGGCGATTCTAGAGAAGTTAAACAAATTTCTATTTTCCTCGAGCGCTTATAATTTTTCCATTTCCTTTGAAAAATAGACGAATATTTTAATTTTTTAAAATACTTATATTTTTCGAACTCAAATTATATTTAGTTAGGCCATTGGCCAAACAAATAGTGTTAAAATTTTCTTATGCCTTAAAACTATCTAATATATGAATTTAAAAAAATTTGTCATATTATATCAAACAGTATAGAAAAAACAACATCATTTAATCTTATTATACCAAAATTCAGTCAGCTTTCAGTTGCAGGGGCATAGTCACTTCCTTAAACGGCCAACCCCTAACCACATTATCTACTGTGCCCCGGGCCTCTATATCCACCTCCCAACTTGCACATTCGACATACGATTCTGATATGCTGACAACTCCTGGAGCCAATAACGAATTACATATGGAGGCTATAGGAATAGAGCATAACGAAAATGACAATTTAAATTATAACAAAAGAAAATGCAGCTTGCTTAAGGAAGATGGAACGATATCTAAATCTAGTGGCCACTTTGAAGTTAAGGCTTTAGTTCCTGGCTGCACTTATATTTTAACACTCAACGTACTGAGTCAAGAAATTTTAAAGATTCATAGAGGTTGAATATATTTTTATATGTATAACAAGATCAATAATTTATTAATTTGGTTATATTATTTTCAATATTTTCATGTCATATAAAAGGTTTATGCGAATTTAGGTTGCCTTTCATTGATGATCTGGAGTTTTGGCAAATTGTTAAATCTACATCATTTATCATGTTTTTCTGAAATACCATATTTTGCCGCCATCAATCAGTATAGTGTAGAGCACTTTGAATTTCAGGCAATTTTGCAATGGAACTTATGTCTATATCATATTAAAAAATCAATATATAAAAGCAATATTGTCTGAAATTAACGGGGTGGTACTCTATACATGCCGGAATATTATTCTATTAAAATCAGGTCTTTCAAGAGAACGCTATATAAATGATTGAATTTTAACATTTTGCTAAAAACCCAAATTTGCTAAACCCATTCTACTCTATAATAACATATTCATATTTGTTAGTCGAGTTTAACTAACAATTCATTTAAATAATAATTTTATTAGAAATAATTATTATATTTATTTTTGCATGTTAAAATGATTGTTTAATATTTATAAATTGTTTTAAAAAAAAGTTTAATATTTATTTTATCATTAAATAACTTAAATTATTCATAGTAAATTTCGAATAATTTAAAAAAATATATTATCGTATTTAGTGTTCATTATATTTCGCAAATAAAAATGATGTACCACTTACTATCGTAACTCCTTTTTAAAAAAAAATTATCTTCGGTGATTCAATAGGAAATGGCTCTCACATATTAGCCGATATAATCTTGAAATCCATTCCTTCTCATTATATAATATCGGTTCCTTCTAACCAAAAAGAAGATTTGCCAGGTTTTTATCGATTTCGGGTCATGACTCCATCTATTTCTGATTCTCTCCTTAAGGTATTTTAGTTCTCTTATTAATGGAAAAATATATTTTAGAATGAATAATTATCATCTAAAAATAAATGATAACAAAAAAACCATTATGTCCCTTGATACTAAATAATATAATAGGTGGAATCACATTTTTACGGCAAAGTAAATATATTTGTGGAAGATCGTGTTATTGATAGGAATGCGCCGATCCCTCCTTTGGTCATTCTTCGTTCCTCCTACACAGGCAGAACGGATTACAAACTTCTAGATCATTTTAAGGTATTTAAATTAAAAAAATAAATAAATATAGTTATAATGTATTTTTGGTCAAGCTATTTTAAGATTTATTGTACTATTTTCATTGGATAGGTAGTGTTTTAAATCACCTAACCACCAGCCTTAGTATCTCGAATAATTTAAAAGCTGGCGAGTTTATTAAATGCCTTTTTTTGTAGATTTGATTAAGAAATCTATACACACTTTGTTTTAAACCTATTACTTCAAATAGCAAAAACATGTTTAAAACCAGAAATGCACCGATGCAACTTATTTTTGCTGATACCACATTTTTTTAAAATCAAATATAATCCCCAGAACATACAAAAATTTGATTATTAATTTAAGCCATAAAAATGTCTCAATAATTTTGAAATTTAGTTATTATTCATAATAATAAGGTTAATTCCGCCACAAAATTTTATAGAAGTAAAAAGAAATAGGAATTTTTTTTTAACAAAGCTTTCTTTTCTTATCTACTTACAAATTTATAGATCAATTTTTTTCGTTATCAATTGACGGCTTATTGTAGACCAATTTAATTTTTTTTATGAGGGTTAATTATTATTTTAAGTAGCGGCTAAAATTAAAAATATCTAGCCGATTTTTAAAATGGCGAAATCAAGATTTTAGTCAAAATATTACAGCCTTGAAATTTCAGCAATAGATGTCTAAACTCATATGCCACCTATGAACAAAATTTCCAAACGTGGGTAGTTACTTTTAAATCTTCAGTTAGCTTTTTTTAAAAATAGGCAAAATCTAACATTATCGGGGCATCTCTATCTATTATCCTCATCCATCTTCTGTCCCAAGTGAATTTTTTTTTATCAGCTTCCTAATATATTTTAAGATTTTGCCTTTGCCTCAATCAGCAATCACATAAGCAGAGGGAAGGAGGTATGAGCATTTTTCTTCCAAATATTTTGAAGTGTGGGGGTTAGCATCTAATGGGTCCAGTAAATTTATTGGAGGGGAGAGGGGTTATCAAATAATTTTTTAGGATAGGACAAAATATATTGCTATAAAAATTTATTCAATACTTCTATTATAGACCTATTTTAATATACATTTTTGCATGTGATCAGTCATTATTTTTAAAATAAAACTTATTTCTGAATATCAGCTATCTTATAAATTGTAATTTAAAATGTTTAGACATTCTATCAGCGAACTCGTTCATGCCAAACAATATACTATAATAATGCAAACATTGTAAATGAGGGGTTTTTTAAAATTTAATTCATGTTCCAAAAAATAACCTTACATTCACATTATTTTGATATTTGGTAATAGAATGATAATTTAAGTTGTTCTTTTTAAAATATATGGTATACCATTATTATTAAAAACACAATCAATACGCTGGAATATCGGCTCCGAAAGTGGTGATTTATTTTATGGGGTTAGGCATAGGTTTTTGAGAGGTATGCCACTAGTGAATACTCTGTAATCTAAACGCTGGCCTCAATACATTGTAGTCCATAATCAGTCTGATGTGCTTCTAATTTTTCCTTCTCTTTTTAATAAAAATTATAAAAAGGCTTACATTTCGTTTCAGAGACACTGACACCTCTAAGCCAAAATAATTTTCAACTTTTCCATTTAGTTATATCTAATATAAATGACATAAGATTCGCGTTTTTTTACAATTTATAATATTTAATAAAAAAGATATCCTTGTATCTTTCTGCTTCATCTACAGTTTTCGACGAAACGCTCATTCAAACCAAACATTTAAATTCCCGTTCTGAATTTTTTTCATTTGATCCCATACCAATGGATTATCAGGTTACAATATGAATTTTTATCACTATTATGGATAATTGTTTTAGAACATCAGTCTTTTGAATTACTATCAGAAAATGTTTTTAATCATTGAATTAGATATTATCAAATTAATTTTTACCTCACAACGAATATTGTATAATAGAGACGAATATTATATTCGTTTTTTCGACGAATATGAAAAACTAATTACCTTATTCGTTAATAAATTGTATATATAATTTACAACTAATAAAAATATTTAACTTTGACATGCTAATTTTTATACCTTCTTACTAATTAAATAATTTCACATATTAACCAAATCAGAAATACACTATTAAATTAGAATCAACCAGTGGTCTCGATGGAAACCTATACCAACTCCCCATAGTTTCTAAATTATCATTTACAGCTGATTTATCCTCTCGGTTCCTTTCTTTCGACGTTTTTGTTAAACCCAAACATCAATCAAATTATGAACAGGTGACATTCAATGATTCGTCATCTCTCGATGAAGAAAATTATCAGGAAGATACCGGAAAAACCCCTTCACTTTCCAATAAAAGTAGTCTGAAGGAGATGGCCTTATTCTGCGTTTTCTTACTCAGCTTGATTATAATGAGTGAGTTTTTTTTATTATTATTGACTGTAAATTACAATAAATATGAAATAAGTGAAGATATCAGACCTACACTACAAGCAAAGTCTGGGTTGCTTTTCTAAGACCTGGTACGATATTTTCGGATGCGAGCATATATGTTCAACACTTTTTTCACCCCTCCCCCCCTATTTATATATCCATCTCGAGTTTTTATCTTATAATATATTTCTCAAAGAACTACTTTTAAGACTTAGATCTAACCACGGGATAAAGTTAACTCAACCTGGGACATCCAAAAATTTCTGAAAATAATCCATTTGTTAATGTCTATAATTATAAAGTCAGAGGTTAGCAGTCTCTGCCAGAATAGGCAAGTTTAGGTCATGAACCATCACAGTCTAAAAATTTGTTTTTGATTGCATATTGTGAAAAAATAAGAGACCGGACTAGGCCCATGAAAGGATCATACAACTAGAGATCTGCAAAAAAAATTTTTTTAAAAAAATCGGGTTAGGGTCAGGGTCAAATTCAGGCCGGGTCGGGCCTTGAAATTTTTTTTAAATATATCTAAATTTCAATTTAATGTTGGATTTTTTATGTAAAATAAAAATATTTAATTTTATTTATAGAAACTAGACGCCATGTGACATATATTATTTATTTTGAGTATAATAATTTTTAAAAAATTTAAATAAATTTGGCAAAATTTATTTAAAAAAATTTCGGACCAGGCTTGAAAAATTAGGCCCGATGTAGTTTGCTACATACAACCCGAGCCTGTTATGTGGGTCTGACTTATATTGATTCTAACTTGTGGGAGTTAATATAAAATATAAGCAATTTGGAATATTCCCATAGGACATAAAGGGTTAAGGAGAAATCACAATGTCAGAAAGGTAGTCAAAAAAATTATCTAACATTTAATTAAGATGGTATACATGAGGTTAAGTAGCTCAGAATGGGCGGTATCATTTTCACGCACGTGTATAAGGAGATTAAATTTGGCCAATGAAAGCCATAAAGAGGAAAAAATCTTGAAAAATAAGAACACAGAGGGGATAGGAAGGCTATTCTATTGCTAAATGAAACTAGTATAAAAAGCGGAGATTATAATATGTGAGACCCTAGATAAATCTTAAGATATTTGCTTATTGAGTATAAAATGTTAGTGCTGAACTCGAAAAATTCAGCTAATAAGAAGATAATTTAAACTTCATGAAAAAGTTGGAGTGTAGAGTCAAACTAATTTTTCCTAAATCTAATTCTTATTTTTTTATACAATATCGAAAATTAAAGTATATGGACACGAACGTTTTATCAATTTTTTCCGCAACTTTTTAGTTCCCACACTAGAGTACATGTTAAACAAAAGTACTTCTACATTTAAACTTTCACCCGTCAGTTCTAGAAATAATTTTTCTGAGTCTTCCTCAGATACCTATATAAATCAAGACATTAATTCAGACGCCTTATGGGGAGATTCTTGGAGGAAAAAAGGAAAAGTCAAAAAAACTTAGTCATTTTAGCCCAAATATTATTGAGGATTTTTTTTGATTGTAGAATAAATATATAGGGAGTAGTTTGTGATAACTGAGTATTTTTTGTAGTCATTTTAGTATTGGACTTTTTTACTCGAATTTTTATTGATCTTTATTTTTACCTTACTATAAATCATAATGATCCTATCTTTTGTATATTCAATCTTTATAAATTGCTGATGTTAAACTTTTTCACAATGTAATAAATTAATTTGGAAATTACTTATTTTCTATTATATTCTTCACTGTTAATTTAACGCATTAATATTTAAGACTTATAAGGTTATATAAATATTTATTGACTAAAAATACAGTTATTGAAAAATGTAATAAATTGTATAAAATATATATAAAACTTTTATTTATAAATAATTACATACAAGTTGAACGTTGAATAAATGCATATAAAGATATTATTTAAATGTTTTAAATCCTGAAAAAAATATTTTTTCATAATTGGACTATATATAAAAACTTGAATCATAATATAAAGGTATAAATTAAAAAAAATATATAATGGCTCAATATTAGATATTATATAGACGGTTCATTTAAATATTTTACTAAAAGCAGCACCCAACATAACATTTGATACAAAATTCATTGTGTTAAACTTATTTAACTAGATTTAATAACAAAAGTGTTCAAATTTCTAATTACATAATTTAAATTATTTTGAGAACATAATATTTTTGGACAATTTATTTAAATCAGAGATCATAAGGTCAAAATCTTTGTTTATGCCATTTCTAATAATATTCGCATCCTCGTGGTTTTGTAAACCTTTATCCATCACTTCAACATGGGGCTCACATTCAAATCCACTGCAAACTACGTTTATTTGAGTATCAGTAATATAATTCTTTTCTTTGATTTCGTTCGATTTTAATTTATTAACAATAAAATTATTAGGAGTTATAGTTTCAATATAACTATATATTAAAGTATTTTTCTCGTAATTATCATTTTCGTGGTTTGAATAGTATTGTGAAATAGGTGAACGATGTTCATTAACATTTCCGCCATCACTGTTATAATTTATTTTAGAGTTGCCATTAATATTTGAGGGGGACATATTATGAATATTGCACCGATCTTTTGATATCTTTCATAAAATTTATATTTTAGTGAGAGAAATCTCATTAAAATACGGAATAAGAAAAAATATTATAACAATGTAAAATTGTAAGATTAAATTATAGCATTCTATAATGTAATAAAAAAAAGTTTTAATTGCATACAACTTAAATCTATTATAGAAAAAACAATCACCTTAAATTTCTCTTTACAAAATTTATGTATCATTCAATGATACATATATACTAGTAGATTGGCTATTCATTTATTAAATGCATTTGAAAATTTTCATACACAAGTCAGCTGTAGCGGTATTTTGTGTTGCTGACGATTAAATGACATTAATGTGAATTCATTTAAGGATAAATAAAGACAATTAGTCGAAGTGCTACAAAATAGCTCCACAGCTGACTCCTATGTATGGACACTTAATTAATGAATCGCCAATCTAGTAAGATATATACATCATTGGTGTCATTATATAAATAAGCGATCTTCTGGTCAAAATTATAGCACGAGATTTTTAAAGTTTTTTATTCTCAACCCCAAACCGGATTTTTATTTTGATAATAATTCGGCCCGGTCCAGACGGAATTATTAAAATTTCAATTTTGCGAATTGTTTCAAAGGAAATATGAAATGAATATTACCCGGCCCGGATTTTTAAAATCACACCATTTTTCTGCTGACAGATAAAATTCTGTTAATTTCGCTAGAGACTGGCATAATTCTTCAAAAAACAAAAATAATCATTTGATATTTAACTAAATGAAGTTTTAATGGATTAATTAACTTTATTTAAAAAAACTAACCAGAATCTGGTATTCACATTTAATGATTTGAAAAATGGATTTTGGAATAAGCTTCCTAGAGCTGATTCACTCAATGGATATATCTCCAAATCTTCCATGCCTATTTTCTCTTAGAGTAGGATAATCACTTTCATTAGTTTTTACTAACACATAATAAATCTAAAACCGTGGATTTATGACTTTTTAGGAGCAGATATTTTTATTTGCAATTTCTCTTCTCTATAAACATCAATAACTATTCTATGAATATCCACCTCTAAGGCTTTTCGCAATTCATTAGAAACCAAAAGAATGGACAAATTGAAATTATTCATGTAATATTATATTAGAATACGAAACTCAATTTTATTATTAGATTTAATCGCCTTTTATTGAATTTTTAATTTTAAAATGGCTAGAGGAAAATACTTGTTTTGAAGCATACGTAAAATTTTACTATTATCTTCTAAAACTCACTTAATAAAATTAAATCATGGTATTTTTAATATGAAAAAATTATGTGCATTAAAAATTGAAAGTGGTCGTATTGAATTTTGGTAGAATGTGATAGAAAAAATAAATCTTAAATTTAAATTTACCCTTGAGTCAGTTTCAAAAGAATCAAATATTTCATTCTTTATATCGCTGGAACGATGAAGTTTTTTTTCCAAATATGTACAACCATCTGAATAATTTTGGTTTAATCGAAGCAAAAACAAAAGTTTTTCATTAGTACGTCGTTCTTTATCGAACTTGCCATGCCATGCTTCGTTTTGAAGTGCAAGGTCATGAATTTGAGTTTCTAGCGTGATTTCTTTCTTTTCCCATTCCAATTTTTCCTGTTTAAAAAAAGAGTTAAAGTGCGAATATAATCTACAATGGCTACAAATAATAAGGAAAAATTGAGGTTGCTTGCTTATGATATACTAAAATAAAATGAGCTGAACCAATCAAATAATTTTTAATTAAGCATGCTGGTTAAAAGGTTCTTTTAGATAGGCAGGTGGGTGAATTTTTTAAAAAATTATGAACGGGCTGTCTTAATAGATTCTTTTCAAATTTTTCATTTTTATTCACCTTTTTCACATTTTTATTAAGATAAATTAGCACTAAAGAATTAGAATTGTTTAGAAAAATAATTCACCATACCTCTGGACGAGTAAGGATTTCGTAATGAAAATGGTTTGATAAATCTGCAAAGTTATCCGTTAGTCTAGCAATGCTATCCAACGTTTCTTTCCTGTCTCTGAGCAGTGAAAATAACAAGAGATCTTTCGTGGCCTCTATGATTTTATAGTCATCGACACCATTTTTCTCGATAATTGGCGAATCTATTGGGTTGTTTTCGTTGACTATGCATAAGCGCTGAGAAAGTTTGTGAAGGAGCCTTTTTGTTTGACTATCCCTTAAACTGCGAAAATTTATTATTATATTCCTCAATGCGTGAGTTTCTTGACTTTGCTTGATTTGTATAAAGTATGAAAAATTAGACTCGTTTAATTGTTTTTATAATACAAAGTTTTTTGATGTCTTATAAAAAAATTCTCTTTAAAAGATTCACAAGCAATGTTGTAATAATAAAAATAATAATACTTTAAATAATCTCTCCCGCAAAGAAAGGTTAGCCGTTTTTAAGGCTTTCATGGATTTCCGATAGCTAAGTGATATATTGAGACAATCATTTGTATGGCATTTTAACAGACTTGGAATATCGTTAGACAAACGTGCTTTCGCGAAGGAATCGATTTTGGTATGTGATGAATCCCGTTTAAGGGCATCTATAGGAGAAGGTGATATTTGACCGTCAGGTTGGATCCAATATCTCATGTTTTCTATCTCCAACCTCATCTTATCCGTCTTGATAAAACAAGATATACCCGATAATTTTATTAAAGAAAAATTAAAATATATTTTATTATTTTCAAAATGAAGATTTAACAAATTATAAATCATATTTTAAGCTAATATACAAATATTATGGACATTAATGAAATGAACAATTTGGTATGATAATCAAAAATTAATAACCATAACTTAAGAATAAAAAACCTTAATTACATCTATAATTGATAAATAATTAAACGTCTTAAATATACTAAAATATGGTATTTTTGAAACGTTCATGAATGTCAGATATTAAGAAAAAGAACACTATGTGACTAAAAAATCTATAAATAAATGATTATAATATATTTACTCTCAAAATGAATCACCATACATTAATGATATTTCAATAAGAACCACAAATTTATAGATTTAAATATTAATTTAAGAACTATGTTCTTGAAAAGAAAAATAAAAGCAAAAATTATATTTAAAAAAACTGAGACGACACTAGTACTATACCCAGGGCCGTGAGACCTTTGGCTAGTGTTGTTAAACCGTATAGGTTAAGTCAGAGAAAATTTGATCGCCAAGGAATTTTAGGGCGAAGGCAATATCGCGAAAACATTTAACAAAACTTTTATTGTGAACCCATATCGAAATCCTTATCGCCCTTTAGCAATTTTTTTTATGAATATATTTGCGCGAAGTCATGAATCATTCAATATATATTTACCAACATAAGTGTGAACTGTTATTAAGGGATTTTGTTACTTATTTTCCATTAAGTGAGCAAGAGTTGGCTTAAATGTGATCTTTATTTGATGTAATAAAAAAATAACTTCGCAATTTACTCCTGAACTCTCCCACTCATGGTCCTAAGTACGGAGGGGGAATTTTAGATTTAGTTTTTTATAGTAAATTTATCCCCTCCACCACCATAAATGAAAATGCAAAGAATGTATTTTTAATATAAAATATGTAAAATAAAATTATATCAAAATGTATCTAAAAATAGATGGATAATTCTAATAGTATCTAGATACAGATGCCATATTTTTTTTAAATCAGATAAAGACGCAGCATAAGGAGTGACGTTGGTTTTTATTTAGTATATAACTCAGTGATGCAAAACTGATATAAATTAATAAATATTCACAAAGTGGGACTGGATATCAACTTTAAGAAAGCTATACCCCCCTCCCCCCCCCCCCCACCTTTTACTAATACGACGATAAATGACAACTTTAGAATTGATTTGGAGATTAATAAAGTGGTGAAAAAAATTAAATATCTCGGATTTATCCTTGACAATAAAGGAGGTTTTAAGGAGGAATTATCTATGAGGGTCATAAATGCGAAGCAGGCTTTTATGAGTATTTTAAACTTTAGGAAACGAGCGAAATAACAGTCACGAGGATAAATATCTTCAATTCCGTAATTATCGACATTCTATTATACGCGGGTGAATCATGGAAGATCAACAAAACACAAAAAATTCAGATTTTCATAAATAAGTATTTGAAACTCAAATATTGAAAATAAAATTAAGTAATTTATTTTAAAAATATTAGCTAGGAATAATAAATTTTTTTGCCCGGTGTGGCCCGAAAATATTCTTCCCCGCCCCGGGTTTTGCAGATCTCTTGTAGTGCTGCAAACATTAGAAAACAAATACGTTAGCATTCGTCGTTCATTAACAAAAATGGAAGAAACGTGTTCATTCGAATCTATAAATAAATATTTAAAAAAATGCATTTTAAATGAAATAACACCATATTAGCCATTAGATTCAATATTTTAATTTTGTAAATAATATAGAAAAAAGTGTATAAAAATATTAATAAACGATGGAATTTAATTTAAAATATAAATGAGTATATTTTATTTCTTTTTAAATTTTCGCCTGATAAGGAAGAGAGCTTAGTTAAAACGGAATCTACACTAAAAAAGAGGTTGATAGAAGGTATTGCTGATTAAATTTATCTTTCGTTTGTAATTTTTTGTTAAACAATTTTTTTCTGATTTGCATATTAATTCAACATTGAAAAAAAAGTGATTTCAGAATTGGCATATTGTAACGAAGCTTCTTCAATTCTAAGTTTACTGATTTATTTAAATATGACGTAAGTTAATTATTTATCATTTCGTTTTGTGGAAGTCCTATCCAAGACCATTCTAGTTTAATACAGAATGTATTATATTTATAAAATAATCATTTCGAATTATAGAAGAGTAAAGAATCGCTGATAATAATTCAAGTGTGTTCCTGCATTCCTACCCGGTAGGTCTTAAACCAAAGCACAAAAAGAATAAATATATTATTGATGTTAAAATATTGAATCTAATTCAGGAAATGTAACTGACCATTATATATCTTTTTATTTTAGTTACAGCATTGTAGAAATAGCAAAATATTTCCATATTCCAATAAGATCGTTCTGAGTAAGTACATCTGGAGGTTTATTGTTCATTAATAGCAATCCACAATTTATTTTTAACTGAGTTGAATTGTGTTGTTACATGATGAAAGATTTGGATACACTGTATATATATATATACTATATTGAAGACAATATCCTGCCTTAGATTCTAAGGAAAATTAGCCTGATTAAAATATTCTTATTTATTATAATCACATCATAACCCCTTACAAGGCTGCCTTAATATTTTTTAAGACGTAAAAATTAGAAGCGAAATTAATAAATCAATATAACCTTTTATAATTTTGTAGATCTTCTTTCTATCCTTCCTTCATGAATGCTAACTACTTCTTTCATACTCTGACCTTCTGTAATTAAATCTTTATAGGACAATTGATACCTAAAGTTGTACTTATTAGTACAAAAATGAGACGAAAAATTAGAGTGGATATTATAATTAATCTACAAAAATGAGCTATATCGATTTAACAAGATAAATAAAATTCAGAAATGACGGTTAGTGCCTAAAATAATACGACGATTATATATAAATAATAAAAGTTGATATCGCAAAAGCTATATATCGATTTTTTAAAAAAAAGAATACTCCAAAGTTGGTATGCAGATGGAGCTTATTAGAAAATTATTAAATTACATCCATCAAACAAATAATCTAAAAAGTTTCAGCAATAAAATAATTTAGATATTTTTTTTGATAATAAATTGTATTAAATATATTGATTTTGATGACCTAAATAAAAAATATTGTTAAATTTGGAAATTACAGATCCGAAATAATATTTATATATGCAGGCCTATACCAAAGCTGGTGGAGCCAAAATGGTATGATTTTAAAATTTCAGGGGTGGGCTAAAAGTAAATTATAAACTGGGGTAAGGCAAAAAATAATTTAGATATTTTTTTTTGATAATAAATTGTATTATATTGATTTTGATGACCTAAATAAAAAATATTGTTAAATTTGGAAATTACTGATCCGAAATAATATTTATATATGCAGGCCTATACCAAAGCTGGTGGAGCCAAAATGGTATAATTTTAAAATTTCAGGGGTGGGCTAAAAGTAAATTATAAACTGGGGTAAGGCAAAAAATCATTTAGATAAATGAGCAAATTTTTTAAAAAAATATTGCCATAAAATTATATTTTAAAAAATCCGGCCAAGATTTAAAAAGTAAAAACTGTGGGCGGGCTAAGCTGGAAAATTTTTTAAACCCCCCCCCCCCCCCCCCCCCCCCCCCAAAGCCAAAAAATGCAGATGCCGGATTATATTTTTCAAAAATATTATTGTTAATATTAATTTACATTTGTTAATATTTATTCCTATCTCATATATATATATTAAATTATATTTATTTATCACATTCATCTACTAAGTTATTTTATCAATTAATTTCGATTTCAAGTTTTCCTTGGCGTAATTTACCTATTATTTTCAAATTTTAGTGGCGTATTATTTATATAAATTTAAGTCAAATAAAAATTATCTCTGAAACTCCTTGTCCAACAGGGAGAAAGAAATTGCAAGCTTGTCCAACGAGATCGAATCTCCACCAGTAACCGCTTTTATAGAGTTAGAAGAGCCGATTATTATTGCTATTACTGAAATATCACAATGGCTTGAAAGAAATATTTCCTCAGAAGCAAGAAAATTATTGGATTCAATACATATTCCAAATTTTTTTTCTCATTAGAATGTATTATTTAATTATACAACTATTTTATGTAATACTTTTCAAAAACATGATATTGACTTGATTAAGAAGATGAGAATAACGGAGAGCATTTTATTAGAACTCAAGGAAATTAGAGCTAATGTTGATGAAGAATTTCATATTTTATATGTTATTGTTGAGTCAAAAGCAGAGCTATACGTGTTTAATATTTGTCCCCATCGACTTGCAGCAAGCAAGCTCATCGTCAAATCATTAATATAGGATCAGTAGAAGAGTATTAAAAAACAAATGTGCCCTCTCTTAGATACATTTATAACCCAAATAAATGAATAGTTTTTAATTCATGCAGCACTTACAAATCCGCAGATATTACTTCCACAAACCTTTCCAACCTTTTTCAGATGGTGATAGAAAAAAAAATATTTGTTAAATTTTTATCATGAAGATGTTAAAATATCTTATGATGCCTTATTAGCTGAATAACTATGATTAAAAGATTAAATATGGTTGACACAGTCCCAAAAAATGCTATGGATGCGTTGCATTATTTCAAACACATTTTAGATTATATTCCTAATGTATTAAAATGGTTATATATATATTAGTAACTCTTCCCATTAGTAAACTAATGAGAGAACATTCTCTTTTTTAAGAAGAATAACAGAGCCATGGAGATGTACCATTTGCTGGGACAGTCCAGATTTTTTTTTTAAATTTTTTTAGGCCCGTGTTTTTTTTAAAAAAATTTTCAGGCCTGACCCTGCTTTTTTGAAAATAAAATTTTCAGGCCTGGTTCGTATTTTTTAAAAATATATTATATATTTTTTTGATTTTTATAGCTAATAATGGAGATTTCAAATATTTGGTTTTAAAATATAAAGTTTAGCCCGGATATTTTAAAAAAAAAAATTTCAGGCCCAACCTTGATTTTTTTTTAAAAAAATTTTGAGCTTGGCCCGGGTATGTTTAAAATGATTAAAATACGGTTCGGCTCAGGGGCCGGGCCTGCAAGTCTCTGAAAAACATACCTATGAAATACAACTTCTGAAAGTAGATTGAATGATTTGGATCTTTTGAATATTCATAGGCATTTAACGCCAAGCAAGGATAGATAATTGAAAAATTAGCTCAAAACATACAAAATACAATTATTTTTAAGAAACTTTTTGTGTATTAATTTATATTTTCAACATTTAAATTTTTATACTTTATATATTTTAAAGGCTCAAAAAATTCAAATTTCAATTTTGGGTCATTTAAATGATTCATATCATGGTTATATTCACTTTATATTTTATAATTCACATTTATTTTATAGTTTTTCAATGCTGGTTTATATATATAATTTTTTTATAATTCACATTAATTTAAAATTGTGTATTAGAAAAGTTATTAGTCCTAATAAATTTATGCTTAGTATTTTTAATTAACAATAATATTTCATAAAAAAATTTATTACCCCCCCCCCCCCCCCCCAGACCAAATTCCTGTGTACGTGCCTGCCCCTTATTAAACTTTTATTAATTGATATTGTTGCAAAAATATAATATATCTTCAAATGAAGTATCTAGTTCAAGGATTTTAATATTTCTCCAAGGGCATTCAAAATAGGCTTTTCTAGATCCAAAAATGTTGTAATAGCCTGATATCATATTCATTAAAGATAAATTAAATACAGTTTTCAAAGTCATAATCAAAATTTATTGAGTTGAATAATAAGGTTTAAAAGAGGCAAAGAGAGAAAAAAAAATCAACATGAAAATCCTGGCCCATACACATTTTTATAAAGTAATTTCAGTTCAGGCTGGTTCAGGTTTAATCTTTTAAGATTAGGATAAAAATTTTAAATATATCAATTAGTGAAATTTATATATAAATACTTGCAAGAAACAAAGTGCCAAAAAGTTAATTATATATATATATATCGTTGGTCTAGAATTGGAGTGCTCTACTCAACATTTTCAAAATTTTTGAGTTAGAAGTGGATAATAACTTATTTATTCCCAATATATAAAAAAAAACTAGATTAAAAAATATTAATTTTTGCCAAAGTTAAAATTGATCAATAAGTTTCCCTATATTTGATTTTAAACTTTGATGTTGATTTTCTTATTTTAAAGATTTGCGCAAGTGGAGCACTCTAATTCTAAGCTGATGATATATTATCAGTTAATTAAAGCCAGCAACTACAATACATCATAAAGGGCTTTTAGCCCATTTCTTATTTTTAAATTAATTTGTTGTAGGGAAATAACATGATATATTTGAATACAATTTTTAAAAATTAATAAATTTAATTTGTTAAACATACTCTAAGTTTATAAATAATTAGTTCCCGTGCTTGTATTTCAGCTTCAAGATAGCATAAAGACTTTATTAGATCTTCTTTACTAAGTTGGATTTTTTCTTCTATCTTAATAATATTTAAAACAAAAATATAATTAGTAAAAACTTGTAAATTCGACTCCAAATTAAAGCCATCTTCTTCATTATTATGCATGGACTATTATTATACTATACCTACCAGAATATAGGATGACATGCTTGTTCAAAGGTAAACAATTTTTTAACAGCTGTTAAACATTTTATATTATAGAAATTTTAGAAATATTTATATGATTGGATATTTTTAAAATTTATGGACATCCTTTAGACACATGACCTGTTCACATGACAGGGCAGACGTCAAATCTCTGATTTTATTTTATTTATGATTGGAATATTTTAGATGTGGACTAATTTATGTATATGTGATTGTAATTTTCATCTTGTATGACATCATTTTTGGAAAAGAGAACCAATGTCTGTTAATTATTCTCAGCAACTCTCCCCATATCCTAACAAAGGGAAATGTGGAGCTAGGGAGGTAATATATCTCTTAAATAATGCATAATAAAACATTATTAGTTATCATATTACTATATATTTAATTATTTTATATGATTTAATAAAAGCTCTTTGATAAACAAAATGACCTTCTCACAAAGTCTAATTTATTAAGTGAAATGTTGAAGAATTCACCCTATACAGTGTTTCTTACTGGAGCTGGAATTAGTACTTCTTGTGGAATACCTGATTTTAGGTTGCTTTCATTTATTTTATGCTTAAATATTTTTGGTTTTATATATTACAAAGTAGTTATGAATATCAACAGTTTAGTTTATACTATCACACAGCTTAGTCCTTTAACACTTTTTTGGTTTGGAACATTTTTATTTTTAAATTAATTTAAAATCTATTGAAAGGATAAAGTATTCTGTGTAATTTTAACAAAAAGCATATGTATAAAATTATGACTATTTATTATTTCTGTCAGCTTTTTCTTAAACATTTTGCATATTAAGATTAACGCACCATAACCCAGCCATATTACCTGGGGAAGGGGGGGGTGTGATATGATATAAAATTTTAATTGAAATTAAAGGCAGCAAGGAGCTATAAGTGAGTTGTTAAAAAAGCCTGATTTGAGTTGATTAAAGATGGCCTGATTAAGATTTAGTCAAATTATATTATGTAATCTCAAGTTTGGCAAATAGAGTTCCATACATTATATTATTTTGGGTTAATTCTTAATTGGGCCATTTTTTTAAATCAATCCAATCAGGCTTTATAACAACATTACTATGGAGGTGCACTTTAGGAAAAGTCCATCTTGCCCATATGTTAAACGTTAATTTAAAAGTAGCACAATAGTTATTTGCCAAAAGGTAGCATGCTGTTTTACTTATCAAAAAAAACTATTAGCTACCATTTTTAAAAGTAACCAGGTACTTAGGCTACTTTATAGAAGAAATTTTACAAATAAAATTGTTTTATCTTTTACTTATAATATAAATGAATATATAAAAATAAACATTTATAAAGATTTGCAAAAGTATTTCAATATTATAAAAGAATTTATATTAAAGAATGACTAAAAATAATTTTCTTGTCATAAATATATTCCAACAAAAATTTTTTTTACCAGGAAGGTGTTTTAATCATAAAAATAAATGATGGATTATCAACTAAAGACATTGAAATGCATCAAATATAAAATTGTTAATGACTATCACTGTGTTTTAAAAAGAATGTCTACTAGGATTAATCATTGTGGTTTGAATTAAGGTCATCTTTGGGGCTTTGTCACCTAAATTTTTTTCTATCTCCTTGAAATTGTTGGCATGAACATTCTTAAAAATACTATAGAATTTAAAAATAAATAATACCTTATGGTGTTTTTATGGGCATAACTGCGAGATTAATTATGATATAACCTTCATTTGAACTCCTAAATTTATAGGCAACTTTTGTTTTTCCATTAAGTTTAAAATATTTTTGAAATTTTAGAAAAGGATGATACAGATATTTATGTTTTTAAGATTATCATCCATTGTAATTTCGTTAATATTATTTTGTGTATGACTCACATTATTTACTTAGACATTTTAAATATTTTATACCAGTTGCTTTGGATTTGTAATACAGCTTTGAAAATTTATATGCCAAAATTAAATAATAAAATATAAAAAGTACTGATGTAGTACCTGGTTTTTAAAATAAGTAGCACACTATCAGCTATTTGCTACCAAAAAAGTACACTTTACGATAGTGCACCACTTTCACAACTCTGGTGCTAGACTTGACACGTGACATATATTAAGGAACAAATTAAAGATGTGTAATTTTTAAGTACCATACTTCAAAAAAGTAGAATCCATGTTTAATTCATTTTCAAATTGTATCCAAAAAACACTAATTTTTTAATTAGAGGACCTAAGGGTATATGGACACTCGAAAATAAAGGGGAAAGCTGCAAAACGGATATTACCTTCGATCAAGCTGAGCCTTCCTTAACCCACAAAGCTATCACCAAATTAGGTTAATTAATAATAATAATTCAAATAAGTATATTTTTTTAATTTTAAAATAATGCAAAACTTTGAATATAATATAATCAGAGTTAGTCAGTACTGCAAATACTTATATTATATTTAAGATTTAAGGACCTTTAGGGTCATTCCATGTCAAATGAGCAAATAAATGAGATTATCGGCCGACTCCCTTCTATTTTTTAAAATTTGGTAAGCCTCCTAACTTTTATATTTTTGGAGATATTAGGGTTCAAAATGCCAAAAGTGACGTATTTTTAGCATTATCTGCCTTCATTCAATTAAGCTTATCTTAAAAAATATATAATTGTAATAACAAATTTAATATCAAAATTCTTACAAAATCAATATTACTTACAAAGATTATACTTTTAGATATTTTGTTTTTTTCAATTTCCGACCATTTTATTTAATATATCGTCAGTCTAGAATTGGAGTGCTCCACTCGACATTTTGAAAATTTTTGAGTTAGAAGTGGGCAAACTTATTTATTCCGAATATATATATATATAAATAAAAACTAGATTAAAAAATATTAATTTTTGCCAAAGTTATAGCTGTCAAAATTGATCAATATTTCCTATATTTGATTTTAAACTTTAATGTTGATTTTCTCAATTTAAAACATTTAAACAAGTGGAGCACTCCAATTCTAGGCCGACGATATAAGAACTAAAAACAATTTTTTGGAAATACGATCTTCAAAATATTTAGTAGACACTAGACTCTTCCTTTATATTTATTAAAAAAAATCTAGGACACGGCCAGCTTCATTCTCAAAATCGATGTAAATGAGAATAATGTATAAAATTATATATTAATCAGTTTTTAATGGTTTTTTTCTGAATTTTTTGATATAATTTAAAGGATTATTCTTGAATATGAAAAGAACAATAAATGGGAGTTTCTATCAATTATAGAAATTGTCTATCGATAAAAAAAGTTCAATTTACTACATTATTTATAATTTATTATAAAATTTTATGCCCATATAACATATATTTAATGAATACTAATAAAATATGCTCAACCATGTTTAGAATTATTGAATATATTAATTCTTGTGTATTTCATGTATGACGCCAAAATTTATCAAATTTTTCGCTACTTTTTAAAATAATTTGATATTTTTAAAATATTACAAATAATATTAATATTATTATGAAATTATATACAAAATAAAAATATTATAAACATATAATAACCCAAAACAATAAAAGCATTGGATCTGATTTCTAAAGCCGATTTTTTTTTACTTAATATCGTCATAGCCCTATTTGAAAAAAATAATAAATGAACACAAAAATTTTAAATTAATGATCATTCGGTCAAATTTATCCAATTTAACCAAAGATGATGTTGCCCTTTAAAAAATACAAATATTTATAATTTGTATTTCACATCAATTATCCTGTTATATGGGCAAATCTAATAATTGTCCTGGGTTAAAACATTTACACGAACAAATAGAAATATTATTTCATTCTAAGGACATCGAATTTATAACATACAAACAATGACTCTCCATAGATAGAACCATTCCTGAAAATCACCAAGCCAGTAGGTGAATTTATCAATGCCTTTTATTATTTCATTCTTTTATTTCAGCGTAACAATCGTTGTATCAAAACCATCTAAAATTGACCTAGACGAAGGCCAATATTTAATTTTATGTGATTTTTCAGAAAACTATGGCATACTTCAAACCAGGGTTGTGCATTTGACCGGTCAAATACGTTTCGGTCAATTGACCGGTCAAATACGGTCAAATTCAAATATATGTTTTTTTAAGTTAATATTTGAATATTTAAGTTAATATTTGAATATAATAGTAAGATGAATCTATATTATTAATTTTTTAAATACATTGTCATTAAATAACTAACATTTAGCTATCCGTAGCATATTCTTGTTCTGATTCATATTCAATATTATTATTTTCTTTAATATTTTTTAATCAATTTTCCTGATGTCTTAGATCTTCAATCGATTTCTATTTTTATAAGAATATTAACCCAAATCTACCTATTTCTTTCAAAAGAAGAAGTAGAACTAGGAATTATTAATCTCTTAATGAGCATGGTGGGCAAAGTTTAATCTATTAACTTGAGGTCGGAATTGATTGTTTTTGGAAATTACTACTTTCCTAATTCGCTATATTAAACATGCTGTTTTTGCTTTTGAAATTAATTATATCACTTAAAATATTTTGGTCATCACTATCTTGTAAAATAGCTAATTCTAGAATTATATCACATACTTCATTAAATTCACTATTAGTGAGATTCTCATATTGATATTGTTGACCCAAAAAATAAGCAAGCATTGTGATCAATTTGACCATATTTGACCAGGTCAAATACTCCTCCGGTCAATTGACTGAATTTGACTGGTCAATTGACCGACTTGCTAACCCTGCTTCAAACTATAGCTTTATACTTCAGAATGAAGTTCAAAATTATCATTGGAATAGGGCTCATTCCACTGTTCACCCTTTTGTTATTTACTATAAAGATGATTTTGCCAATATTTGTTGCCTAAATAATATCCGAATCTTTATAATATAACACAATAGCAGTACATTATTATCAAAAAACATTGGTAAATTTTTTAATGAATAAATTTTGTATGCCAATAAATTTTTTTGTTGTTCTGATGGATCCGCTTTACAGTATAAAATTGGAAATATTTTATTAATATTTGTCATCACGAGAGGGATTTTGTGGTACAGGCTGAATTATATTTTTCTGCTATAGCACACGGGAAAAGTGCTTGTGATGGGATTGGTGGCACTGTTAAAATATTAGTCGATAAAACAAGTTTATAAAAACCTTATTCAAAGCAAATAACAATATCATATGAATTGTACGAATTCTCTAAAGATAATATTAATGGAATTTGAATATATGACTCAAAAAATTTATGATGACGAAGAACTATTAATCAGAAAAATTTTCAAAATCTAGACCGATACCTGGTACAGAAAATTACATCGTGATTCCGACAGATCACCAATGTAGAAGTAAAATGTATTCTAATTCAATAGGAAGCACTATAGAATATTTTTCATATATTGATGAAAGTATAATCTTGGGAGCAGGATACATAACGTGTCTTTATGATTTTAATTGGTAGTAGCCTTTGTTTTAGTAAAAAGCAGATGAAATATTATGTATATAAAGTTTTTACACCCATCCGGACCCACTAATTGCTTTATATTTCCAAGTAGAGACGATACTTTTTGCTTGCTTGTCATATCTTAACATTAGTTTCATCGTTAACTGCTACTGGCCGTAGTTATACATTATCGTCATTAGAAAGTAAATGCACTAAGAATCTTTTAAAAGTGAGATATATGGAAATTTTTACTATATCAATTATTTTTAATATTTAGGGCGCCATATATGAAATGCACAAGATTCTGATTCAATTATTCAATAACTCTAAGCTTGGATGAACATATTTTATTAATGTTCATTATATGTCTATGTTGTATGGGTAAATAATTTTATAATAAATTATAAATAATGTAATAAAATGAATTTCATTAATTGATTGAAACCCACATTTATTGTTATTTTAACTTTCAAGATGAATAATTTTTTAAATTATATCAAATAGTTCAAGAAAAACAATTAAAAATTGTTTAATATATAATTTTATATTTATACACTTTTCGAATCATTTTATCGATTTTGATAATAAAGCTTGCCGCGTCCCGGACCAATTTTTTTAATAAATATAAAGGAAGTGTCTAGTAATGTCCATTAAATTTTTTGTAAAAATCGAATTTTTTTATCATATAATCTTTGTTAATTTTGTAAATTTGTTATTTAGAATTATATAGTTTTTAAGATATACTTAATTAAATGAAGGCAGATAATTGTAAAAATACGTCATTTTTGTCACTTTAAACCTTAATATCTCCAAAAATATAAATGTTAGGAGGGTAAAATTTTGGCTATTTCTTAGCAACCTTTCTTTGATTACCAAATTTTATAAAAATTAAAGAAGGGGTCGGCTGAATCGTGAATGATTTGTAATGAAATGACCTTTATTTCCTTGACAAAAGATACAGATATTTTTGGCTAAAAAAATTTTCGAGGCTGACATTTTTTGCAAAAATTCTTAGTGAGCCGGGCATTTCAGACCTCTATTTCATATATTCACTTTTAACCTTATACATTGATTATTCCATTAAATTATCTTTCTTTTCTTCCTATCTTTATATTTTGAAAACTACTATTTTATATTGTGTAGTGTGGAATTGCTTGGTTGGGTCGAATTAGCATAATTTTTGGTTGGGTTTTTGGTCGAAAAAATGAACAAACCAAAGCAACCAAATTGGTCGACCTGATCGGCCAAATCCATCGCCCTATTTTCACATCAATATTTACCAACAAAAAAATATGATATTTAATTTTTTATATATATAATATTATGAAAATGGATTTGTTTATTTGATGTTTTTTAATAAAAAAAATGATATGCTGCCAAATTGTAATATCATTTTAACAATAAATGTGTGATTTTCACGGCCAAAATTTTAAGCAAAAAATCATAGTTCATTTGATAAGAATTTAAAATCTTCTTTGTAAATAATCTTTTTTGTGAAATTCTTATGTGAATTTTAATATAAATACACAATGTTTTAGGTGAATGAAATCTTTTATAGTTTTTTTTATCGTTTTTTTGAAATTATTTTTTAAGTATATTAAAAGAAGTGGTTATTTCTAAATAATTTATTTTCAAATATTTACAACAAACTTTTTTATGTTATTTATAAGATCTTTTTAAGGATAATATTTTAATGTGATAATTGTCATAATATTATTTTTTTAACATTTTTGAAATTTTTTGGCACAAAAGGGTAAAAATAAAATTTATATTATAAAGATGATATATTATAAATTGAATGAAGATGTTCCTTGAATAAATGATAATTATATCTGTATTTTTAAGATAGATTTTTTTGACGTTAATGGGCAA